ATAAATACGAAAATGCTATCGTGGAGTTAGATAATAAATTCAAGAGGCAATCAACGCGAGGCTGGTAAAAATATTAATAGCCGAGAAATAATTATGTATTCATGAGTCCCGCGGATCACGGGAGCACCGGGTTACGGGAACAACCGAGATTTGCTTTTCTATCCGCTTTTGTGGGGATTCGAGAGAATTATCTCTATTTATTTTCTAATTCTTCAGGGATAGAGTTGACTCTGATTTTTAAGATAAAAGTCTTATTATGCAATATGCACGTGCCTTTTAACTTAGATAATTTAAACAAATTACCCATTGGCGCATATTGCATAGGTTTCTTTGATTATATTTCAAGTAGGTGATCAGACGTTGGTCTTCTGTCCCATGTCTAAGACATGTCGATTTCTTTGCCTCCGACGTACGTGCAAATATAAATTCACACAAAAAGGAAATTCGTTGAACCCAAGCTTTAAACGCATGTACCCAAGAGTCGTACCTAGGCTACGCTCGAACCACTAGTGGTTCGAGCGTAGCCTAGGCCTATATCGCTACTATAGAAAAACAAAGTTATAATTATTATTAACTCCCTATCGGTAACGCTGATGCGTCCAAAAGTTTCAGACCTGTTATTTCGCAAAACGCTTTAAAAAATGTACAAAGTGACATCGAATAATTTTATCTCCATCAATACACCAGTTGGAGTCATCAATCAATCGTTAATCCGACGCAATATCCATAAAATGAATCGTACGGGGCGGTACACGTAATAGGCCGAGCGAGTCGACGACAATGCCGCAATCGGGCCACCAATCTGCATAATGGATTGCTCGGCCGAACGCGCGCCGGTCGCTCATTCAATTGTCGCGGTCGTCGATGTGTCGCCTGGTTATTACGGAATGCGAAATTAATTCCAGAGCTATCTAATATGCCCTGGGATTTTTATTTAGTTGGCTTAATTGTGAAAGGATTCAGTCTTCCATATGCAAAATAGCTCGCAAAGGGAAAACGGTTTTTAGATAATTAGCTTAGGATAAAGTTTGCATTTTTACTCTACTTCGTTCAGGTTCGTCCAAACCAAAATACAGTATAAGTCATTCACCGCTCAAACGCTTAATATCAACCAAAGTAGCAGCAGTACAAGCTTTTTTGCGTGATACTTTCATTATTATTTAGTCCTAAAGTTCAATGTTACCTGAGCTATGGAGCAAATTTTCGTATAAAAACTCATTTTAAGCCATGTGTACGACTTCTTAATTGATTAATAAACCTACCGCGTTTAAATACATTCATTTCAAGCCAACACTTCTTTTCGGATGTTGGTTCTACATTAATTGAAAACTTATGATTTATGTCCAAGAGAGCGACAAGATGTACGGCCAATAACGTCCTTAAGCTCACGCTGCCTCGAGATTTACTGCATGCTCACCGCGTAAGAGCTCAGATAATGTTTTTATATTGGACTCAAGATTATATGTAGGGTAATGTTTTTCTAGAAAAACAGATAATATAGTAACAACTATAATTGTTAAATATTTCGTGTATTTTATTAAGATATTTTTATCGTGTTGTAGGTAAACGTTTAATTTATTCTGATAGCTTGTTTTTTTTTGATAATCTAATGATTCAAATAGCGAGAGATAGCAGGTTGAAATTGACAAAAATAATTACAGAATGGTAACCACGCGATGGAAAAAGGAAAAGAGGAAGACAGAGCAAGAGATGGGCAGATGATATAAGGAGAATAGGAGGCACAACTTGGACAAGAAGAGCTAACATTAGAAGATAATGGAAGCAGCTGGAAGAGGCCTATGTGTCACAGAACACGCTGATTACCTAAATCGGGTCATATGATGTATTAGATTAAGCTTTAGTGTGTAACTTAAATAGGTGTTAATATATTAAACTGGGTGTCAGCAATAAAGGCTTAATAATAATAAGGATTCAAATAATTTGTATTACTACGCCATACACACAAATATACTCTTAATGTACTTGGTGATATGGTTTTTATAAATATCACTGAAACTTGTATTTCAAATCAATTACAATATTAAAATGTAATATATATATATAAGTAACAACGTACATAGGCCAATCCTGCTTAAAATGATTTATTTTTTGTTATTTATCAACAGCGTACAAACTTTTGATGGCTACTTGAACATTACATGAAATTGCAAACGATACATTTTCATTCCAATTCATATTGCAATAAACTCAAACTCAAACTCAAACTCAAAATATCTTTATTCAAGTGGGTAACCAAGTACACTTTTGAATCGTCAAGTTAAATTATTCGTAAATTTACATTTACTACCAGTTCGCAAGTCAAGGGCGTAGAGCGGGTAAGAAGAACTGGCAAGAAACTTTCCGCCACTCTTTTTAATCGCCAAGTATTGTCATACAAATTGTTTGACCTGGAGCAATTCAATCCCTAGGATTAGGATCATTTAAGTAGTCCTCAAATTTATAAAAAGCTTTGTTGATTAATTTTCGTTTAACGAGGGCTTTGAATTTATTTAGTGATAATACTCTAATTTCGCTTGGGAGTTTGTTGTAAAAACGAATACAATTTCCATATAAGGAGTGGTTTATCTTTTGGAGCCTGGTTGGTCTTACACTCAAATTAGTTCTATTTCGCGTATTATACTGGTGAAAGTCACCATTTGTTTTAAAATCGTTTATAGTTTTTTGGACATACAACAAGGCTTCAAGAATATATTGACCAGATAGTGTCATAATATTTAATTCCTTAAACTTATTCCGTACCGACTCCCTCGGAGAAACACAATAAATACCCCGAACAGCCCGCTTCTGCAGCACAAATATGGATTGAACCTCTGCAGCAGCACCCCACAGTAGAATACCGTACGACATAACGCTGTGAAAGTAGCTATGATAAACAATTTTTGCCGTGTCCTTATCAGTAAACTGTCGGATTTTCTTTACTGCATATGCTGCAGAGCTCAGCCTATTCGAAAGAGTATCTATGTGTGGGCCCCATTGGAGTTTACTATCTATTGTTATGCCTAGAAAAACAGTTTTGTCAACAAAGTTTAGTTCACTGTCCTTTATTTTCAGGTTACCAATATCTCGCTTTACGCTAGTAGTTGTAAATCGAATACATTTTGTTTTATTCTCGTTAAGCAGTAAGTTATTTACATTAAACCAGTTAACTATACGAGAGATAGAATTGTTTACATCGTCCAATAATACGTTATTCCTATTCACTTTAAATAGAAGTGAAGTGTCATCAGCAAACAATACCATCTCATGAGCTTCGTTGACAAAGAATGGGAGGTCATTTATGTAAATTAGAAATAAGAAAGGCCCGAGAATCGATCCTTGGGGGACGCCCATTGATACCTGCGAACCCGGAGAGGTGACTCCATTGACATGAACTCTTTGGATCCTTCCCTTTAAATATGAATTCATCAGGCTGGAAGCTTTGCCATCAACGCCATAGTGTTGAAGCTTTCCAACGAGTATATCAGGATGAACATAGTCAAAGGCCTTTGACAGGTCACAAAAGACGCCGACTCCATCATATGATTCTTCCCAGGCGTTAAATATGTCCGAAATCAACTTCACACCGGCATCGATTGTGGAGCGACCCTTAGTGAAACCATACTGTTTATTATGTAAGAGTTTATTTTTATTAAAATGTAAAGAAAGCTGGTCTAGCATTATCTTTTCAAAAACTTTGCTCAACGCACGGGAGCACGGAAACAGGTCTGAAGTTTGACGGATCAGACTCACTACCTGCCTTGAACAACGGTGTCATCTTACTTAATTTCATTTCGTCCGGAAAGACTCCACAATCGATACATCTGTTAAAAATTATAGACAATTCAGAGCTTATTACATTAATAACGGAATTTAAAATGACTGTTGACATACCCCATATATCTTTACTTTTTTTTAAATTAATAAGCTTAAAAGTTTTAACGATATCATTACAAGTTATATGTTTAAACTGAAATTTAATATTACATTCAGGTACACATTTTTCTAGCAATGAGATCGCAGCAGCAGGTGAAGAATCTAGATCTTGCCATATTAGCTTATTAATGAAAATTTCAAACGAATACAGCACGTAAAAAAGTTAAAAGTCCGGTGAGTAAATGTGATTGAAATGGACAGTGCTATTTCCACTCCCATATGCCTGTACTCAATAGAAAAACACAATGGACTTCGAACAATGGTACTATTCACTGGTCTTAAATGCCTTCAGCCGAATGGAAATTTTACAGCCTCACATATCAGAGTAACTTGATTTTTACATGTCGAACTGCTCTCATTGTTCACTGTTCTACGGATATTAATTTCATTTGTTTCCTATTCTAGCCTTTGCAATATCGCATAACCCTATTTCAATCATTGCATGAATACAAGGAAATATTGTATTTCTTGGATATTTCCTATTTTGATGATACATGTTTGTGAATCGCATTTTATACGAGTTTTCATATCTGAGTCGTTCATTACGATCGATTACTAAAGTTAACTAAAAATTTTGGTAAATAACCATAGAACCAAATGATAGTTAAAATACCTACTGGCTGCTTTCTTTTATGATTCCTTAACTAAAGTTCTCTCAATCTCGCGGCTAAGTTTTATGGTTTACTTATTATACGATTCAAATTTATAAAAAAAAGTATTAGAGGTCATTTTTTGTCGTATTTTAAACAAACAAGTACAGTACTGCCTCAGTGTTTATCAAGAGATCTAGGGTTACGTTGTAACCCCATTAATTTGAACGGGAAAATAAGTACATATTTGAGAGATTCCGTTACGTCTGCTTAAAGGTAAAAAAGTCAGTTGCTTATAATTGGTTATGACCTCTTTTTTCCGCAATTAGACAATGCGATTGTTCAATTTGCGTAGAGATATTGTTGGCTATCTGGAGTGATTAAACGACGTATTTTTTCTAAGATTTTTTACAAAAACGAATCAGGAAATAAAACCTCAGAGCAACTTAAAATACATTTAATCTTATAATGAACACATTAAAATGGCGGCAACCACACTTCAAAGTGCGGTCCATACGCCAGCTTTTTACGTAGACTGTTCTCGAACACGGCATCACGCGTTGAGTCACGTGATTTGACATCACGACATTCGCGTGTCACCTCTCGCGCAGCTCTCAGCAACTTTGACACATGCGCCACGCTCTCTCTGACATCTTCAAATGATAACTGAAATTATATAGGTATACCTACACTAATATTATGAAAATGCGCTAACCTCAGGAACTAAGTACTTTATAGATACGCCGGCTCCGCAACACAAAATGTGTTTTGTACTTCAAAACGAAAAACTTCCCCCGTCCCGTCGCGAATATAATAAGCTAAGACTAAGAGATAGAACAGGCTAACTCTGCTGCAAATTTTTAATTATAGTAACTTTTGTGATCATTTCAGTATAATATATAAAGAGCACACAACTATCCCTTTTTTGCCTTTTCGAAAATCTTACCTAGATCGTCCAAGTGAAACAAAATAAGGGTACATAATTGGAAAATGACAGTTTTGAATTTTTTATGTAATAGGAGGCAAACGGGCAGGAGGCTCACCTAATGTTAAATGATACCGCCGCCCATGGACACTCAATGCCAGATGGCTTGCGAGTGCGTTGCCGGCCCTTTAAGAATTGATACTCTCTTTTCTTGAAGGACCCTTAGTCGAATTGGTTGGGAGATACTTTAGTGGGCAGCTGGTTCCACGTAGTTGTGGTGCGCGGCAGAAATTGCCTTAAAAAACGCTCAGTTGTCGAACGACGGACGTCGAGGTGATACAGATGGTATTTTGTATTCTGCCTTGACGTCCTATAATGAAACTCAGTTGCAGGTATTAATCCGAACAACTAACAATTAGACCAAATTGTTATTTTCCTTCCTAACGTGGCCCGTAGACACGCTCTTTAAAAACAAAAAGATTTGATAATAATTCTATAGACATCACTGACGCAACGAATTTGTCTTTACACGCGACTTTGCAATAGACAATTATTTAGCATTTATTAGAACATATTTTTTTTTACCTGGTCGTCATTAGAATGCGTGTGGGGATATATTCGTATCCACTGTCCCACACGATTTACCCCTTTGTCCCATCTCACCCCGTTTCCCCACATACAAGCATTTATCATACGCCTTCGAGATGCAGCCGTCGCATAACCACCACGCCATGTCTCATCCACTGGTTCTGGTGGCGAAGCTATACTTGTAGCAGACTGAAAGTTATAAAAAGTTAAAATAATTATAATAATACGTTAAAGTTATATTAAATTATTATTATAATATACGCTATATATTATTTATTCGTTTTAATAAATTGGATTGTTAGTTTTTACAGTCTTAATTTATTTAAAAACGCAAAAACACGAGTCTTTTTTGTCTCTTAGTTATATTCATAATTCATCTCGATAAATCTATACAATAACAGATTAACAGCCGTATTTATAATCGTCCATTATATTAAAGTATAAATTGAGTTGCCTGTATAAATAAATTATATTTAATGCCCGGTTAGATAACGACTGATTCAAGGAAGCACAACTCATTTCAATCGTTACGACATAGTAAGGGATTACCCCTTTAATAATAATAAGTACTCTAACTTTTATTATGACTGGATCGAGTAATAATAAATCAAGTGTTTAATAAATTATCCAAACCTGAGAGTCCAGTCTTTCACTAAGGTCTGATGATGATTTGTTTGAATTAAGCTGACTCACATTATTTGTCGGAACATCCTGAAAAAGCAACGTTTCTTTACTAAATAAGTAATTAAGTAGTAATTACAGTTTGTCTGCTATTTATAAAAAATAGTTTGGGATAATGCGTCTTCCATATGCATTGGTTTTTCTACCTAACAGTTGCCCTTTTAACGTTTAATAAACTTAAAAATATACTTACAATCTTGTTTTATGATTTACGCAAATCTTAAAATTAAATATTTTAAATTTCTGGGTTCGTTGAGATAAGCCACTTGCTAGTAGGACTGTTGAAACAAATATAGTATTCGTGTGAATAATAGATTTAAACTGTATCGTGTCAAATTGTATGTGATTGCCTCAATTTTTTATTACATTATATTTTTCAGCCATTGGTGGTTGCAGGGTGACACAATTCAAAGGCATCGCTCTCCGACGTCGCTGAGATCGCCCACCACGCTTATGACCAGACGACGAGCGACTTCCGGCACTTGGAATACCACTTTCATCTTCCGAACTGCAACTTCGAGTAATCAAATTTTAGTACTACTTAGAAAATTCACAAAAGGGAACAAGATAATGCACAGTTTTGTATTGCAAATCGAATGGACGTGTTTCAGAGTAGCGATTACTAAGGAAGAAAATAATCCTCAGGAAGTAAATAAAGATGTTCTCCTTAGATATAGGGCTGGCCTGGTAAACTTTCAATAAATTGAAACAAATAAAAAGTAAATTTAATTAAAAATATATCAGTGGTGCTACAACCTTTTTAGGTCTTGGCCTCAGATTTCTGAATGTGTTTCATCATCATTTTTAAATACAAATAGGTGATCAGCCTCCTGTGCCTGACACACATTAAAAGTGAACTACAATACCTCATGATATGTGGTGTAGGTGGTCCCTGTAAGTAGGAGAGACCAGTGTGTTTCATTGGTAAACCAAGAAGATCGAACAGTTCGTGTAGCATTGGCTGCTTTACTGTAACATCCGCCTCGCAATCAGCTTGTAATGCTGGCGAAAGATTAACCTACAAATAAATAAAAAATTTTAAACATGACTATAATGTTTTATCAATTTTGGGCTGATTTTAAAACAATTTTGGATATAATTTTAAGATTTAATTACACATTTATTATAAGAAAAACTTTTGTTTTAATAGCAACCTAAAATTTATCCCTCAAATTGTTGAATAGTTGGTCACAACTACATTAATACATAATATATAAGGGCATGATAAGAACATATCTATTTAGTCCCAAAATTTAGAAGTGTGTCAGGCACATAAGCCCGATCACCTTCAAGCCTTTCAAGAAAACTGACAAAACCAGATTCCAGATTAAGAAACTTCAGGTAGATAACTTTGGTTTACTTCATGAAACTACAAATATCTTGCCTCGATCAACCAAGGCTTTAAAGCGTCATCTAGCAATACATCAAAGCCATAAAACTCAAAGCAATTCCTTGTAGGTGGCGTTCCAGCGGCTTGCGCTAAAAGCGTCAGAGTAACTAGGGCTCTGATTTTTTGCCAAACGAGCCACTCTACTGCGCCCCATCTACCGATAAGGGCGCGACGTACTTGTTTCAGCGTCCATTTGCAACCTGAAAATGCCTCATTGTTTTACTAATAGATGGCGCTAATATGCAAAAAATGTCATTTACCAGAAGTATAGTTAAAACGTACAGAATTATAAAATAATCTTGTAGGTTAAGAATTTCGTTTTCATGATTACGAATTGAACAAACCTACAAAGCAGCGTCTACTACGATTTACTGCCTAAAGGAAAGTACTACTTTACCAATGTTCGTATCAACCTATTTTTCGTGTGTTAGCATTGTAGTTACTATTAATGTTTTTGACATATAACGCGCTTTATACTAATTCAATCAAATAAATCGTTACCGGACAATACTTTTAATATGATGATGTATTTGATAACAATAAAGGCTTGCATATCCTACAGACGTTTGCTCCAATGGTTATTTGCATTATATGCGACCAAGGATATTGCATTATAGGTATTTTAAAAATAACGATTTTACTACCGTCAAATATTTTTTTTTAGTTTATAATATGATGAACAAATAGTTCTTGAAAATATAAACTTTATATGTATTATAAACTTTGTATTTGTATTTCTTTGCAGATTCTCAACAAATTTTTCTTACCGCTTCCAATTCTTTCCTTACATTCCGAATATCTTGGTCCTGTTTTATTCAAAGACGAGTTTGTCAGATGGCGGTATGGATTGTGTATGTCTGATAGAGTATACTTATCGGTACCTGCAAAAAAACGTAATAAACTAAATTTAACTATTTACCAGTGAAAGAATGAATAAACCAGTCTTAAAACATAGACCAATAAAACATAGACAAAACAAAAACGGCAACTTGTGCCTCAAAACTAGCTGCTGTGGTCTCTGGCAGTATGACCAGCGCCGTGGAACAGTCTGCTCCTCAGCATAATGCTGAGCCAGGGCCAATTACGACCACAGCACACACGCATTTCACACTTGAAACGAACCGAAAGGGAAAAGTGTTTTTTTTTATGTCATTATATTTTTTTTCTTTGATTATTGTTATTACGTGTGTTTGTGTGTGTTTTTGTTAGTAATAAATGTTATGTCTATGTCATAACACAGATCACTTACTTGCTTATGAATTATCAGTAAAATGGAAATGGGAATGAAATTATAACTTGAAAACCTTATAAAATTCGTTAACATATTTCTAAATATATACAATAATTGGTAAAGAATATTTAGACTTAACAAAAGCGATGCGCTTTTGTCCAACTTAAAGTTAAATAAAGAACTGTAAATTAGTTAAACTTTGTAAACAGTTTTTACACTTACCGAACCTAGCTAACCCCTCTGCATACATATAGGCCGTTAAAGGTCTGTAACCGGGAACACATACATACAAACGGAGGTCAAACTTGTAACCTGCCATGAGCAAAGGTCTCTCTATATACCGTTGAACCACGGCGGACGTACCACAACGTAATTCACAGATACTCTGTAATAAAATAAAAACAATAAATTAAGTCCTAGTATATAGTTTTAAAATGGCTTTGGACTTTGCCACTATGATTCCTCCTGAGTCGTATTCTTCAGTGCTGAAAGTCGTGTCACTATAAGGCGCCTGCGTCCTGCTAGTGATATCTCTCCACTTTGTTCGGTCTGTACCTTCTCTAATAGCAGCTTTTTTGGGGAGACCCGCGAGAATTATGACTTGGCCACACCAGCGGCGATCTGCCCCGATTTGCCTTCAAACCGACGATAACCAGCTTGTCCAGGTTATCTGGTTCGCGACGGGCGTGACCAATATGACCAAAGTAAGTAAGAACTCTTTTATAACATGTAATTCTCCTACGAACTTATGGAAATGATATTTCGTCTCTTTAGAGTCTTAGCTGTCTCTTTAATTATCTATTGCCAAATGCTAATTGCGCTAATAAAAATCCACACATTCACGGCCGAGGTTTGTATACACAACTCCAGGATTTAATACTCGCTAACCAATTGCCTTACACTGCAGCTTGTCAATCACAGACAAAAGAGAAAACCTTGCATAAGGAATAATCGCTTAAATTCTGCTAATTTCCAAGCAATATGTACATTTATTTGCAGTACCAATTCATGTTTAACGTTGGTATATGACCTGCCTCAATCGCGTGATTAGAAATACTTATTTTGCAACACATAAATGACGTACGACGAGATTTAGTAATCAAATTATTTAAATTAAGCTTTACAGTTGAATTCTGACTGAAGCGACTCCGTCAATCTGTAACATAATACTGCTAGTACTGGTATACCGAATATATAATATTTCGATGACGTCAATATTATAATATTTTGCAAATACTTCATTTTAATAAACCCAATAAATTCTTTCATTTTCTCAGCCTGCGTGCTGAAATATGTTTTGTATTTATGTTTAATAACCAATAATACATAATATATTATTCATAATAACTTTTACTTAAATACACAATACTACGTATGTAATAGATTAATTACATTTTCAGAATGTTGTATTGATAATGAAAGAAATTCTAATTTCGTCCCGTTCTAATCTTTATAGCTACAAAGGTTTCATCAATCATAATGTCTGATTACTTACACGAAAGAGAAATATCCCTCGGCCCTGGCTTTGCGCAACCGGTTTGTGAATCCAAACAACATTAGCGCCTTCATCGCATCTACGTAATTTTGAGCATTCTGATACCAGCTTGGCATACTCCAGCGGCAGGTGGTAGCATGGTGGACTGAAAATTATAAGTTTATTATATGACCACTTTCGGTTAGGTTAGGTTTTATTAAGCCTTTTAATTAACATTAAATTTATTATTAACATTTTATTTTCAAGGCTTGATAAAATATCAATAAATAAATGATATGTGTCTGCCACAGTCCACTGCGTAAAGGGACTTAACGTTAAGGGACACATTCAACAGATTTACAACTTCACTTCTACTGTAATACAATTTCATGATAAGAAATGTACGTACGCGTTATATATCTGAACAGTGAATCCCCTTATAACAGGGTACCTACTCTTATAACGCGTTTTTAGTCCCTCGTATAGCACGGGGTTCCCCCATATAACGCGTTATATTTCTGTACTGTGACATTTATAATGATTTGTACGCATATATTTTGTTCATAGCATAGTTTTTTCTTAATTTCTTAGGTATATTTAAATTGCCTTTTACGAGAAAAGTTAAACGAAAATAATTTGTACATAACACGTTATATGGGGTCGTACAAGCGCATTATGCGAAAGATTCCTACAACGCGTTTCCTATAACGCGGAACCAATCAACCGTATCTACGCTTTAAAACTTAGTATACTCTAATTTTGTACCTTTTAAGAAAAAGCTTGAGTCTATGTGATTGCTGTCAGTAACAAGAGGCGAAAACGTGTGTTTTCATCATGTTGAGATCTATGTAGTCGTTATGCAAATGTACTAGTATATTACTTAGTTGTATATGCAGATAAAACTGATATATACAATACAAATAATACATAGTCAAATATTTCTTAATAGAAATACCGTGACGTCTGAACTTAAGTCGAGAATAATTCTAACGTAAACTTGAACTTCGACATTGGATATTTGTTTTATGGAGTTGCATGGTCGGTGCATATAATTTATAGATAATCACGTTAATTCTATTGCACAAAGCAAATAACATTTACTTTTTCCTGGGATCACGCGAACTCCGGTACCACTTGGGGTAATTGCTATCAAAGCACGATTCATTAATATTCCTAACTATAATTTAATATTACCTCGAACTTTCACCTTCGTCCCAAGTCAGGAACTATACTTGCATTGACCTTTGCACAAAACATTACTAATTGTTATATGCTCATTTTTATTCTTGTAATTGTTTTGTCAAATATAAAAATGTATAATTAAGTGAATAGCATTTCATTTGTAAAAGGAGCCGGTACCGCTCATTAGCTTATCGATTTTAAAAGTCTGAGAAGGGCAAACGAAAAAAGTAATTGACTAACCTTATTTAAAGCCCAATTAAACATTTTCTTAAACAAAACCTAAAAAGTGTCTAGAAAGACTGTCTGTTTTTCATCACAATCCCAGAACTCAATAAACAAACGTATACAAAAAGTATTTTCTTTTTTTCGTGTTAGTGCCGTGAGACACGCAAACGTACGCGTGATTTCATTCAAATATCCAATGACGCCGTGCGATTGACTCGTGCCCTAGGGAAAATGACAATTTGATAGACATTGCTCTACTTATAAAAGTGGAATCCTGGATATGCATAGGGAAAAGGAAGGAAAAAGGTCATACGTTTAATATAAAAAAGTGCTTGCGTACAAAGTACACATGTCAGAAGTGAAACTTGTTTGGCAAACTAATTTTTAAGTCTTGTTCATATTTATACAAATCTAAAACTTTAGATTTACGAGACTTAGAGGGAGGGAAAAAGGAAGATATGTTAGGAGTTTAATGAATTTAATTGTCATAAAATATTAAAAGTGTCGAAAATCAATACAAATTATAAATTTAATTTTTTAAATTTATTTCTTCGATAATAATAACACGTGGCATTTTTATTCACAATTCGTCATTTGAGATTTCAATAAATTATTTTGCATAAAATATAAAATACTTATATTTCATAAATTCTCTTTACGAAATTTTAATTTAAAAAAAATAGAATTTCTATAAGGTAATTCGCCCTTCTCACTCTCTCTCAATCGATCTCAATCGCTCTCTCCCTTTTCTTCGACAAAAACGCTGCGCGTCTTCGTGACGTTTCATCCGTAAAAAAATTACCCTCATGCGCCTTAAGAAGTTTCACTTCAAAAAAGATTTACAATTATAAAGTACACTAAGTAATAAATACAGTTCACACGTCAATGTCCCTTATTTCCATCAAAAAGGTTTATTATTTTTTACATTATTATTTTATTATAATAAAAAACGTCATAAGAGAATTCTTTTTTTGGCGGACACTATCTAAACCTAAAATACCTTAATTTTCAATTCAAAAAAGTCGGACTAACTATCGTTAATATTTTTTTACAAGGTACTACATGACGGAACCGTGTTGCCTTAACAACACTTTAACAAACGACTCTTAACCTTTAGGTCATACGTTCAAACCTAAGTGTGCATCAATTGAATACTTGGACAGTATTAAATTATTGCAAGGATCGCATATCTTAGAACCAAAAATCTCGACATACACAAAGGCCCACATACTTCCCTGCCTTAAAGAAAAAATATCAATCAAAACAAGACTTAGATTGAAACTTCTGAATTGAAAGAATAGCAATTCGTAATATCATATATAACGCTACCTTCTTTCCACGTCAATCTTTCTATCTTATCGTGACAGCAAAAACAAAAGAATATTATATTTAAAAAATTTACATGCTTAATTTACATTCATGAAATCGCGTGTCGATTTTTTATGACTTTAAATTATCCGACTTTTATAGACCGTCTTCATTCGCGTTTCTTTAATTTCGATAATCAAAATTTTACTTTATTAACGTCGTAAACGTAATTTTTGATTATTGCAAATTTTAACCCAATTAAACGATACTTCCGCAAACCATGAATTAATGTCAAAAAGCGATTAAAGTCAGACCTTGGCCCATTTATGATTTTAAAATAAAATATGGTGCTTTTGCAATTTGATATTATCTTTAGTTGACATTTTTTAGTTAGAAGTAATTTCTATTTTTGAATATAAAAGAAAACTTACTTTTCTTCTAGCGAACGGTGTAGTTGAATTACACGTTACAGTATAACAAAAATTTACGTAAATGTTTATACGATAGATTTTATCTAAATCTACTTACATTTTTTTAAATTGCAATGTCGAACATAATTTCGCCACACTGTTTTAATTTAGCCTATTAATAAATAGGTATGTTATTTGGTTTTTAAAATAACTATTACACAAGTGCGAAAAGAGCGTACCAAATTTTAAAAGGCCGGCTACGCACTCGCGAGCCCTCTGGCATTGAGAGTGTCCATGGTCGGCGGTATCACTTAAGATCACGTGAGCCTCCTGACCATTTACCCCCTGTTCAATAAAAGAAAGGATAAAAAAAAGCAACGTGTACTTATTAAGGAAACTTCTTTGGCATTATTAAAAATAGTTTTTGATTGCATGCAAATATGTAATTAATTACAATTAAATAATCAAAGACTGGAAAAGGATTCATTATAGTCAATAAAGTTCAGTTTACATTTGAAAAATTAAATAAATAAATATTAATTATTATTCTCTTACATTAAGTGTAACATAAATTCTATTATTATTCGCATGTTGTTTTTAAATTATGTCCAATGCCGTAGCATCTTCCGTGGGCAACTTCATTCTGTTAATTTTGTGTCACGGTGCGCGCGCATCTTAAAATTTCACTCTCATCAATTTTTCATAACGCGCCTAAAGAAGTATAACTTCAAAAAGTGCAGTACTACTTATCTTTTGATAGGGTTTCAAAAGATAAGTAAACTTATCAAAATCATCTCAAACATACCTAAAGTCATAAATGGGTCCGTAAATTCTTCGCATGCAGCGTAGGAGTCGGGATAGGCTATCCTTGCGGCAAATAGAGCCTCCTTTTGGTATGTGATTCATGAACTGAAATTAAATGTGATATGTTTATATTTAAAATTTACTGTTTACAACAATAAAGTAATGTAGTTTTAAGGAGAAACGAGTGGGCTAATCACACCCTTATCTCGCTTCGTCGTGAAAAACCAACAAAATTTTTTTTAATAAAAAAAATATATAAAAAAATATAGAGAAAAAAACTGGGGTTCCCCAAAGGGGGGGGTGTTTTTTTCTACGGCCGTAATGTAACGTTGGGTGACGTCACCCATACGTTGTCTATAAATAACATCGGAGTAGGTTCTCTCGAGAACGTTGAGTGTCACCGTAACGTCAAATAGCGGTGTTGTCATTTGCATGACGGTCATAGCGGTGATAAACAGTAGTTCAACGTGTTTCGCGAGTAGCGGTGCGCATATTTAATTAAAACAATGACTTGGACGAGGGAAAATGATGAACAATTAATTGATTTTGTTAAAAATCATGAAGCTTCATACAATATTAAATCCAAAGAGTACAGACAAGCTCAGATGAAGCAAAATTTGTGGAACGAAAATGGAATAACACTTCAAAAATACGGTCGCACTACTTTCTAGGAAACCACAGCTTGGCCACCGTAAAGACGGCTGTTATTAACGACCGTAAAATGACGGCCGTTAGTAAACGGCACCGCTTTTATAGGAAACCGTAGCTTTACACTAAGAAATAAGAATAGTTTTATTTTATATAATATGTATATATAAAAAATTATGTAATAGGTCATATATACAGTTAACACAAAAACAAATACAGTTTTTAAGTAAAACATCTCGTCGTGCACCTCTTAAAGTATGACAAAACATTAGCTCCTGGTGGTCATGTGCAAATCAAAGGTTATACATATCGGTTACACAGAGGCATTTAATAGTTTTGTAGTATCAACATGAGCTGCTGGATGTACTTATCATAAATCATAGATTTATTTTACTTCTCATTTGAACGACAAAAGTAGACGTGGAAACAACATAAAATGCACAGTAATCCAACTGGAGCATGCATAATGGTAAAAACGTTCCCCAATAGGTATATCTATAGATTGAAATGGAACGACAGCGAGCCTATTGTACGGCGGCCGTAAACATGAATAAAAATACTGTCAAACACGAGCATCGATCATAAAACTATCTATGTTCACAGTCTTCATAACTTTGGATTAGTCCGGATCACGAGAAAATTCCATAGAAAACAACCATCAATGAACAATTGTGGAACATCGTTCTATCACACGTAACAGAAATAAAATATTTGTTTATGATATAAATGCATGTACTTTAACTGTGTATACGTGAATAACGATTTAACTCCTTGTAAGATAATGATATATTTAGACGCACAATTTGAGTCATTTTTTTTTTGTAATTAGATATCTGAAATAACTTGCTTATAAAATTTAATTAAATAATTATATAATATTTTAGTTACATTAAATTGGGAATGGGGTTCATCGATACTTACAATAAAAACTGGTTCAGTTTGTGAGTTTTGGACCTGTGGACTGCTGTAAACTTTATGAGTAGCAATAACAAGTATAACAAGAAATCATGTAAACTGTTTTACTTGAAATAAATTATTTGCATTATTTTAATTGATAGTATTACCTGCCAGTCATCAAGGGTCTTATAACAGGTTGCTGGGAAAGCGCTGCTCCTCCACCACAGGTTCCATTTCTCTTCTCCTGGTGTCGCTTGGTAGATACGCCACCCGCGTTCAGCGCAAACCTAAATGAAATCGAATTGTAAACTTCTCTCGATTTTTTAAATTGGTTAAAAATACAAAGCATTAAAACTACTGAGATTTTGAACTGAATATTTGAAATTCAGATTAAAAATCCTTTCAAATAATATCAGCATGAAACGATAACTATTCAATTAAAATTACGAGTATAAACTCATAACATTATTAATAATCATAAATTTAAATTTTATTTCCCGTCTATCTACTTTATGCCTATTTATTTTTTAATTTAAAGTTCATCGTATAAGTTTTATATCGTTATTTATTTATTTAGGTCATACAAGACATAGTTTCCAATACTGTACTTGCATTTGTTAAACTTCTGATAAAACTTATACTTGTCTTGCGTTTGTCATGTTGTTTAATGAAACTGCTGTGCTTTATTTAGCCCTGACATTTAATTTTCAAAGAGTACCACTGTCGCAATATAATGGTTACAGAGCAAGGCTCATACAATATTACTTAATTTTTTTGTATTTCGTAAAATACACTTTAGCATAAAGCAATAAGACTACTGCTAATATGTCAGATACTCTTAATTATATTTAACTTACCTTAACTAACAAACTGGGTCCAGTACCATTATCATTTAAACGATAAATAAATGGTTCGTCATTGTCCATATCTTTCGACATTTCCTTTAAGTAAAAATTTTATTATTTGGCGTTTCTAAAATAAAAAATATATTTTGTGAAGTGCCATAAATCCCACGTGCAAAATATATTTTTGCGTCGTTGTGATATTCTTCACCGTACGCAAGTGCTAAATATACTCATTGAATGCAGGACCTCAAGGTCGAGAGCAGCAAGCCCAACCACTCGACCAACTTGAACTAAATAAGGAGAATGCTAATTATTATTTAGCGAACTATAATTTAAAATGACGTTTTGTGACTGGATAATTAGTTATAAATTACCATAGATTACCCTATATTAACCGAGGCAGTACATGTTTAAAACGTATGTAGCAAACACAAAAGAAATTAAATTTCTAAAATGCTTAATTCAAAATCAAAAACTATTGTTATGGCATCGTATACCAAATAAATATAAATACAATTAATTGCCGAAAATAGAAATAAGTTAATAAACTTACCTTTTATACAACCTTCATGGAATAAACCATGTCATCATTCAAAATTTGAATGTTTACAAAATTGTTTTCGTGTGTACGTCAAAGGGAAATGAGGCCGACTCTTCCGATCGGCAGCCCTCTATACACTGCTCCCTTGCATCAAAGGTTGGGGAAAATTTATAGCGTCGCATGCCAGGATTCGTGACTGTTATGAAAGAAAATGCCACCGATAAGTAATGACGTGAAGATCTTCACTCGCAAATGTACTGAAATATTTTTTTTCATGTAATTTCATTGTAATATTTTTCTTTTCAAGATTTTTCATAGTGATATCATTATTTTGTCAAAGTACGGTATTATTTTCATACAATTAAATATTTCCGAGCTTTGCGGCCTTTTTTTCGCATAAAATTGTTGAAACTATTTTGTTATAAAAATAAAATAGATCGGCTATATACCGAAAAGATTGTTTTTATCTATTCCAGTCATAAATTGAATGAAATGATTTTGCTTATTTGCAACAAAGTTACTTTAAGAAGTTCTACACCAAAACATCAGCGACCTAAGTTTTATTAATACCAAACCGGATCGCTGTTTAATAAGAAAGTCTAAAATCTATATTTATAAAGTAAACGGTAACATTAGTGTAATTTGTCTTTATTTACCTATCATGAACTTCGAAGGTTGCGATATTGCAAAGCAGAGCACAGCAATTTTATGTCATTATCAATAGTGACTAAATATGGCCTAGGTTTCTAGGTCAACTCTATTTATACACAGTGAGACACACACATAACAGTGAGACATGAGGCCTAACTTAAATCTCACACACACAAACCAGCACACCCCAAACAAAAAGTATCACACAAGTATCATTGATTACTTTCTGGGAAGCCTCTACAAATAAAAAAATATGGTAAAAAGATATATTTTTTTTGTTAATTCTATAAAATAGTTCGACTATTTAACTACTATTTGTATACAGCATACGTGAAAATATAAGTAACGTTGAGAATTTCATGAATTGAATTGTAGCCCATAAACGTTATAATATATATCATATATTTCCATATTATTTAGCGAACTATAATTTAAAATGTCGTTTTGTGACTGGATAATTATTTATAAATTACCATAGATAACCCTATATTAAAACGTATGTAACAAACACAAAACAAATTAAATTCCCAAAATGCTTAATTCAAAATCAAAAACTATTGTTATGGCATCGTATACCAAATAAATATAAATACAATTAATTGCCGAAAATAGAAATTACCTATCCTGAACGTTGAGAAAAACGTTGAGAATTTCATGAATCGAATTGTAGCCCTAAACGTTATAATATATATTTCCAACATATTTATATATTGCGTTTCATCCCTAGAAGAAAAAATACCATAAACATTCTTACCTCACTACGAAGTAAATATTGCAAACCCTAAATTCATTTTATACTTATCATGTTATGTTTACTTAGCTTAACTTAAAAAATGTGTTTGGATTTTGTGTATTTGCGAAATTGGTGTAATCAGCCTCAAATAACTTAGCAAAAGTCAAAGTCATTGACAATAAGCTATACAACCTCATTTGAAAACGTACATTTAGGAAAAAGTTTTCACATATTTTATTTCTTGTTCAGACACAAAAATGTCGAATTTAAACATCTGTGGTTAGTTAACTATTAGCGACCAGTTTCAAGATGCGAGTCGAAGAGGATCTACCGTGTATGTGGTTGCTCCAGAAAATAAAAAAAGGAGACAGTATTGGGTGCTTCCCAGGGAAGGGAAGGGATCGACTTGTACTATGTACATGGCCAATTCGTAACGCTATATCCCAAGTTAAGAATGTGGAGGACTGCGAGGCAGAACTAAATTAAGATGGCGATGGATAAGAACAAAACAGATCCAGTTGTAGTAAAACGTCCTTGCGGGGTTGTAGTATGCTGTTGAATTTGCCAATATCATGTTAGTTATTGATACGAACAGAGGGCGGTAGAGCTTTCCTTTTCACCGAAGCACTTAAATTTTCTGTTTTTTTATTGAGTTAGGTATATGTATAAACAAAAAAATATATAGTCGTTCAGAAAGTAATAGTATTTACTTAAAAAAAAGGTTAAAAAGGTTTGATTTAAAACAATAAACTTTATTTTTGGGTGATTTCAAATATTTTTTCCAAATTAGTAACTCTAATGGCAGACTACGCAGAATTTGTGAGTAAATGGAAAAATATTAACTTTAGTTAATGTCGGTAAAACAGTAATTCAAAGTCACTATTCGTAATGAACGTTGTAGATTCATCTAGTAAAATAAACAAATATTGTCCTCAGTGTATTGAACATCAATTAAGCATTTTTAGACATTTATATGAGTAAAAAACCTGCTGGGTCACGTAAATGATATTAATTTGAAAGTTATAACTGTGCATATTAATGTATTGTAATTTATACCATTAAATAACATTCTTAGACCCGAGTCTACCCACTTTTAGATCTGTTGTACAATAGTTTTGATATTATCTACCTACATAATTTGTGACATCATTATTAGAACCTACATAAATAGGCTATACAAACATGAATTGTTATGAGTGTAACGATATAATATTTGGTCTAACCCAATCAATAAATTGTTATGTTTGCCAACGACAATATCATAATAGATGCATTAGCGTTACACTGGCCATTGACCAGTCCGGAGTGTACTAGCGAGAGTAATGCGTGGACATGTACATTGCACACTGCACATGTCCATGTAAGAGCAATGATAACATACACAATTTAAATAATAATGTAATATACTGTGATTTAAAATGTACCTTGTAAATATTAATGGTTTCATTTAATTTGTGGGAAAAGGGATACTTTTCTTTTATAAAATCCCAGAGGCTCTTTTATCACTGCCTTTTAATAAATTTAAGAAATGTATTAAAGAAAAGCTGTGTAAAAAGGCTTAGTATAAAGTTAACGATTATCTAGATTCTAGTTGATAAAAGGGCCTGGGACTAGTGGTGGACAGGCTACTTCTAATTCATTTGCGATATGTTTTTTTAAATGAGTGTTGTTTGCCATAGTCATTTTGTATGATGATTTTAAAAGAGTACCGATAGTTTTTTACGCCGGCTTTTTCTCTCAGACTACAACACCCTCTGTCTTCCTTGCCGATGAGTAGGGATGTCTACCGATTCAAATTTAATGACGTGGAATAAGTGATATCTTATGTTCCATAATAAACATATTTTATTTTATTGTATATTAATGGATAGCATAAGAATTCTGGTAATTTTATAAAAATAACTTAATTCTATAATAGTATAATATTTTTAGTTAAAATTTGTCCATACATACCTAAGCTAAGCTAATCAATAAATGATGCCTTTTTCTATCAGGTTTAAAGCACAAAATATTCTATGCTATAATATTATATATAGGTAAATAAAAAAAAGAAATATAGAGTGCGGTATTATTTCTTAGTAAAATTTTCACTTTCATTCTCGTGCTATCTTTCTTCCATATTTCTCCATAATTGTCTAGATATAAGCAATGTTTCAATGAAAGCATTTCATAAATTCCGTTAAATCAATAATGAATTTGGAAACAATGAAATTAAAATTTTACCATTTCATTGTTATGTTCACGTTCCAACGGAGATATAACGAACAATTTGTAAAAGGTCGTAACAATTTGTATAGTAAACACAGATTAAGGTACTGACAACCGGTTAAATATATATGATTCATGGTATGGCGTGCTGTTTAACACGTGATAATTATTATTTCAAAATTTACACCAGCTCGTCGACTCTGCCGGACCTTGCTCTTGACCTACGTCTCTTGACATCCGCTTTAAAATGTATAACTACATCTTAAACATTGTCTTTGCACTATGTTTTAATATATTATAACTACTTATCGACTTCGGTTATAAACTTAAAGCACTAAAACACACATTGTTCTATCAGTTTCGTTACCCGCATTGTATTGGTTATTTACTAATATATTATCTACTACTTTCATTAATATAGTACTTAAAGCACACCTTACTAGAAAATAACTTAATATTTAATAAAGTTACCTAATTAGCTCGTTAGCATATACTTTGTGTAAAAGATTATGAAATATCGAATTGTGCAAATTTATTTATTTATTTACACTTCGTTACATTTATGTTATTAGTTTAATAACATAAAACATAAAAATGAAGAGGGATGCAACGGGCGGATTATCGCTAACAAGCGATCTCTTCTAGGCAACCCTAGTAAGGAATCTAAAATCTAAATCTAATCTAAAAAAAGAAATATGTTGGATAAAGTACAAGAAGTACATAACCAAATCTTATAAAAAAATTTTATAGAATCACCAACTTTATATAATTAATCTACAATAATACAATAAAAAAATACACTAAAAACTAAAGTAGTGTTAAATGTTTCTCAATAGAATACTGTTGTTAAAAGGACATTTAATAATTGTATGGCACCGCTTTTTTATCGCTTCAAGGTTGGAATTTCGAAAATATTATATAATAGTTTAAATTGTTTGTATTATTATATTCTTGTAGGAAGTTTTTATTAACACCCACAAGTTTCTTAATCCACGAAATGTGTTTATAAGTTATTCTCATAGCATCGGTATTTGCATAAGGATAAAATAAATAAATCAAATTCTATACTTTAAGCAACTTAGTTGCGTGCGCAGGGTCATATACACTTTCGTCTCCAAGTCTCGTATTCTAAGGGGACGGATGAACCAGAAGTGAACAGATTATTTTGAGTTTTTTTTCACCCATTTTGTGTTCAAATACCGTCAACTTCTTCTCTAATACAATAATTTAAGGTAATTAATCAATATTCTTTCTCTGACTAATTTTTTATAACTGGACTTTTGGTTACTCGAACCATGAACAATTAAAGAGGACGAGTATTTTTTTTCGAGCCGACAGAAATTTTTCGCATCTAAAACTAATATCTAACCGAACGAAGGGTGAATGAGATAGACACGCGAAACTCTGCGACACAGCTTCCACCATCGCTGTGTCGCTTCCACCATCGCTGATGATTAATAGGTACTAAAAGCCAGACGACACACCCAGATATTCCGTACACGGTTATTATTACAAAATATATATGTATGTAATCTGAAGAGTAATGATTAGCTTAATGCTGATTAATTACAGTTTTTGTTAAAGATATGTTAAATTTTAAACTAAAAAATTTAAAATTATACAAAAACCAGCCAATGACATCAGGAAAATCTATATAAATTGGTGATACGAATATATTTCTCTCAATCGCCAAATTTTGACCGGTAACGTGAATTGTGACAATGATTTTGTGGATTATTTGTATTTTACCGATTATATGCTACGGAATATTTCGGTTTAAACGTCGCCGATTATACGGAGTCGCGAATAAAGTGACCGGATCTGAGGATGACATACCGTTCTTTGGAATTGCACCTTACCTCGTTGGAGGCTCCGAACGTAAGCACACCCGCCCTTATTTATAAAAGGTTATCTAGCTTTGTACATTGTAATAACATTGTCTTATTATTGTTGATATCTATTCAGCACAGCGTAACATTTCTTAAAACAGCGTTATTAAACTTAAGTTTCCTTAACCTGAATAATTGTATAGGAAATCCAAAATATAACACAAATAAAATCATAAAATGTGTTAAAAATAAAAAGTGTGTGGTGAACTTTAAAATTTCAATTACATAACCTAATACCCTCACGCACACGCATAAAATCAATGATATAAGTTGACCTTGAGTCACCTCTGCAAGATCCATAATTATTATAATTATGATAATATTTTTCCATAATTATAATTTTAATTCACAAATTTTATATATCCCATCCTCTATAATATGTTATACCACCTACCGATAACGATACCTATAAAATTATTGAGTTTTATACCACTAACTAGAATTTCATGTTTGATTTTTATGTTTTAAATTCCACATACTAGTTAATTTATATTCCTTTTTTTAAATACCGGAAAGTATAGAGGTATCATAACATTATGTATATAACTTTAAAGCCGTTTTCTTTGCTTCCTTAACGATTTACTATAGACTTGAATAATAAATAAATAAAAAGGCGAAGATGGCCTCTGATGACAATTTAAAAAACGTGTTTAAAATACAAGAAATTGACTACGCTATGCCTTTTAAACCAATAAACTGCGCATTTAGGTAAAAAGTTAGGCAAATGTGAAATAACTGTTTATAAGCTTAAGCGCTAAAATGTGTTCATACAATTTACGTTTTATTAATTTTATGGAGGAATGAAGGTGCCGTTCTTTCTCCGACCTAAATACCTTGGTTAATTTGGTTCGGAATAATATTTGAGGGTATGACGTCGTCCCAGCGATTGAAGCTGAAGATGGTGCTGAAGCTACAGGTGTCGCTACATTTTTTTAAATTTAAAGTGATTTATTTACACAAAATTCTACTTTAGTCCACTTAAATATTACGGATTCGTGCTAAGAGCAATATACATTTAAAACCTTTTCATATCGTCAAAAAAAATATGTGTGTGTACTTATAAACAAAAAAAAAAAGAAAAAAAAAACGAAAAATAGAAAACTAGTTTTTTCTTGTGTAGAAAAAACGACACTAACAATAGAAAAAATGTATTTATTTCATTGAAAGTTATATTAAAACGCATTATCTAGTTAAATAAAGTTTATTTAAATATCACAAAAAAATATTTCCACATAATTAAATAAATGGACATTTTTTATTTTAAAATGTTGACTATGCTAACTACAGCGTGTCGATTTTTTGTGATGGTGTGCGCGTTCATCGTCAAAATTTACTCTCATCATTTCACGCGCCAAAAGAAGTATAACTTCAAAAAATCATATGTCTCAGTGGGTTATAATGTAGATCAACTGCGCTGATAAATATAATATAGCATGAATTTCTTAATGGAAAATGCAGACACATTTATTCGTTTATTTCTTTGGAACTAAGACATGTTGTTTACTAAATCTTTTCCTTTGACCAAGTGTTAATTGCCTTTTCAAAGACATGTTCATATGCTTAATTCTTTGCGCGAATAATAAGCTAATACTTGGACGCTTGATTATTTACCTGACCTTAAAATTGTCAATGATACGTTCGTGTTTGACCCATGTGAGTTATTAAATTTAAAAAAATATGATCATTAGTTTTATAATTGCTGTATTTTTTTAGGTGCAATGGATAAGCTTCAAGAATATGCTTACGTCACAACAAGTGTTGGAGGTTTTGCGAAGGCGTTTGTTGGTCCTTTGTTATATTACAGTAAGTATGCAGTATAAGTATTTTAAAGCTCACTCTTATGACTCTATTGCCAAGTTGTGATATGTTTCCATACATATTTAATACAACTTGATATAACGTTACAGTGGTAACCGATGCAGAAAAAGTTGAAATTATACTGAAGCAACATTTAGAGAAAGACAACATAATGCGTTTTATGCGATTTGCTATTGGCTACGCATCTATATTTGCTCCAGGTAACTAGTTTTATATATTCGCCGTTCAAACAAAAATTAAGTATGTAAAACAAAAGACGTAATCATCGCTCGTTTGATTGTCAATAAGCCAAACAATTATTTAATTTTTTGGTTTTAAATTCTAAACTCTGGATACATTTTTAAAATGGCCTAATGTATAAACTATTTACTTTAAATAACGTGTACTTATAGTGTCTATTTGGCGACCCCGGCGAAAGATTGCGGTCCCTTCATTCAGTCCGAAGGTAATATCTAACTTCGTGGATGTGTTTGCAAGAGAAAGCCATAAGTTGGCCCATAAGCTTAAGCCCACGGTAGGCAAAGGCCCATTTCAAATATGGAGATATCTTAATGCATATAGCTTGGACGCCGTTATGGGTAAGACCTCCTAGAAAACTAGAATACATCATTCTGACTGCTAGCAGTAATTATTAACTTCCATAAAACCAGGCTCATGACTATAATTTATATAATATTTTATATTAAATATAATGCTTAATTTTTTACTAATAGGATTATCGCAAATCATAAAAAACCACATACTACGTGTCTTTATTAAACATTCTTCAAGTTATGTGAATAAAAGATAAAAAATTTGACAAAAAATTTTCAACTGAAGACCTTTGATCTTTGTACCAACTGAAATTAAATCTAAATAATATCTGACCCACTACTACTATACGTAGCTACACTATTAAACATTAATCTTATTTTGATGATTTAAAATACTATTTACATTAAAATATTATTTATTAATTGTTTATATTGTAACGTTTTACAGAAACTGCTATGGGTGTCCATGTAAACGCCCAAGAAAATCACGACAATCCGATTCTCACAGCAACGAATAGAGCTTTGTATTACGTTTCTGAAAGAATTTTTAAACTTTGGCTGCAACCTGACTGGTTATACAGATGGTTCCCTCAATATGGAAAATTGGTGTATTATTGTAAAGTGTTGCACGGCTACACCGATGAGGTAAATCTTCCAAACTGGCTGATGGTTAAAAGATTAGAGTAAAATAATATTTTCACTCTGTACTCTAAACTTTTTTCACTCACGGTTTTATTCAATTTATCCGTGACCAGGGTTTATACATTACCTAATACCCTCACGCACACTTATAGAAACCAATTACATAAGTTTACCAATGTCACCTCGGCAAGAACCATAACTATTATAATTATAATAAATTTAGAATATCCCGTCCTCTATTTCTTGTCACCTACTTGACAGCAATAACTATTAAATAATTTAATTTTATGCCACTGACTTGAATTTCATGTTTAATTTCAGATAATAGAGAAGAAAAGAGTGCAAGTAGCAGAACAAGAAAAAGCTAAAGCGGAAGGTGCTGCTGAAGAACTTAACATTAGAATTTTATTTACAGATTTAATTATCGAGACCATTTGAAAATATATTTTTTTTCGACAGGTACAACTCAATCTTACCAACCTCTTAACTTCCTCGATGTCCTAATAAATCAATCTGGGGGTGAGAAGGGATACAGCAATCTGGAGCTACGTGAGGAAGTTATGACTTTCATTATAGCTGCAATGGACACCTCTGCTGTGAGCATGGGATTCACTCTTAAGCTGCTTGCGAAGTATCCAGAAGTGCAGCAGAAAGTTTTCGAAGAGTATGACTTTTTATTCTTAATGACCTTCTTAATGGAAATAGCGAGTAGCGAAAAGCGCAATTTGGAAAGAGTAATTTTTACACTCTTACTTACATCTTTTTCTTTTCTGTCTGTTTGTCCGGATGTACTTAACTTTATTCGAAACTACTAAACCACTTTTATACTCAGTGTGGAGCAACACATTCGGTATTTAAATTTATTGACACATTTCCTTTAAAATTTGGTCTGTGTTAAGTTAATTTGAAGTTTATACAAAGCCATAAATATACGGGAAATGGATACGATTGTCTCCTAATCCTGTATTACATTTTCTGTTTTTAATGTTACTTATGGCGTAAGCCTGCAGCTTATTCAACAGTGTGTGCCAGCCAATCAGAGTCGACAGTAAACCTATAGAATATGTTAACAACTATGTATATTTAGGAAAACAAGTATCTTTCGATAAGAACAGCAGTGAAAACGAAGTAGATAGAAGAATAAACGTGACTTGGAAGAAATACTGGACCCACAAGGAAATTCTGAAAGGAAACTACAGTCTACAACACAAGAAGATGATGATGGATTCAAATATTTTACCTAGTCTTACATACGCAAGTCAAACGTGGGTTTTCAGCAAGAAAACAACTAGAAAAATCCTGTCTTGCCAGCATGCAATGGAAAGAAGCATCCTAAAGTTGAGGAGAATAAACAAAAAAAAAAGGTTGAAATCCGTAAAAAAACCAAACTTACAGATGCACTTGAACAAGCTCTAAGGCTAACACTAGAAATAACGAAATGGACTGGACCTACTGGAAAGAGATGTATAGGACGACAAAGGAAAAGATGGACAGATGACATTGTAGAACTAGCGGGGGAAAACTGGATGAATGTTGCGCAAAACAAAGAAAAATGGAAAAATATGGAGGAGGCTTTTACAGTAAAAGGGGCCATACAAAAACTAGACATAAAAAATTAAAAATAAATCTAACTTAAATTTTGTTAAAACTTACTAACTCAACTAATACTAATATAATATTAAGGAATATAAACTAACAATTGTTGTATGTATGGATTAAATAAAGCTTTAATAATATTAATAATAATGGCGTAAGCACTTAGTACATTTTATAAAGCTCCCAGGGTATCAGTGTCAACCGAATCTCGCAGCAGTGTCCGTTGCCTGTACTGTGGCTTATTACATTATTACTCATAGATCCCCAGCAACAGTCGATAAAATTCATATACATGTGTAATTTGAAATTTTAAAAAATTTAACAAGGGTGTAAATTCCACGCGGTTGGAGCTACCATTCCTATTATTATATTATTATACTATTATATTATTATATTATTATATTATTATATTATTATATTATTATACTATTATATTATTATACTATTATATTATTATATTATTATATTATTATATTATTATACTATTATATTATTATATTATTATAGTATTTAATATCTGTTTCAGGCTCGATGCGGTTTTCGGTAATTCAGATCGTTTACTAGAAAAAGATGACTTACCAAAACTCCAATACTTGGAACGCGTTGTTAAAGAGACACTGCGACTCTATCCTTCTGTACCAGTAATCACAAGAACAACTACTGAAGATGTGGTGGCATTCAGTGAGTTCAAAATATTCTTTCAGGTCACCTAGTTCAACAACTAATTCAAAGATATTTCTGTGTTATTACAATTATTGACTTCCTAGGGTTAGGGTAGCTAATTGACGGCCAAGGCAAACAAAAGAACATATAGATGTTGTTATCATTCATATCAGTATTACCATCTGGGCCCTACAAAAAAGATCGCACCAAGGATACCCTCCATAGTTTATGTTTGTCTATGGAACTGAGGTACAGTTAAAACCCAAATGGACTTCCGATTATATATATTTTTTTAAATAGCGTAGGGGGTCAAATGTGTTCACGGGACGCCCAAAAAGGGCAGTCGTCGCAGCCCTTTTAAGTGGGTGCGTTGCCGGCCTTTAAACTTGATCATATACGAGTATCTTCGTGGTTTCAGAGGAAAATATGACATTGCTAAAGGGATCAGGATTTATTGTATCGATATGGGGAATTCACAGAAACCCCAAGTATTGGGGGCCAGATGCACACTGTTTTGACCCAGACAGATTTCTTCCGGAAAGGATCGAAGGTGTTCCTCCTTGTGCCTTTATACCGTTTAGTCATGGACCTCGGAATTGCCTTGGTAAGTATTTCTAAATAATGCTATGTGCCTTGACAAGCTTTAATAGGACTGATAACTTCGTTGGAGTCAGAGAAAACCATAATTTACACCATTTAGTGGGAGATTGCTAAAGTTTTACACATATTCATTTCCTAGGTTACCAATACGCAATGATGTCAATAAAGACAGTGCTGTCGTCTATCCTCCGTCGGTACCGCGTGGTCGGGGAACCAGAAGCTGGACCCATCCCACACATGAGGGTGAAGATGGAAATAATGCTGAAGCCCCTAGATGGATTTGAAGTGACACTGGAAGAACGATGAAGACTCATTCTGTGCTATACTTAGAGATAAAATTATTTATTGTACTTTCAATGTCGTTAATTAAAATGTTATTTGACAATTAATGTACACTTTTAATTCACACCTGTTTAAGGTTAAAAAGCAAACCTAAGTCTAAAATACCAGTGTAATAGTGATATAATAAATCTATTTACCAAGGCATTTTTATCGAGCTTTAGGAAATTAAAAATATTTTTCATATAATACTACATGTAAGGTTTCTTCTTATAGGTATGCTTTCCTTCAACGTAAAAATCGAGTGCCGCATGGGCAAATAGACAGAAAGTCCATTGGTGCTCAGCCGGGGATCTATACTTCGAATAAATATCTGTCTAAATATCTGAGAGCAACTAGACAAGCACTTCAGTAGTACTGTTTATAACAACCATCAATAAATTATTATTTATAATTAAATAGAATATATCCCATTTAAGTCTCGAGTCTAAAGCAAGCATCCAAATTGTAGGTTTACCGTATTTTCTATAATTATGATAATAATATAATATTAATTGTAATTTAGCTTAAACTGTCATAATAACATGAAGTTTACCTTCCTTGGACCTGAATAAGGAAAAAAATACTGATTTACACATACAATGTCTTATGTAAATGAGTATACCCTCCCGCGGCACGGCTGCCTCGTGGTGCTCGATGCTGTGCATACCCACTAAAACCCCACGTCGCCACCAGCAATCGCCCGAGGCAAGACACGGTAACAGCTAATCTTGTCCGCATCAAGCCTCAACCTATGGCTTCAACCTATAGTCCTAGGCACAGCAAGAGCCATTCATATCGGTTAATTTGCCCTGATTTGTACAGCTGGGGGAGGTCGGGTCAATGCTGATGCATCCCTGTAAGCATTGCAGTTGCATTGCAACGGCGACGCTGTGGTCTCGCGGAAGGGCTTCGGGATCGACCTTCCCTGGCCATCTCCGCCTCTTCTTTATGGCGCATGACGGCTTTGCAGAATCAGATTAGTTAAACTAATCCAACTTAAATTAATATCATCACTTGCTCTGTATAATTTAAAACAATGAAAAACTTGTATTGTAACAATTTAAAGTTAAGAACTTTTGTCGATGTAACAAGCTAAAAAGATGCAAGGAACGAAGGAGGTATGAAATAGCCACTTCTTCCTTGAGTCTTTATCCTTCTATGTAACATAATTGTTTAGCAGCGGTTGTGTTTTCATCCAAAACACTATCGCCACTTAGAATCAAAAAAAAACCTAACTTAACTATCCTCATACTATTGTATGATGTCGACCAAGTCGATTTAATTCAATGAGTTAAATAAATGCATCCTTATTTCAGATTAAGTGGTGGTTTTGCCTCTTCTTTCTTTCTTGAAAGTTAGACTTAGTGCACCGGCTGCCAGTCCGGCGGAGAGAAAGCTTGATTAGAAAACTTAACAAAACGTTGCTTCAGGACTTTTGGTAGTATACACTATATATATATATACTGTTATTAATTTACTTGAGACATTTAAATTGGACCCTATTTGGATATAAGCCATTCCATTTTCACCTATTTTTTCCCTGTCTTGGGCAACTTCATCTGCATTAACGCGCTCTGTTTCTCCTTGGTCTGCCGGCATATCTTCCTTTCTCCGTTAGACTTGTGCCCCGCCTATTACCACTTTTGTTTAAGTTTATATTGTCTCCATTGAAGGGATAAGTTATTAAGCTTACCTAATAAAAGTTATAATTTGCAACATAACAATTCCATTTCATTTACAATTCGTGTATTATTAACTCTTGAAACCAACTTTCCTTATAAAACTGTTAGTGTTCTTTATTAAATTTTACAGATAGTATTTACTTCAAATAAGGGTTATTACCCTTATATAGTATTCACAATTCTAAATGAAACAACACAAAAACGTGTATCGTGAAGTCGTCCGGTCAAACTACTTCAAAATACGTTTTAAATTGTATGCAATTGTAAAGGTCTCTGGAATATTTATTTCAGTATATACTTGATTATACACTTGCGCGCACGATTATTTTACTATGTATTGGTGTTATTTTTGTATTCTATTTATAGTGCTTTCATGGTATACTGGATTCCGATATAAAAGGCGTAATATGTACCTCTTGGCGAAGAAAGTTAAAACACCGAAATTATTGTTCCCCTTTTTTGGAATTTCCTTCGAGGTTTTAGGGAACACTGAAGGTTTGTATCTGAAATTGGGATAACTTTTGCCGCTTTTCAATTTAAAGGAGTCAAATACACAATACCTTTGGGAGACATTACATATATAGGTGTATATATATATTTTTTTAAAATAAAATATTTGCTTTTTTGAAGAACATGATAGCGTTGTTTTTCAAACTATATTAAAAAATCTGATTAAAAACTGATATAGTATCTCTCCAAGGTTTTAAATATTAGTCTCTATTTATTTTAAATATAATTCAATTTCTCTATATACCAATGTTATTGTAGGTACTTATTTGGGGCTAGGCCAGACAGGGCGTATAAAGATAATACATAAAGTGCCTCTGCTTGTAAATATGATTTAGTAGTTTGTACAGTAAATTTGTGTTGCAGCTATCATGAATAAAATGAAATATTATAGCGACTTCTCAACGAGTTCCGGGGGTGTCGCCTGTGGGTGGCTTGGTCCTCTTTTATATTATTGTAAGTATTAAGAAAACATTTTAGGATTCTTTTCCGCGGATTTTAAAACGAGTTTATTTAGTCTCGACTCTAAATTGATTTAAATAGACTCAGTGTTTAAGCTTTACATAATAAATAATTTTCACCAAAAACTACTGCATGAGACCAGGTCGATGCCTCAAATGCGCAGAATCACACTTAACCAAAGATTGTCCTAAAGTGGACCGCAGTACCCCAGCAAAATGTGCCCTATGTCTCGGCCCTCACCCTGCGAATTATAAAGGTTGCGAGGTGTATAAAGAAATTCTAGCTAGAAAAACACAGCGCTCGTCTCTAAGCGCAAGAAAAGCTGCTACGTCACGCTCTCCCAATAGTGGTATAAGCCCAAACCCCCAACCTACAAACCAACCCACGAACCCACCCATAATAAATATATCTCTTAAGATATAATGACGTGGCTAAAAGTAATCATTTAGTCCGAGATACAAATCAACAATCTGTACCAGAAGTCAGTCAACAATCATTTAATAATAGAATTGAGGAAATATTTATAAAACAATCACAAAAAATTGATACAATCCTACAACAAATGAGCACCATCTTGGGGCTCTTGACTACACTAGTTAACAAATTACCACAACAATGAATAAACTCAAAATTGCTACTTTGAACATAGTTGGTCTAACGCCTAAGAAAAATGAAGCTGAAATCCTGCTAAAAATGCATAATCTGGATGCCTTGCTTATTTCTGAGGCGCACCTTACATCCAACAGCCAAATACATGTACAAAACTATAATGTGTATTCAACAAATCATCCCGATGGCACTGCACATGGAGGCACAGCTATTATAATTAGAACCTCCATTGAACACTATGAACTCCCACAATTTCGATCGAAATCCATTCAAGCCACCTCAATAAATATCCAGGATGAAAATGGGAATTTCTGTATCTCCTCGGTTTATTGTCCTCCAAAGCACGCTATAACTGGGGAACACTTCACCACATATATTAACAGTCTGGGTCCACGCTTCATAGCAGGTGGAGATTGGAATTCAAAGCATCTGCACTGGGGGTCGAGATTGATTACCACGCGTGGTAGAGAACTTAAAAAATGCGTTGACAAAAACCACTTAACAACAATCTCCACCCCCGAGCCTACTCACTGGCCAAGTGACCCTGGAAGATTGCCTGATGTAATGGACTTCTTTTTAATGAAGGGTCTTTCACGACTCTTTTATCACATTGATGGCTTTCTCGATGGTTCTTCAACTCACATCCCGGTGATATTAACTGTTAGTACCAATATTTTGGAGTGCCAACGGAAACCAAAATTGTATAACAGGAGAACAAATTGGCAAATGTTTCGTGACCTTGTAGAGGACGCCCTACAATTACGGATTTCACTAAAGAGTAAGGAGGAAATAGATAGTGCAGTCTTGGCATTTACGAGAGTGGTGCAGGATGCATGCTGGAGGAGTTCTGAGGGAGTGGCTCAGAAAAAGACCAGACAGCTCTCTGTACCCCACGAAATTTAGGGCATGATCCTGGAAAAGAGAAGATTACGCACAATAGTCGTCATCCCGATGACAAAACAGCACTAAACATCTACGCTAAACACCTTAAACAGGCTATAAAAGAAAATCTAGATGCTACTATTGAGGAAAACCTGTTGTCGTTAACAGCTACAAAAGACACCGACTACTCTGTCTGGAAGGCATGTAAAAATCTGAATCAACCCACAAACCCTAAACCACCTATAAGGCTAGATAGAAACAAGTGGGCTAGGACTAAACTAGAAAAAGCAAATGCTTTTGCTAACCATCTGGCTAAAGTATTAATTCCAAATGAAGCCACTCCTGCGTAGGATGAGGCAAAAATAGATGACATTCTCCAGCAGGATTTCCAATTGCATTTGCCCTTGAAGATAGTAACACCAAGGGAGGTACAAAGAACCATACAACAAATGGAGAATAGGAAGGCACCAGGTTTTGACCTCATTGACAAAAAGGTTCTCTCCGAATTACCTCGTAAGGCTATAACTTACTTGACGACCCTATTCAACCGGATTATAAGTGTTGGATACTTTCCAGCGCTATGGAAGGTCTCTCAGGTGATTATGGTCCATAAGCCCGGGAAATCGCCACATGACGTCTCGTCTCACCGACCTATAAGTCTTCTCCCGATCGTCTCTAAAGTACTGGAGAAGGTACTACTACGACGGCTCTCGCAAGCTATGCATGAAAATTCTATAATTCCAGATCACCAATTCGGGTTTAGAGCACAACACGGCACTATCGAACAAACTCACAGGGTGTGTAAATTCATAAGCAATAGCCTTGAGCTAAAAGAGTACTGCTCCTCAGCTTTTCTGGACGTTCAACAAGCATTCCATCGGGTATGGCACAAGGGGCTCTTATGCAAGATCAAGTCACTTCTGCCTCATACTTTCTATGGAATCCTAGAGTCTTATATCACCGATAGTACATTCCAAGTGAAAGAGATGGATTGTACATCAGGTTTTCATGATATACTTGCAGGGGTACCTCAAGGCTCTGTACTTGGCCCAGTGCTGTACACCATATTTACCTGAGATCTACCGCGTACCTCTGAAGTCAACATTGCAACCTATGCAGACGATACGGCAATCCTAGCTTCGAGTAAACAACCCGAAGAAGCCACGTTAAAGCTGCAGCGAAGCCTAAATGAAATAAGCAACCGGTTCGATAGGTGGAGAATTAGGGTGAACACTAGCAAATCAGTACAAGTGACATTCACACTGCGAAGAAAGACATGCCCCCCTGTAAACCTAGGAGGAAAGGAACTGCCTCGGAGTGACACAGTTAAATATCTTGTACTGCACTTGGATCGTAGATTGACATGGCAAAAACACATCGAAACAAAACGGCGTGAGATCAACATTAAATATAAGAGGGTAGAAACTCGAAATTTTCCATCGACAACAAACTCCTTATCTACAATTCAGTTATAAAACCCGTGTGGACCTACGGGATACAATTGTGGGGAGCTACATGTGACTCTAACAAAACTAAAATTCAAAGAACACAAAACTACATCCTTAAACAAATAAGCAACGCGCCTTGGTTCATAAGAAACGCCGAAGTACATGAACACCTGGGCATACCTACAGTCAAGGAGGAAATAAAAGTATACGCTCAGAAGTACAAGACTAGGCTGGAAAATCATCCTAACCATCTAGCTGTTCAACTCACCCTACTGGAGTATATAAACCGACTCAAAAGACGAAGAACCCTGGAGCTCAGCAGCATCGACTGAGCTAATATTATTATGGTAGATATTCCTAATGAGGAATATCTCCACCCGCAAATCATCCTACAACTCATCTGCTCATAGTCAGAAGACTGATTGCACGATGCGCTCTATAAAAAAAAAAAAAAAAAAACATAATTAATAAATGTATAAACTAAATAACCAACCTTTTGCCAAGTGACAAATTCTCGGTAATATTAGTTGTTTCACTCTTACGAATAAAATAAATTTGTAACTCGAGTTAAGTTCGGTGGTGGTTATTGGAGAGATGTTCAAATGTATGTTAAATGAAGCTCTTTGATTTAACCTGGGTGTCAACTGGGTTTAATCGTTTAAAAAACTAGCTTAAACTAACACAAAATTAGGAGTTGCGACGCTTGATTAACAAAAAACAAACAAACACTTTTTTTTTATCTTTTTCTATTCCAGTATTTTTCCTAGTTAAAATTTTTTAATGAAGTGTTTTATTGTCTACAGTCTGTGACAAGTCTAACAGGACATACATATTAAAACATACAATATTATTTAGATTCATTCAAAAAGTTAATATCACCTTTTACAGTTTTGTATATACAAATTATTATAAGAACCGTTTTAATACCAGCATAATATTCAGAATTCAGTATAAATTCTTTTCTTGATATCTGCAATTTAAAAGAAGAGTTTTAACTCAAAGAGATGGAACATAATTAATATTTATGATCATATTTCTACGTCTATAATCATTATTATTTTAAAATGTTTTTTTTCAGTGATTACAGATGCTGAAAAGATCGAGATTGTACTACAAAACAATCTTGAAAAGGACGGTTTGCATCGTTTTATACGAGTCCTCGTTGGCAATGCTTCAATATTTTCGAAAGGTTTCCAAGCTTTTTTTTATTTTTTCCTAATTTAACCTGTCAACCAGGCCTGATCTTCGATAAAAGCTTGTACCCTCCGTATTTAGAGTGATTTTTAAATTTTTTAACCAGCATAAAAATTAATAAACAGAAAATTTAAACTAATTTTTGCGAATACTGCTGTATTTGTTACTGTATTACTGTATTTGTTAATTTCAATATTTTTTTTTAGTTTCTATTTGGAGGCCGCGTCGTAAAATCGCAGTTCCAGCATTCAGTCCAAAAATTCTATCAGAATTTGTCAATGTTTTTTCGGTTCAATCGGAAAAACTATCCAACAAACTGAAACCTATGGCTGGAGCTGGAAATTTTAAATTATGGCCGTATGTTAATGCGTATAGTTTGGATGCTATAATGGGTAAGAATATACTATTGAAATTTGTGGCTATTTTTTTTTAAAACGCTACATTGACCCTAAGATATACTCAAATTTAATGATGAATAGAACTGATCGCTATACAAAGAAAGTGTACACAGTTATATCATACATATTTAGCCCAAACGGGGAGAGGACACGCAGATACCTAAAAGAAGATTGAAATAGAAACGTGTTTAAGTGTAAAAAGTATCTGAATTAAAAGGCTATTTTTATTATTATTTAGTCCAAAGATGGATGGATGCTCACCGTCACCTGCTTCCTTTATGTATCTTATAAAAACTCACTTAACACATATTTTAAGGTTTTGAACACTATTATATAGCGACATATAAATCTAACATAAATTTATAGTAACACAACTAATACTAATATTAAGAAATGCAAACTAACTAATTGTTGTATGAATTAATAAAGCTTTAATAATAATATAGCGACAACCAAATTCTCAATTTATTTTTTGTAAAATACATTCGTATTTGTATAAGAGAGTTCTCATTTCATCAAGCATGTCAGTCACACTCACTTAAAAAATAAGAATTTAAAATAAATATGCACTCCTTTATACAGAAACAGCTATAGGTGTCCAGATCAATGCACAAGACAGCCAGGGAAACCCAATCCTTAGAGCGTTAAACGAATCCCTTCGGCTATCTTCTGAGAGGATATTCCACCTATGGCTCCAACCAGATTGGCTGTATAAATTTTTCCCGCAATACAAACAACTTTTGTATCACACAAAAATAGTACACGATTTCACTAGTGAGGTACTGTATTATTATTTGGTAATAACTTATGGCTTAGTAATAATATTACGTATGAGGGATTCATACACCTTTCTGTATTCTGAAATCTACAAATAAAATTTACGTCCACAGCTATTTAAACATCTTTGTTTAGCACAAAAATGCATATAAAAGCAATTTTTATTATTGTTGTTCATTGCAGTATAAATTATATTCTGGATTTTCCTTAGATTATTCGAAAGAAAAGGATGGATATCAATACGAATATTGGTCAAAAACCAGGTAATGTAATTTTTATAACGATTTAAGATGATAAATTTATGTAAGTGGACTATCGTGTAATTGCTTCATGAATGCTCAGTTTAAATCTAAAATTTTATATCATAAAAATTATTCGATGTGTTATGAAAACTCCGCAAATAAATCCAATTTAATAAATAAAATACGTGACATTACGACCAGTATTTCTTAGAATAATATATAAGTATTTTATACTTTTGTACTTTCGTTCCTTCTCATAATAAAATATTCGGTAACAAAACTAATTTCTGAGTGCAACGGTCTTATTGTTTATAAGCGATCTATTCCAGGCAACTAAAATTAATCATTCGAGATACCCGTAAATTCTCCATTTATTCTCTTGTTAAACGTAGATATGTACCAAACGGACACTTCCATAGTATATATTGTTATATTATATTAATAATAATCTATTGTACTACAACCCTATCTTGGTCCCAGATCGCATCCGTTTTTTCGATGAGTTTTATTTTATAGACAAGCCGGTTGGTGTTTGGCCATCAATTTTAGTTTTTTTTATATTTTATTTAATTTAATTAATTATAAGTAATCTCACAGCTAACGTGTACGAATATTTCAGATGTCGTACAAGGTAACTCGGAGACTACGTTTTTGGATCTTCTCATACGTCAGTCTGATCTGCAAGGTGGATACACTGACTTGGAGTTGCGTGAAGAAGTCTTAACTTTCATTATAGCTGCCACGGACACCTCCGCTACGGCTATGGGGTTCACTCTTAAACTCCTAGGGAAATATCCAGAAATTCAGCAAAGAGTGTTTAAAGAGTAGGTCATATTTGTGTTTCTTATTTTTTAGCTAAACATTCCTTAGAAGACACAGAACTTCATAGTCCAGTCAATTTAGACATCCGAAGGTACAAAAAGTCCCTTTGCTTGTCAGCTTGTTGGGACTTTATGATATTATTTTTTATAGATAATTTTATGATCTACATTTTGGTCTAAGGTACTTTTATGATGAAACTTACCATTTTGCTGAAAATTGCGAAAAACTCAATTTTTTGACCTTTGACATTAAATAAAAAAATTCCATACACGGGAATGATGGAGAAGTTTTAAATATTATTTATAATTATGTTTTGAACAATTTTACTGATTTTTAGCTTGTTGGGACTTAATGTACCTTCACTGTAATTTTTTGGTCTAGATTGACCGGACTATTTAATTTAACTCTTCTAATAGAGATTTTCCCTGTTAGCTATTCCCAACCAATAATGTTAAAAAATAGCCCACAATAACAGGGAATAAAGTCTAAGTGAAAAACAATTGAAAGGCTACGTTTGAACTTGCCGGCCCAGTTTTTTAGGTTATCCCTCCTGGAGATTTTCTTGAAGTATGTAAATGCTGTAACACACTGTTAGAGAATTTACATACTTTTACAACACTGTTACATTCGTGTGTTACACCTTGTGTGAAATGTAACACAAAACACTGATGTGCCGGGAACTTTGAGGTTATCCTTAATTCCCCTCGGCTTACCAGGAACGTATACACTCGGCTAGGATCACACTTATTGGATGTAGATTAAGACGTCTTGTCTTGTTTCATGTGTTGACAAATTGACTTACGACAAACGGGATAACGAAAAAAATTTGGTTGTCTGTAAGTCGGTTTACGGACGATAATTTTACGTGATAACCTCATACGAAAATATTGATGAAAAATTGCATACTTTTATGAATCTAATTGAATTAATATCACTAAATTGTAAAATATAAAGGTGTTAATAGAATTTTTTTCTTCGATAAATGAACAGATGCACTCGGTATTTCAAAAAAAATGTTTTTGCTTAAATTATTACTTTATTAATTATACTTATTACAGACTCTCTTTTCATCGGCGGATGAATATTATCCGTAGGTACTAACCGTTATCGCGTCCACGAAATATAATCTCCGAAACACTTTTTAAATTTAATTTCCAGACTGGATGCAGTATTTGAAGGATCAGACCGCTTATTACATAAACACGATTTAGCGAAACTCCAATATTTAGAAAGGGTTATTAAAGAGACCCTGAGATTATTCCCATCAGTTCCGTTCGTAATTCGTAAAGCGGAATATGATACACAATTGAGTAAGTATAATATTTATTTCAATAAAATTTTCAATTAAAACACATTTTTATTTATAATTAATCTTGTATTTTGGAAGAGCCATATTGAGCTAGTGGCTTAAGCATGGAACTCTGAAAGGTTTTTTTTATTAAGTGCGTATTTAAAACTTGTTAGGAAACGTAAAGAAATCGGCATGCCTTAAAATCAAAAAGTTGACGTCTTGTCAGGGAGAAGGTTGGTCATCTACATGCCTGTTAAGAAAAGAAATTGTTAGGAAACAGATACGGAAGTTTAAGATTGACCAAACCAAAGATTGTGGCGCCACTATATTTTTTTAGCTATAGGTTGAATAGATTTTATAAGTGAACATACAATAATTTTCCTTCCAATTTACAGACGAAGACATTACGCTGCCCAAAGGTGCTGGTATAATATGCAGCATATGGGGTGTTCATCGTAATCCTACAATTTGGGGCCCTGACGCCGACTGCTTCGATCCCGATAGATTCCTGCCAAAGAGATGCAAGGACCTCCCAGCCTGTGCTTATATTCCATTTAGCTTCGGACCTCGCAATTGTCTCGGTGACACCATCTTTCTCTTTCTTTATTCCAGTATATTCGTTGGAGACTGTAATAAACTCTCTCTATGAGACCTAATTTTAATTATTTACAGGTTACAAGTATGCAATGATGTCAATGAAGACCGCTCTATCGACACTGCTACGTCGATATCGTGTGGTCGGGGAGCCGGAGGCAGGACCCATCCCTCACATCAGAGTGAAGCTGGAAGTGATGCTGAAGGCGGTCGATGAATACGAAGTAGCAATTGTGGAAAGATAATACCTAATATTAAATGTTGGTTTTTAGTTCAAGTACTAATATAATGTGGTTTTAAACTAGAACTGAAATGCCATCTTCCTGACTCCTATATGACCTCGAAGATCAGGAATCGGAGAGGTTTGCTAATTCGATGAAATAATTTATATTTTAGTATTGATGTTTTTCCTACGAACTTTAAATTTTTTGCAATATTTCATATGTTAGGCCAAAGTAGGAAATTTGAGACGACTGTAACAGATTATATGTTAGCAATCTTGTGCCACTGCACCATTGCTATTTTATCATATAAATGTGTAAAATTACTTTATTAAAATGTCTCCTTATTGAACATTACTAGGCAAGACCATTTTACAGTAGTTCTAATACGTTTTTATGTAATATATTTCTATTGGACCTAGTCTTAGTGACATTTTTGTATATTTGTGTTTGTCGTTTGCTACAGGTCCGATTTATATATTTGTAGTATTTTAAAGACGGAATTGGTGATCGGTTAATTATATTAAAGGTATCTCATAAATATACTAGGCAATATATTATTGTTTCGGTAGAAACCAGTCTACCTTCTACTCTTTAATTGCTTCAGTATATTTTTGTAATTATTATTTTATTACAATCCTTGATACATAACGCAGTCTTAATAACAATATTATTTATTTATTATATTGTTGATAAATACAATGGGATTTAAATAAACTTCTTCCTGCCCGTCTGCCCCTGTTCTAAAAAAAACTAAAAGTCTAGTGGATTGGGTGTGCTGTTTTCTAGACAAATCACATGCTTCTATGAGCGTCTGTCAAATCCGTCACTTTACCGACTGATTAATTTGAAATTTAAAACACATGGAATTTTTTTTATGTAGCCGTAATATTTAGTCAATGTAGTATCCAAATATGATAAATAGTGCATTTTGTATTTTATCAAATCCGACATTGTTCTACGATCATAACGATATGTACATATATATAAGAAGAGCGCTACCTTAAAGGCTGGCAACCCACCTTAAAACCGGTTAACCTTTACTTTTAATTGTTTCAATATTATAACACAGATTTATATTATATTAAAAACTCATTTATTACGTGCAAACAAATAAAATTACGTTTTACCAGTCTTTTTCTGAACTAAACTAAAAATCCATTTTTTTTGCAGTTATAAAAAATCCCACGAAATCTAGTTTTTAATCCGCCCAAAAATATTTATTTATCTATTTCTTAACAATCATTCTTTATTTTATTTTTAATTTTATTTACTATATAAAATCGTTATCTATTCTTTTTTTTATTATTATTATTTTGTGTTTCTGTGTGTGTGTTTTGTTAGGAATAAATGTTATGTCTATGTCTATCTTTTAACTATTAATGCTGTTATTTAACAGATCAGTTGTACGTGCTTCCGAAGGAAATATATACCGCTAATAAAACACTCACATTAAGGATTAATTTATTAAAATATAAGTAATACTTTCAGTTATTAAATACAGATAAATACGTAGTCATACTCATAATTCTATGTCACATTTAGATTAATTTTTATAACAAATTGGTATTCGCTCCATTGTTTTATTCTCATGGACAGTTTTTCTTGTTTTTTAAAAAAAACTTCGTGACGTATATATTATTAAGAATCGCTTTCATCCACCATTAAATCCACCACAATTATAATAATTAGCCAACTGCAAAATCGAGTTTATTGCGTTTGCGTGTTGTCCTCTCTTTTTGCTACCATATTATTTTTGGCACAGAGAGTATATTTGTGTATAATTTCCATATTATCAACGTTTTTCCAATCCCATTTGGTACCCATCAACAGCCTTCATCATGATATCGAGTTTCACTCTCATACTTGGTGCAGGGCTGGTTTCCTCCTCACCAATAATCCGGTATTTTCTCACCACACCGGTTATAGCTGTTTTAATTGACATCAACGCGTACTGATATCCTGAAACACAATAAATAAGTCGTAGTAATTACTGGAGAAACTAACGATAAGTTCAATTGTAAAAATTTAAGTTACCATTATATGTATGTTATTAATAATGCTTAGCATAGGATTAAGTTTTGAAGACTTCATACTAAAATCGATTAAAGGATCAAATTTTAATTATATTTTCTATGACTAGCATTTTTAACTCACCTAAACAGTTTCTCGGTCCACTACTAAAAGGCATGAAACTACAGGAGTTTTGAATACTATATCGTTCAGGTAAAAATCGATCTGGGTCGAAATTCTCAGCATCAGGCCCCCAATATTTAGGGTCTCTGTGAAGTCCCCAAATTGATACTACCACGCCTGAACCACCTGGCAAGATATTTCCTGACGCTGGAACAATCATTTACTTTCACAATATTGTATGTTTTAATAATATTATATTTTTATTTACTCGAACTACTTGATGTTTTTTTACTATAGTCTACCTATCTATTTTTATTCATTTACTACGAAATCAGGGTTATCTAGAACAAACTGCTCTCCGCAGTAAAACTGAATGTAGAGATTTTTATTTGCAAAGTAAGATATGATTTATAAAATGCCATTGTCAAAACACTTACGCAATTTCGTATCCGTCAGGACTTTTCTTATGATAAAAGGCACCGGTGGGAACAACCTTAGTGACTCTTTCACGACTCGTTCTAAAAACTTTAATTTATTCAAATCTTCCTTGACTAAAGGTCTGTCGGAATCACCGAATACTTCCTTGACCCTGTGTAAAGAGTATTTATTAATTAAACCATAGACAAACAGAAGTAATTATGAATATTTTATCTATTCACTTACTCGTCATACAACTTTTCTTGTATTTTGGGATACTTGGCCAGGAGTTTAAGCGTGTTGCCTATTGCTACTGCTGAAGTATCTGTACCAGCTACCGTTAGGGTAAGAACTTCCTCACGGAGCTCCACATTACTGTAACCTCTTTCTCCTCCAGACAACGATATTAGTAGATCCAAGAAACTCTTTCGTCTGTAATCGTCCAAAACTAGAAAAAGAAAATGTATTTAACCCGAAAATCGTTAATTTAGTTTTGTATTGAGCGCTTCTTAATGCTATTATTTATTATTAATCGTAAATATTTTATTATACCTATGGAAAGTGTTCTATTGGAAAGTCGGTACTTAGTATTTGATAAGAAAATTATATATGATTATCATTATTAAGTGGTATAATTCACATCTTAATTTTTTCTGCATTCGTTTTGCTCTTATGTATTATAAACTTATAAAAAGTTGTTTTTATTGGTTTTAAATGAGTTTTGAATTTATTCAGTGATAATTCTCAAATTTCGCTTGGGAGTTTGTTGTAAAAACGAATGCAATTTCCATATAAGGAATGGTTTATCTTCTGGAGCCTGGTTGGTCGTACGCTTAGATTTGTTCTGATTCGAGTGTTATTTCGGTAGCTTAAGTATGTGAAATTTTAAGATTATCTAGGCATTAACAATTACTGTAAAGTTAAAAAAACACATATAAACGAGAATTTATCGCGAATGAGGGAGACAGAGAAGGCCTCGCTAAGTCGTAATAAATTTGGCTACGGTACATCCATTAAATACTCTAAGTACTAGATTGCAGTGATGGTAACGTACACGAACGGAACTTAAGGTTAGAATGCCTAGGCCCATTTCGAGTCGTTGCGCTAGCGGAGTAGCTAAGTAAGCAAGCTTTTACTTTTTTTGGTGACTAAATATTAACATTGACATATGTATATACTTACGGTAATGTGTATCAGCTTCTGGTTTTGAATTTTTTTCGTCTCTCAATTCTATTCGTTTCTTTTGAATTACCTATACAGAATTTTATTCAACATTAGGTCAAACCTGTTTTAGAATTCATTATTGTAATAGGAATATTAGGGCTTCGTTTCAATAAAATCTTACGTCAGCCCGTCATCATATCATGCACCAGCTCGTAAATTAATAAGTATTTTTGAAGCGCAAAATGATTTCTATAAAATATTACTCACTTCATCAGTAAATCCGTACAGCACATCTATGCAATCTTTCTGCACTGTGGATTGAGGAAAAAGATTGAAAACCCAGTCCGGCTGCAGCCAGAGATGGAAAATCCTCTCACAGACCACGTTTAGGAGTGTGTTCATACGCGAAAGGAATGGTGAATCCGGATTTTCCTGAGCTCCCATTTTTACACCCATAGCGGTTTCTGTTAAAAAGTAAACAACAAATTCTTACACTGAATCTTGGTTAAATAACCTAATAAAATGATTTTATTAATGTTTCTCAAGATCTCTTGTGTAGGTAATAATACTTATGGTATCTTTATCTTGTCAGAACAATGCTGCATTTTACTATTGATCATCTCGTGAGCCCTTAGTACTCAGTATACGAATCTATATTTTGAGTCTAAAAATTTGGCTTGGCTAATATGATGAATAAATTGTATATTTTCCCACTTTGGGTAATGGAAAAAAAATTCCGCTAATTAATGCAACTTGGGACGCAATGGACAAAAATTTAAACGCTGCCATTCAAAATTAATCTTTAAGTATGAATTTAAATAGTTTTTCTTTTGAATCCAATTTTCAAAATGAAGAATAGCATTTTTAACTAAAATTGCTAAATTACTTATTAAAAACACGGTTTTCTTTTTCAAACAGGGACCCCTACATCCTAGCCTATCAGGCGCGCAATCAGGCAGATATGTGACCGAGTGGCTAAGCAGCAGGGGAGTGTCGAAATATCCTCTTTCTTAAAAAAGGGACATTATTAACTTTCGCCCGAACTCAATAACCATTTTTGACCATCTGAGATAGCTGTTTGTTATGTTTTAAACATAGACGTGTATATTTTAATGTTATTTGTACGGTTTTATTTACTTTATTTGGTTTACATTGATTATCAAATACGAGTATCGAGTGTAAATTCGGTAAAATGGAATGACAAAGAGCATTTTATGAATCGCCAAAAATGGATTGTCTTCGTGTAGGTATTGGGATGCAGATAGGACATCGATCGACTGTCACGGTCGAACGGCCCAGATTGAAAACAATCTGAGATCATTGTTTTCAATCTGGGATTGTGGATTAATTATTGGGTTCGGGCGTTAAAGGGTTGGCGTTTCCCGGCGGGCCCGGCGACAACTACTCCGGAAATATCGTCATAATATTTATGGGCGAGTCGGGCCCGCGGCCCGGCGCTACCCGCGGTATTTTAACAACACGGTTAAGGCAAGGCTACACGGGCGGTTCACCCGCCGCGGGAAACCGACGTCGTTAGTATCGACGTCACTTGAAACGGTATAATATGTAACCTTAATATTAATTTGTTACACTCAACTTACCACAAACTGAATCAAGAGTATACGATGATAAATAGGGCCACAAGCTAAATTGCCCTTTGCCAGCTGCGTTTGATAAAACGTTTCCCAGTTTTTCTGCCTGCTCTGAAAATACTTCGACAAACGTCTCCACTATCTTTGGGCTAAACGCTGGTAACAAGATTTTTCTTCGCCTTCGCCATATAGATACTATAAATAAGAAATTATTTCATTCGATGATGATAAAAAAATAAATATGTTTGAATTAAATACAGTCTCAACCTACAATACAATATTCAAAAAATAGACGAATAGAACACTAACATTAATTTCAATTTAAATACTTAAGCGTTGAGTGACGAAAGCACCAGCTCTGGGGTCACCGGTACTATCTACCAGGCGCCAACTTAAATCATTACCTGGATAACACTGAAAATGTTTAGAAAATGAAAAACGGCTTAATGTAGAAAGTTGCCAATACTTTTATTGTTTTTCCAAGTAAGCTCCGTTCCTTTCCAACGTCGCATTCGATGGAATCACTGAGAAAAGCAGTGGGCCCATTCTTCCATAGGGGTTCTCGCGTTAGGTTTATTTTCACGTGTAACAAGAGTTTTAGATTTGCCGCCAATTCACAAAAACCAAAGACAAATGAATGCAATATACTACATTAGGTTACCAAAGAGTTCTAAAATTGAAATTTAAAAAAAAGTTTTCATTAGCAATGTTTCTAACTGGCCAGTTCTAAGCATTTTCAGTTCTTTTTAGCGCCTGTGCATTTGAATCCCACGGCCTAAGAGTCTCTACTCCAAATGGAACAAAATCAGTTGGAGGAAACGTCCATGACTTACTACGTTACTACACAAATTAGAATTTATTTAATTATTTGATACAAAGTTTCGAGAAGCAGAATTGAAAATTTATTTTAATAATGTTATCGTTTAATATTTAATTGAAAATCAAGACATGATTTTAAGACATGCATAAGTAAAATTAGAAGCATTTAATATATATTTCTTTTTTGACGTTCATAAATGTACATTGTGTAAAAATGATAAATGATTTTTGAGTTTTGACTTTATTTTGTGTTTTTGTTACTAATAAATGTCATGTCTATGTCTACATTTATGATTCGGTATTTAATTGGAAATTAGCAGATTCTAAAGATTATCATTAAAAATGTAACATAATGAGCGACCACTATCGTAAATTCAATATATATTATGGGCGTCTACTTATAAATTATATAATCAAAACAATATCTGAATAAAAAACGAGTTATCTTAAATAATTACTGTTATTAAAGCTCCAATACCATAAGGTTTAATAATATAACCGCATTGCGAATCATTTAAATGCTATTCAATATAATTATAAGTTAGGTATGTTTTTTATGTTTACTTCTTTAGGCCTTATGATTTATAAGTGATTTTCATCCCCACCTTCCTTCAGTTGATTATAGCGTCCATCTACAAATAGATATAACTAACTTCCCATTTCTATTTCTTACTTCACTTACAAGAATTTTATTCCATACTTACATCTACATACATTTACCTTTTAACAAATATAGGAGTTTGAATTATTGTTTAAAATAAAAGATTCTAAAAGTACCTAGTTATTTTCATTATACAAGTCAATTTTATATGTCGTCTAATTATAATCAGAAATTGAATATCTAAATCATACTAATTAATATGATAAAATATTTGTGAAAAAACTGTCCAACCTTCCTGAGTCTTCAATACAATTGAGGTTACTATCCGTATGTATTATCGAGTATTATTGTTGATTAAAACTGAAACATGAACTTAATTAACTTTTTGTTTATTGCGTTTGTTACAGCAACTTTTTAGAAATATTCTACCCCTTTTCATTTGAGAACAAAGATTTAAGCCAATACTAATAAGGAGAAAATGAAGGCTTGACATATTACAAAAGTAAACATTTTAATAATACCTCATCTCAAAAAAATGATTACATTATTTAATCAAAACATGTAATTTTTCAGATTTAATCTAGCAAATATAAGGACAGAGACAAAACAATTTCAGTGGAAGTGCACTAAATTGAATAAAAAAAGAGTTGTCATCTTATCGCCTAAACATCAAAAACAAGAGGTGGACCCACCATCACCTTCTCCAGACACAATGGATATGGCAGAGATGATACCGCAACGGTTTGAAGTAGATTTCAATGAATTTGATTGTGATGGTGTCGAGGTAGGAATGTTAATTATAAATATGATGGTGATGTTCAAGCTCAACCTCTCACATAGGCACATACTTTATTCCCCCCTACAGGGTAGTTAGAGATATTGTATACCTCAAAACTCCTGTTGCTCTTGTAGTACCAAACTCTTCCACCAAAGTGAGCCCATTCCCACTTATAATGGACAGTGGTATAATACACCTTAATACCTGAGTGCCACCACTCACCATACACTTAAATTAATAGATGTTATTTATATATTTCAGGATATTACAAATAAAATCTTTTGAAACATTGATATCCCAAAAGCAATAAAGCCACTACAAGGTAATAAATCAGTTTTGACATAACTTGAATACTAAAAAGCCAAACAAAGGTGTGCCAACAGTGACAACATAACTTAACAATTTCATTATTTTGTAGGATTAAAGAAAGGTTAAAGAAAATCATGTCAACTATCAACAAGAATCCCCAAACAACTCAAAAGAAACCTACAAGGAAGACACCGGTATTATATTTAAATTATCTCTATCTCTAAATAGAATAAAAGAAAGTTGCTATCCAGGTCTGTAGCATGTGCTACAAATTATATTATTAACACATTTATATAATTATATTAATATAAATGTGTTAAAAATTTTATAATATGAATTATAATTTTTTTTATTTTGTAAGAGAATAATTATAAATATTTATTTATTAAATTTTTCAAATGTAAACTGAACTTTATTGACTATAATGACTCCTTTTCCAGTCTTTGATTATTTAATTATAATTAATTATTTGCATGCAATCAAAATCTATTTCTAATAATGCCAAAGAAGTATAACTTCTTACGCGCGTACATAAGTACACGCACCTTTTTATGTAATTGTTTACTTCAGAAGCTATATGATAAGGTCTCTTTGTTTTACCTTACTCGATTTATCTGCGGAAATCGACAATAGAACTTGCTTTGTACTTGTACTATAAATCCTATTAGATTCCACGTGAAAAATAGTTCAGAAAATTGTGACAAAATAAATAAAGAATGGGCGGATAACGGGCCCATTAGCACTAACACTACTTGTTAAAATATCTATGCAACGAGAAGCTCTTTGTTGTTTATTTCGTATATGTACAAATCGCTTCAAGCGATAATTATTTATCCTTACAGACTATGCTAATACCGAGAAAAATATAATAAAATATAATAAAGTATATATATATATATTAAACATACACAATATCGCTGTGAATTCACTCTGCGAACATATATACGTAAATACGTCAACGTCTTTGATAACGGGCTGACTGGCTGATGCACAGACCCCGTTCTGGCCCTTGGTATCGCAAATGTGGCACATATCCCGTAGGTACAAAAAAAAACCGAAGTTCTTGAAGCACCCTTGGGTTGGTTATTACTTTATACCATACAATTTTACATACCTACCTGTTATATGTTTTGAAATTTTAAAGCAACACAAATTTCTATATATATTTAAAAATAGCACTTTGATATACATATGTACTTTGATGTACATAAAATGTATATATATCCATCCAAGTGCCATTTTTTAGTTAGTAACAGGTTTTAATATAAATTTGAATATGTTTCTTAACTTATTATTTGTGTTTCACATCGTTTAAAACTTTCCTGATCTTCCTCAAATATTCCAAGATCATAATTAGCCAAATAGGTCCACATCTCGAGTTTTAGGAGGACAAAGGAACAATAAATTATTTTTATATGTACATTGTACACACTACCTAGCACCCCTCAACCGTGAGGTTGTGCGTTCGAACCCCGTTTTACTTTTTGTTCTCAATAATAGCTACGAGATTCTTTTAATTCAGTTCAGTTAAATATCGTAAAGAAACCGGCCTTCTTTTCTTTACAAATAAATAAATATTAATGGACGTACCTGGAGCGAAAATCCCGCCATTGCCAATAACATTTCGAATGAACCTGTGCAGATCATCCTTTTCCATACACGTTTTTAATACCATTTCTAAATCCACCGGATCAATGAGCACTATAATTACAAACAATTTATTTTATTACAAGGAATTTATTATAATAATTGTATATGGATAATTAAAGCTAGCATAACTTATACGTGACTTAACCAAGTTAATTGATTTTATTTATCGAGCATAATAAAGAAAATTAGAATAATTTGCTTGTGGTTAAAATATGCGATCAACATACGGGTTTTTTAAAGTTACACGCGCACGTTGTAGTTGATTCTCTGTGCTTAGAAAACCTTTTTAGATCCAAGGGAATCATAACTTACTTCCTAGAACAGCCGTTGGAGATAAATTTAATTCATTAATTATTTAACTTTATTTTTTTCTAATCATGCCTTTAAGAACAACCTATTTTCAAGCACTTCTGCCATTAATCAGTCTTTAACATCATAATAAGGCATAGCAAACAGTTTAATTTCACATTTAATTTAAATAATTTATTGACAGTGCTTGCGCCATTTTCGCCAAAAACTTATTTGAAAATACGAATGCAGTTTCATTGAAATTGTCATACGTCATCATGTCGAGTGAATCACTTGCGGATAGCAAGCAGTCGGTACTTTACTAACAATCAGTTAACGCTACACAATCATACCTGATGCAAGACTCCGACAGAGGTCAAATTTTGTTTGACCTCTGTCGGAGCAGGATTGTTGAGCAAATCTCATGGGCATATCAGTGCGAAATAATTTAATTTATTTTTGAACATTTGAAATACCAGCCTGATCACCTTTTGTCGCAGAACTAGACTCCGTGGTTCTTGGTACAGGTCGTGAGAGTGTGTCGTAATCTTCCTTACTCGACAATATCACACATTTCTGACAAACCCAGGTAGGACGGGTAACTAGTGTCTTATCGACTGATACTATACAATCAAAATGATAAATCTCTTTTTTTAACAGTCATATTACATTTTAAACATTCTCTTGAACTAACCATATATCTCTCATCGATAAGGCAGCGTTCGTAAGAAACTTCGTTCGACCGTTGCTTTTCCGCCTATCCGCCTATCCGCAGATTCGCCTACCACAATGAAGTCTTCCTTTTCATTAATATATAGCCTATGACACTCTCAAACAACGTGACTTTCTACTATATATTATATCCTATTATGTCTTATAACATATTTGACGTTCAAAGTTATGTTTATAATGTCATACAAATGAGCGTATTTATTTATTGATTGAGATCGATACTAATTGGTACCTTTTAGTATATTAAAAGTACTTACAGAAATATAAAATGTGGCCAAGCCATCCTCGCATTATTCCACCCTGATTCATAGTAGAATAGCTGAAATACTGTAAACTCTTCATAATATCTGAAAGTGAGGTTTTTTAAACTTTAAGGCGTTCAATATATTCTCGGTATAGGGTTTGTACTATATTATACTGATGAGGGTGACTAAATTATCTTTACAAAAAATACGTTACTTAATTTTCATAATTCTCCGTAATTACTATATTATATTAAATAAACTTTATTTCTTTCAAAACCTGGTTGAACCTGGTACTTGAAACTAATTAATAAGACAAAGGTTTTTTCTTAATATTTTTAGGATTCACTTCACAAGTTAAATATACACCCCACCCCAGCCATATTTGTTATACACAACTATTCCATGGACTGTTTATACATAAATATATATTATATAACCTATATTTTTATTGCTTGATCTATTTATTATTACATATAATTCTATAAGCATACTTTTGAAATGTTAACTTAACTTACCCTCAGTATTGCCTAGAAAATAATGGGCCACGCCGATAAGTGGTAATTCTTCTTTTGGCCCCGGTATAAGGGAGGCCAATTTCTTCATCCGCCTCCTCTTTATTTGAAAGAAGACAAACCATAGCGTACCCACTAGTATCAATAAGTAGACAATCATTTTACTAAACAGAACACATGACTAGATCACGCGAATTCAAACTCACAACTATGAAAATGCGCCCTTTTATATAGACATTTTCCGTGTACAGTTCACGTCGTTATAAGGTTGAGGGGTTCATGGAACAGCCTTCAACGTGGTAGTTATCTAGCTAGATAATGCATAAAATCTATTACACTATAATAATAGTAGTGAGTTCAATGTTTGTACGTTTTCCTTAAAAGGGTAAAATTTCATTAAAGTTTACGTTTTTTTTTTCACTGTTTGACAGAAATAGTTGGTAACTTATGGTATGTCTTTTCAACAGTGTATGGACAATATAATGAAAATTGTGTATGTAATTTTAATTAATAAAAGGTTTAAATACATAAATTTGTATACATGTTTTTTAGACCACACTTTTCAATACTTTTTTTTTTCTTTTTTTTCACACGTGTATTGTATTGTATTAAATTTGTCTCATTTCAAATTCAAAAATCATTTATTCATATAGGTAACAAAATATACACTTATGAACGTCAAAAAATAAATATATATGAAATGATTCCAATTTTACATTTACTGCCAGTTCTCAAATCAAGGGCGTAGAACGGAAGAGAAGAACTGGCAATAAAAATTCAATATCAAACAATAAAGAAAGTATAGGAAAAAAGTTAGTATAATTTTTTATAAATAATAATCAGGGCACAGAAAACGAACTGTTTCTGTTTCGATATTTTTATTATTAAACTAACAGCAATAAAAATTGTAACTTTCAATTGCTTCTACGTCGACGAAGTCGCGCGATTTAGGTCGTTTAATCATAGTCTATTTAAGTCACATCCACTTACAGATCTACGTAACGATTGTTTATAAATCTAGTCTAGTGTTGATTCAAACGAGTTACTTTGCTTTTGTTATTTGACTTTAAACCAATTAAAGAGAGACGATTTCCGGTCCTAGTGTTCTGTTCTGTCAAATTTTTTAGTATTTTATAAATATGGTTGACGAAGAGTTGCATTTAGGGGCAGTCGCAGTCACAGTTACTTTCCACGTCCCACAATGATTAAACAATAATGTTTCAACGGTGGAGCGGAAGAAGCTTCACTCGCCGTGTCAACTTCAATGTTATTTTGGCCTACGTGATCAGTGAAGTGAGACCCAGTGTCCTCCTTGGCTTTTGGAAGGATATCTAGCTGTGTGCTAATATTACATTTGATTTTTCCTGGGAGAAATAAAGATAACATTGCGTTTGTAAACTCATAAATATATAAATAAATTTATATTAGCTTCACCTGTATGTATGTATGTAACCGACCCCTTTGAGCTCGATTTTGTCCTACTTTGAACGATCAGATTTAATTCAAACTTTGCGCACCTGTCAAAGATCGATGACAATGCAATAATCCGATCAAAGCATCCGATTATCCTAATTTAATTAGATTCGCCAGGATTAATTAATTCCTTTCCGCATCCTTTGCATGCGAGTAAGAGAGATAGAGCTACCTACGTATGGTTTAAAGGCCGGCAACGCACTCGCGAGCTCTCTGGCATTGTGTCCAGGGGCGTCGGTATCACTTAACATCAGGTGAGCCTCCTGCCCGTTTGCCCCCTGTTCTATAAAAAAAAAATGATAACTTCGCCAGTCCTATACAACTAACGAACAATCAACTAGTATAAAAGAAAAAATAAAGCTCTATTTGCTTTTTCCCGTACGTAAGTTTAATATCAGCTGAATAATACTCGATTAACAGATTTTGTATATTTTTTTATTCAGCTCACAATACACACATTTTAAAAGATCTTTCGCCAACTCCTTCCCCTAATTCTTTTGAGTAACGAATTGTAGTAATATCACAAGAAAGGTCAAAACAGAGCGGGCTCCCTGAAAATAAAAAAAAATCCATGTAGTTCGTTTCCTTGAGATTATGTTAGTAAGAATTTTTTATGGCATATTAAATCGACACTTTGTATTCCTAAACAGTAGGTTCTCAAAACAAGCGGTAAAAACCTAAAGTTAGTCAAGAAAACAACAGGAAAAAGACCATTAAATTCCGCTAATGGCACACAGACTGCATTTAAATTCCGAGAGAGAAATTACAATGGCCTAGTGGAGTATTTCCTCTTTGTCTATGACTATAAATGATAACTTAAATTTTGTGCACGATTTCGGAGCTGTATACCGTATTGCTTAAATATTTATAGTAGGCGTTCTTTTTTTATCTTTGGTAGCATTAGTATGCTAATCGAGTTGATTAGCATTAGTATGCTAATCGAGTTGATTAGCATTAGTATGCTAATCGAGTTGATTAGCATTAGTATGAACATCAAGTTGTATAGCATGCTAATGCTAAACACCCGCTTTTTTAGAATTGGTAGTTAGTACTACGGGGCGTCACTAGCCACTCGCAGTGAGTTCCATGGATCCGTGGTGGTATCCCCAAAGTCAAATGAGTCCTGTCTGTTTGTAATATAAGTTATAATTAAATGAAAGCATTTTTAGAACATCAGAGAGACAACTCTGTTTTATACTTCTGTTATTCATCTATCACACATATCTGCGTTAGGTAGATACATAATGTGTTTAGTTAAGTACCTAAAATTTTAGTTACAATACTAAATGAATGAATTTCATGTCGTTACATACCTCTAATAAAAGTTCATACTCCACGATAAATAAACCCCGTGCTGTAAATTTTGGCGTTTGATGAACGATTTGAATCGACAGACGTAAAGCCTAAAAATAATATAGTCGTGTATATAACTAAATCAAAGAATAGGTGACGAGTCTAAGGGTGTCTCAATATGTGATGAAAATGCATACGTAGCTTGGTAATTTATAAGCAAAGATATTTCTAGCCTGAAAAATATTAAATACATACCTCTTCTTTTACAGACATATCCCAAGTGTCGCTGATGATTGTATGTACCAAGTATGATGTAAGTTTAGCCTTAAACAATAAATCAATTATCCGAAAATAATAATTCAAACTTAACCGTAGTATTCATAGAAATACGTACCTCCTTCACAATATTTTCACAAAAATAAATAGCAGATGAAATAATGGCTACGGCGAAGATGATCTGCCAAGACACATAAAGTAAGAAGTTAATGTATCTTTGAACGTCGTGAAACAGCCCGGCAGCGGTGGCTTCCATAAAGTAGTAAAGATATAATATTGTCAGTATCAACCAGACAAACATAGTCAGAAGCAATGCAAAACCGAATTTGTCATTCGCAGTTTCCGACGCTTTAAACAGCATACTGTATACTTTCCCACAAGCATTTATCTTCTTACAAACATTTCTATCTTCCATCCTATACACATTTATTAGGTTTTTATTACGAACAAACAGATCTTTGTCCGAGCGTGTTCCTAAGCCCTTAAGGACCTGATTAATTCTTTTATATCTATCCCGTAGCGCGTAGAGATACGTGCAAAAATAATTCGTCACTGTAAAAGACAGGGAATCAGAAAATGTTATTTGGAAAAGTTTACTGTAATGAAGTGATGCCTTTCTGTTGCCCATGGAAATGCATACAACGAATACACGAATGAAGCAGACGACAAAATGCGAAATCAGAACGAATAAAGATAGGGTCGCACTTTTTGAATAATCTATCTTTTCACCCAATTTCTCGATCTCAGCGTCGATCTCCATAATCTGCTGGATGTGTTCAGTCGATCCGCTTAAGTCATATGAAATCTTCCACATAGAGTACACAACATAGGCAGTTATCACAATATTTTCCACCAAATCCCCGTACTGCCTTATTTTAGTTTCAAATAGAATTCGAAGAATCGTTTGATCGGCAATGAAAACATTATACATAGACCAAAAATACAAAGAGTACCATACGTTGAAGGTAACGAACCCGAGGTAGCTAAATGTCGCAACTACTTTATCACGAGACCACTTTAAAGAGAAAAATGATGCACCTAGAAGTTTTCTCAACAACATTATAAAAACGTATCCATCTAAAATATGGTGAAATTGGCGTTTTCTTTTCAAAAATCGTTGAATAAACATCGTTAGTTCACCCTTCACAACGCAGCCTTTACTGAACCGAAATGGAAATTAATTCTAAAGTGGAGGCAATTCAGGGAAATGAAATAAAACAAATGACTGGTATTTGCAATCATCCAATGGACGATTAGATATTTATTTGTTCAAATGTTCACATTTACAGTAATAACCAAAATGAACGATGTCCACATTATAGTTATATCGTCTTGAACAAATGAAAGGCATATTATATACAAGGGATAAAAGTAAAAGTACATTATTTATAAGCACTATACAACTTTACATAATTAAAATACAAGCTTCGGTATATAATATAGAACATCTCATTGCCAAATACATCATTATTGCAATTTAAATTGATTAGGTGCGTTCATGCATCTGCGTATAATCACAATTCGCCTATTTCCGAACATAACGTTAAACATAAACAAGGAAACTCGATACAAACTGATTACTTAGAAATTAGTTGAAAGGCATTTTAAGCGGTAAATACCCTTATAGTCGAGTTGATGCGGTAATTAAACTTATAATGGCAATTAAACTGAGATTCGAATAGGATTCCGGTTGTAATCAAAGTATATGTGATCTATTAATAACATTTTACAGTCTCCATCAGATTATTTATGGCACGATTAATTAATTTACAAAAATACTTTTAAATCATATTCATGTCGACTAATTATAAATTAAACATTTTTTAATAACCGGGATGGTGATCAGTTTTTGTAAAAACAAAACTAAAAAACATTCATCTTAACTTGTTTTATATATCAGTAACACTTGATTCTTCTGTATCATTATCAATAATTTCACAGTATTTTCCTATTTAGAAACACAGGAAAAACGCAATTTAAAAAAAATTGACTTATTACATATCTAGCTGTTCTAATAAAATATAAAAAAATAATTGCAAATCTTTATTGGAACGCGGAATGTCCGAAGGAATTATTTTTTACCACGACAGAGTTATAATAACATCATGACTATAAAATCAAGTTAAATGCGAGCGAAATAAATCTTAAATTAAAAGCGTTGTGACAAAAGAGGCGGTTTGTTTGCTGTTTATAGCAATAATTAAAATTAATCGAAAAATAGAGAAGACATACACACAATAGTAATGTGTGGCTGCAATAACTTGAAAGATATCAACTTTTTACTTCACCTATTTACGCCGTATATATTTTAGAACTATAACAACACTTTAGCTGCGCTTTACTTAAATATTCGAATATAGAAAACCGATTATATCATCTAGAAGTTTCGATATAGAATTTACAAGGCCTTAGAGCTGCCCTAAGCATTTGGTTCAGGTATCTATATATAATGAACACTATTTGAAATTGTTATGTTCTATACATTAACATAGTTTTTGTATCATGAATATACTTCTATTTAATAAAGCATCTATTAAACACGATTCTATGTATACTTTGTTTAAACAACTATTCTAGCATAGTTCAGTGACGTAATTTAAATTGTGCGTCAGATGTTCTAGGTGTATGATTCGATTCAATTGAAAATTATATTAACTTTATTTCATAGATTTCTATTTTCAGTTATTCAAGCGATTTTTTGTACTAATTTCCATGCAGTATTTCTCCTTGAAAGAAAGAAATAAATCAAAATGTTACCATTTTATTGTTAACATCTTCATTAATCACGTTTGCAGCGTAGTCGGTCTAACTATTATAATTAATAGACAAAGAAAAACCCAGGTTAAGAGAACATGACACTTGCGGAATCATAATTATTCATCAACGTGACAGGCATCGTCATTACATATATTTATGTAACTAAATTGTATATCATTATATTGCTTTTATCTTCGTCATTTCATTGAAAAATTTAATTGGTCGTTAATTAAATGGGGTTTTTAATACATAAATATTATATTTAATATATGATAGAATATGTAAAAAATCGTGTATCATTTCCTCATCATTTTTATTATGTTTTCAACCCTAAATACCCAGAAACCGGCTCAAAGAATGTTGAATTATAATTATTAAGCGCTTGAATAACTTACCACAAAGACCAAAGGTTATGATGTTTTTATATTTATTATACCATTTATATGAAATTACTTTAAATGATTTCCAGGTATTGAAGCAAAAGTTAAAGGTGACGATTAAAACTATTAAAATAATGTGTTCATATACGTTTAGAATAAATATATTTAATCGACGTGCGTGCACGCTGTAACTCACGGCACGCGTACGCAACTTTAGCGTACAAAATAAAAACGTAAAATGTCCTTAACTTAAATGTAATGTCATGGAGTGCCACATTAAAATATCATTAAATATCTTTGGATTCAACCAATATTTTTTTTATTATTTAAATCACTTTCAAAGTTTTAATATCTTAGAAAATATTGCTTTTACACGAATTATTTAGTATTAAATAAAATAATATTTTTAATTAAGTGAATCTGAGACATAATTATCTAAAAGCGGTCCATTTTAACCCAGTAAAAGTCGTTTTGATATTTCGTCTCGAGACTAGAATAAATGAAAAAAACATACCGAATTTTCAAATCATTTTGTAAAATTTTAAGCACATTAAGAGATCTATTATCTACGATCTTCCTAGGGATTAAGTGATCTATTGGTCAAGAGAGCTTTTAGAGATTTAAGTATTGCATGCTTTTATTATGCGAAAGCTATTCCGAGATATTATTATTATAATAATTGAGATTCGGTCACAGAAGATCATGAACGTGAGACGTGTCAAGGTTAGTGATCAATGTCTTCAGAAATGTCATTTCTTTGCGCGCATTCTCCAGAATCACCCTGGGGTCCTGTGAGGTGCATCGGAGACAGTTCGGAGCGAACACCATGGCCAGATTGGCTGAATCCATCTTAGTTTGACTCACCACTTCAGGCGCATTGAATTGTTGCAGGAAGCTTATTAAATATGTCAGTACCTGCGGAATATACATGTTAAATAAAAATGAACTTTGAAATTGAAGATTTATTAATTACTAGTGATATGAAGTTCTTTTGGGTGATTTCAACAGATTTTTTAATCAAACTAAGGTTTCAGCAACTCGAATTGATTTGTCATTGATTAGAAAATTAATACACCTTCCAGAAATGGACCGTTAGTTTTCTTCAATACCGTAACATATATTCTTAACTAAATGATTTATTATTTATTTATTGGTGGATAAAATATTCTTATACGTTCTAATAGTTATTTAAAGGCCTTATTTTATCGGATGCTAAAAAGGATTTAAATAAATGTATAAATAAAAAAAATGAGAAAATTACCAATCTATTAAGCGCGGGCAGCCTCTGCAACGCTCTAGTACAGGCGGCGAAGTCACTCCCGGCCGCCACGCAGGCCCCGTACAAGGCATCCGGGATCAAGGGTTCGTATAACTCCCGGTACCAGAGCTTCAGAAGGCTGGCCGGCGCGTGCGCATCTAAATAATTATTGTAGCTTATTTAAAGTAAATGTAATGTTTTATTTTTTAATATAGATGACGCGTTTTTAGGAAGACCCCTTAATCTTATGAATACATAAATAAAAACAGAAATAATAAATTATGTTATTGAACTCGCACACAAATGACATTTTAACAGTGTCACCCGGTTTGACTTATGGTCAAAGTAAAACCTTGACTAACCTGTCAAGGTTGAGACATCGGGAAGTTCCCAGTTGTCGATCTTGGCCTTCAAGGCGTTGACTTCGTCGACATCCGCCGACACTCTGAAAATACCCTCCGTCTCTCTCCCGTTGAGGGCCAACACTTGCTGAGAGAGAGCCACCTGCACCCACGGCAGCTGCCTGTTCGGAAACCGCTCCTTCTGAAGCATCATCACTTCTTGGAGAGTGTTCCCGAACATCGATTGGCGGAAGATTTGTATCTGGATGATAATAAAAAATTAGTTTGTTGTTAAAATATGTTTATTTACCACGCCTTTTCTCGAAGGGTAGGCAAAGACGACGAATCACCCATAATTATGTGTATTAAATTATAACACGCTATTGTGTTATAAATTCAAACACAAAAACATTAATAATTTATCAATAACTAATTATTTAAAGTAAAATTATAAGCATTAAACTCTAATGTTATAGTTCATTTATCCGTGAGTTGTTTACTGTTATCTTTGAAAATAACATTGTTTGAACAACAAATTAACAGTTTAACCATTAACCATGCCCCACGGCACATTACTTAGTCACCCACGACTGAGGGCAGAGCATATCATCTTTTCGAAAGGAGTCTCACCCGAGCTTGGTCGATGTCGTCCGTAGTGGGCTTCCTCGGCTGTCTTTTGCCTCCGAAGCCGATTCGTTCGAGTCGTTTGCACGCTACGCTCGCGTAGTGGGACACTTGCACGTGAATTGGCCATTTTCCGACCTGCATTAACAATTATTAATATAAAAAAACGTGTGTTACTTATTTACACGCGTTAGAAGTTATTCTTCTTTGGCGTAACAAGATAAAATTATTTCAAAAAATGTTATCTTTCGCCTTATTCTACGTTTGTAGAAAAAACGACACTGACAATAAAAAAAAACTAAAATGTTGACTATTGGTGCGTTCCACTAAGCGCTCACGACGATCAAAATTCTCCTTTAGCCATTCCACATACCGACCGCGGTCGTTGTGGTCACGGCGAAAACGTCACTCATGACGTCATGACTAATGCTCACGCAAGGCTCACAACGACCCATCAAAGAGGTGGGTCAAAGTAAACGTTGAGAATAATTCGGCGCAATTTTTGAAATTGTTTTTGTAATATGATATTCAAAGCTTAAAGATGGCGACAAGAAAAATAACATTATATGATTCTGAAAGAGAAATTGTAGTAGAAGCTATCGTTTCTGAAGCTGAAGCTGCTCGTGCAGAAAGAGGTAAATATAATTATGCAATATAAGTTTAATAAAATTGATTTTAGTTTATATTCAACAGCTATTTATACATTTCCTAAATAATGGATAGCATAACCTAACTCAATAAGTAAACGATATTTATTATCATTAATAATATATATATATTAGGTAAATTTATTTTATTTGTAGATGTATTTTTTGCAACTGAGCTGTTAAGAAAAATTATTAATCAAAATTCTGAAGCTTCCGCATCTGTTGAAGTTGATCAAGAATCTAGTGAATTATACGATGAAGAGACTTCAGAGAGTTTTATTGGAGAAGAACGACTTGATAGTGATAATCCAACCGATCTCAACTCTGAAACTCCAGAATTTGAAGGTTTAATGAATATCTGAAATTCTATTATCATTTTATAAAATATTCAATTATTCTTCACTTTTAACATAAATAAATTTAAGTCCCAAATATTAAAACTTATTGTTTAGGATTACCTAACCTCCTTAAAATTCTACTATTTTCAAACTTGACATTTGTAATATTTACATGAACGCCCGAAACGCTCCATAATCCATTCCACTTGAGTTAACGACAGTAACATTCACAATCAAGTGGAATGGGGAAATCAGCGGTCGTGAGCGTGAGCGTTGTGAACGCTTAGTGGAACGCACCATATAGCTAACTGACGGTTTTTTGTGACGGTGTGCGCGCGCATCATTTTTCCCTAACGCGCCAAAAGAAGTATAACTTTAAAAATATCAGCCACACAAATATTACCATTTTCAGAGAAATCGTGGATTTACCGCTATATTTAATTGTAAAAATAATGAATTTTTGTATGTACCCACATTTATCACTATATTTGACTCACCTCAGGGAAGCAGTCGGCAAAGGCGGGATCCCGATGCCTGTTGACATAATTGGTGAGAGCCGGTTGGAAAGCCGGCGAGGGGGGGACGAAGGCCAGGCACACGGCCAACAGCTCCCACCCGCGGAGCAACGAGTCCCTGAGAGGGTTCTCTGTGGTCTGCCGGCACAACTGCACGTACAGCTCGTCGCGGAGCCTGAGGGACACAGGCTATTGATATACCATATGACATAGTATAAAATACATTTGAAAAAGAAATCGTAAAAAAATTAAACCGACATTATTCATATCATATCTCAAAACCTTAGAATATGTTTGAAAATACCTGATTCAAGTAAAAAAGGATCACTTTGATATGTTATTTGAGTTTCCGAGAAACTTGTGGCCAAATACGTGCTATGAAGACTCGATAGTAGTAATATCGTAATCAAATATTACAATTTCAACAATATCACATACACAGGGTCACACTGATAACCTCCTTTTAGTAATGTCGGTTTTTGACCCAATAGAAGTAGTCACTTTTATCATTAATAAAAAAGGTGACCTTTTCGACTGGTCCTACGAGCCGGAATTAGTGATTGATCATCAATTGATCACACTTGCCTTGCCATTTAATAATCTCTAAGATTGCGGGTTCGATTCGAGAAAACTCAATAATTAGGTACTGAAAAACACCTCTAATTGTAAATTAATTACTGAAAAGTTCCACGCCCAAACAATCGAAATATGTTAGAAAGTAATGAACTCACTTTTCATTAGTGAATGTAGCGTGTAATATATCCTGGGCCACCGAGTTGAGGGTCATACCGGGACGAGCCTTCCGGTCTCCCATGTATATCTGCACCAGACGGAACAGATCTATCGCGGCCTTTTTGTGCCCCTTGTCCCAGTCTGCCCCCACCATTGGGGCACTTATCGATGAAGACGTCCAAGAGAGCATATCGCGGACTGATGCCTGAAGATAAAATTGATTTTTAAATAATGGTGAATGGGAATTTTAAAATAAAGCAATTTTCTTTTAATAGCTTCATCACTACTATCAAAAAACTAAATTCAAACAAAAATACCTTTCTCCTAAAGATTCCCTTGCTGAAGTTGAGGTTGTCCTTTGCGAATATCTCAATGTCCTGTTCGGGTGGGGGCATGTGGGGCAGGAGTGGGGGGTGACGCGGATGTGACCGCACGGGGCTGTACAAGGCTCCACCTTCGGCTCCGTCTGGGACACTGGCCGATGTGCTACCTATACTGGTATTGCCACCGCCCACGGATGACGTCTGAAGACATTAAATATTAAAAAAATCAAAGTTTTAAAGATTTATTATGGTCTCACTTAACCAAAACTTTTATTAAAAATTAAATAATGTTTCTAAAATATACTTTACCGGATCAAAATGAGCTTTAATATTAAATGATTGTAAAAATTCAGTTTTTGAACGATGAAATGAAAAAAATTGCAAAAATAAAGACCAAACTGACCCTGTGAATGCCCGGCGACGGCTGCCGATCCCGCTCAAAGCCAACGAACGTATTATAATAGGAGACGCCATGATTCATATATTCCACATCTAAAGGCCTCTGCGTATACGTGTGAGGCAGGTACACGCCGGATCCGTCGTCGTCATCCGGCGTTCTCGCTCCACCGTCTGAGGATTCGTTATCCGGCTCGTGGCCGGACAGTGACCGGGATTCGGAGCCGGATCTGGAATGCGAAGATCCGGATTCGTTCTCCGAGTCTGAATGGCCGTAGCGGCTTCGGCCTGAAAACGATAAATGTAACGAATTTTGGGGGTCCTTTTGTAAAACGATAAGATGCGGGGCGGGAATTGAATTACGCGTTAATTATTTTCGACTTTCCAGTACTTTACACCACATAATGGTAACTTTTAGGTATAAAGAGTCACTGGGTGTTCACAAATCGTTTTACTATTGGGTACAGAAAAACGTAACGGCGCATTACATGGGGGGGTCAATAATTTTCAAAAATTGTGTGACGTAATACTTATATATAATATATTAATCATTTTGTTAATAACTACTTATAGTAACAAAGGCCACGAAGACACGAGCAACCCGTAAATTATAATTATTTATTTTTAACACTTACTGGATAGCTTTGCCTGCTGTATGATATAATCCTGCAGCGGCAGCAGATGCTGGAGTCCTCGTAAGTCCCAGTTGCAGTACAAGGGGGAACCCCCCTCCTCCTCCTCTTCTCCCTCTTCTGCCTCCGCTGCTCGCTTGTGACCTTTACCAAAAGTATAATGGTTAACAACGCTATCCAATATACCTTCTAGAGGTCTAATTTGTTTAACATAAAATATGAAAATACAAACGTCGCGATTTAGTTCTGTCCCTTGTGGTAGTCCTCTCGAGTCTCTGGTTATGTTTCTGGACATTCGGCTCCGTCAGGGCGGGCTCCAAATTCACGCTTTTTAACTTATAGTTCACTAAAACAATAATATTATACATAATTAATGGTTTCCTGATTCTTTTCTTTATTTTCAATCTAATTTACAAAAATACTTGTATTCTACAGGATTAGACAGGTGACATATTATTTACAAGAATGCCACGTCATCTTTGATTTGTGTCAGTGTGTTTTTGTGTCACGTGACTGAAATACTAATCTATATATATATTTCAATCACTATGTGCCACTTGCAAAGCGTGGCGGGATACAGCTAGTTTTTATACATATATCTTTTTTTAATAAATTTATGATTATTTACAAAATATTTCGCTCTGCACTATTATTAAAGTCACGTCTTCTACAGATAAAAATATATATTAACTATAAATAACATTTTATTTTTATATATTAAGTACGATTCTTCCGTGAAAATATAAGAATTTAAAACATCCTCATCCTCAGACACCTAACATTTTTTACTGTTATACAGTTGAATGAGGTAGTGGAGTTGAGGAATTACCAGCGGCGACGTTGTCGGCCTCGTTGGCGGACGAGAGCCTCATGAAGTTGTGTTCGTGGGGCCTCTGCTGCTGTTTTGAGGATTTGCTCGAAGTGAAGCGCTCGGGCTCTGCCTGTTGGCGTCTGGAAATTGACGAACTGTGGAACAATTAATTGGAATTTCTTTTTTTTAAAAAGCTAGCATATTTACTATCATTGTCTATATTTTTTCTATTTGTCGAAGTTATTTAATATTACAAGTAGTTTTGCACTTCTTGCTTTTTTCTTATTTTGTTTTTCCTCAAAGTCTGTTTGTCGGCTTGGAGTAGATCGCCCGTTGTTCACTTAATTATAATAAAATAAAAATAAAGTTATGTACTTAAATTTATCATTGACTGGTTTTGTTATATATACATACACACACGGCACATATATTTTTTGTCAAAGAAAGCCTGATCTAACCTTGTAAACTCCCTCGGCTGATGCCAGTTGCTGGCATTATGGCGGAGGTCGAGGCTGGTCTGGCGGAAAGGCTTGTCCACACTGTATACGGCTTGCTTCTCCGGGTAACGCTCGATACGGTCCAACTCAGCTAAACGATCTTTGTCTAGATGCCTGTTTATTAAGGAAATTGAGTGTTCAATTTGTGCTTTAACAATTACCTTTTACACATATATCTAACTTTCTCTATATTTTATTTAAAAAAAACTTGGTTTTATGACACAAAATTACATGAATCACATAATGACGTCATTAATAAATGAGGCCATTACTTAAATTCGAATTTATCAAAGCAGACAATCATTAGTATATATATATATATATTTATTATGGTGTTAGATACAATTTTGTCCTTAATATTATATTAGTATGTTAGTAAGTCAATAAAGGCGATTCGATACATGCAATAAGAATTTGTTTGGAGTTATCAAGTATGGTGAGGTGTTTTATATCTAAACAGAAGAACTTTTATCGCTCAAGTATTATTCATGTAGTAAATTTGAATAAAGTATGGCAAAGTAGTTTTAGTATGCTCACCTATCCGAATACCTCTCCCGCGAGTGCCGTGAGAGATGATGCGGTCTTTCCAAGCTCAGCATGTGTCTGGCGCCACCAGCCTCCGTGGCCAGAGATATCGACGACACCAAAGATGGCCGGGCTGCTGACGTCTGAAATATAATAAAAATTCAATTATATTTTTACCAAATATATTATATACAAATTTCAATACAGAATGACCAACCCCAAGAACTCGTACCGCTTATGTCGATATGAGAAATCAAATTTTCGTCATAGATTATAGATTACATGTAAAATCGATAGTGTGTATAAATTTTAATGAAAAACATAATTCTTGTTTCAATCAAATCTTTTTTGGACCTTCGAGCCAGAATGATTTCATTTCAGATATACCTGTAAAAACGGCGTAGGTTGGGGCTTCTGCAATGGACTGCTGGGACTTTGAGGAGATGCTGACTCGCACGATGACCCACCCGCAGATTGCTGCTTCAACTGTCATTATTAACATTTATTCGTGCACTGTATAATTAAAGATTTTTAATTTGAAGAATTAAAGATTTTTAATTTGAAGAATTAAATATTTTTAATATGAAGAATTATAGATTTTTAATTTGAAGAATTTAAGATTCCCATTGATGATAAATTCACACGAATAATATATATTGAATTTGAAAGTATTTGAAATTCGATTACACATAAAAATTATTACTTAGTCAAAGTTATACCATAATTTCCCAACAACCTATTCCACATTAAAAGACCTTTCAGCTTGAATAAAACCCGTGAAAATGTTCCACTCGTATGAGAATCAAGTTTTAAGAGCTCTCAAACTTCACAAAATGAAATTTATATAACATCTGTAGGTGTATTACCTTACGTCTAGTTAATGGAGTGCTTTCGACGGATTTAAAATACTTTTCATGCATCGAGTCATCCGATGCGTCTTTTCGTGGCGAGATAAAACTTCCACTGCGGTTTAATCCTAAAAGAATAGGGATTAGTTAATTTATCAGCTTAAACATAAAAAAGATTTTTTTCAATTCTGATTATAAATCCTTAGTAAGTATGAGTTGTCAACACCATTGCGATAGGTCAGAATCGCAATAAGTAAAAATCGAAATAAAACTGATTAAAATAATAATACGATCGTAGGCATAGGAAAGTAAATTGTCACGGCCAAAATTTTTAACTGTTATTAATTGCTACCTGAATGTGGTGACCATTTATCAGTTTCACCGTGGGTGGGAGGTGGCTGGACGCTGCTCCTCTTCTTTAATTGTGGCGTACAAATTGGTGGATTACATACTGCACTTAGTTCCTAAATGGACAGAAATATTATCTACAGTTAATAAAAAGACGTCCTAAGGTCGATTCTATACATCGGTCATCTTAACGTTTCAGAGGAACAGATGAATTATTAATACATGAACTATTACACTTTAAGCGTTATATGTGATCTCTCGCTTACGGAACAACACATTTTCGAATAATAAAGCGATTATTTATCACCAAACTTCGAGTACTTTGAAGCAAAAAAGATTAAATGATTCTGGTATTCAACGAATGATTCAAAGGCCTTACCTGTTTCCGTCTCTGCTGTGCGCTACTAATGCTACTATCGGAGGACCGTCCCGAGTCCGTATGACGACAAAGAGGAGTCGTTCCATCTTCACTAAGCCTCCCCCGACGGCTTTCGCCGCTGTTTCTATGGATCATAATAAAAACCAAGAATAAATAATAAAACGTTAGTCCTCCCCCAATAATGGGAGATTTCTAACCGGCGTTCTGTTATTATACAAACTGTTATATCGTCAATGCAATATATACAACCTCTTACATTCATACCTCTAACATTTTTGTCCCTTATTCATTCCCAAGGATCAAAATCAACGGAATCTCCTAAACTCTCTCTGTTAAGTGATTATCTCAGTTCTTTTTTCTAGACTGAGAGGCGCCTGAACTCCCAGGTTACGAATACAACAGAATAAACACTACGCATTCAGAGTTTGATATATTCGGTAGCGGGGTGATCAATGTTAAAAAAAAGCGTAGTATATTAGGTGCCTAAACTGCATTAGACGATGAAGTCTAAAGTAACTGTTATATTAAAGTTAAGTATTTCTTTTGTTACTTCTCTTTTTTGGAAATGTTTTTTGTTCGTAAATCTTATGTCAATCGTTACTGTCATATATTTTAGAATGTTAGATTGTAACTGAAAAAAATTCACAGCAACTTTGTGAGCACGCTCAAGAGATTATTAAGAAGTCGTTGAACATCTGCGTTAAGTATCTCGAAATCGAAAAGTAGGCAATAGGTCGTGACACCACTGATCACTGATGTATAACAATGAATTCGCTCAAAATAAACACTTGCAGTGATGTAATATTTATTATAAGCAACCTATTTAGTAGACATTGAACCCAAAATTATTATTTTTGTGCGGTGAGACGTAAACCCATAACGCCTTACATTCGATATACTTTTTACATAAATACCCTTTTATATAAATTAAGATTTTTTATCACAAACATGATGTAGGCGCCATATGGTATTTGAACTCTATTCTGCACAATTTCGTAACTTGATATCATTTAACAGAATGTGTTTATTTGTGAAGCATTAAATTACTACAGTACCTCTCATATCATGTTCATATCTAGCAAAATATGTAAAGTTTGACCTTTTAAACTAGTTATAATTTAAAATTAGGCCATCCACAATAGATTAAACTACAATGTTACATAGGCAAACATTAAAGTAACGTTTTGAATCTGAAATTGTAGAGTCAATTTTGCCAATAGTCATTTTACTAGGTCAAAAGAGTAAAGCTGCCAAAAACCTAGTTAGCATTTTAAAGTGGTAATATTTTGAGAAACTTCCTCACCACCAATCCAAAAATAAAATGTAAAAGCCTACCTGTGATGGTAATGAGATCTCCTGGTACGCACTGGACTTGTTTGTGTGATTGTAACGCTTTTGGTATTGCATGGTGATAATTTACTGGCACTTGCTGTACTGTTGCCATTACTGTTAAGGGGGTCTAGTGTTGATGGTACCTAAAAAGTTAACATTTTTGATGTATTGAAGATAGGCATAGCAAACGCAAATCTTAATACAAAGCTGACAAAACAAGTTTGTTATAAAATCAATACGTAGATGTCCATGGATTTTTCTAAAAAGTTAGGACTAACTAAATAATATAACCCTAGATAATTGGATAGAGATTATATTATCCCTTCATAAATTTTATCTGGTTGATTATTTTTAGACCAGGATACATTTTAGAACATCCATGTAAACAAAATGTCACTCAAAATGTTGAAAAATTCAAAACTATCTCATATTCATTTAATTACTACATTAAAATAACTAATTTAACTGGAATATTAAGTGACTATTTATGTTTTTGTTGCATTTAATTAATTACTATCAATACTGAAAGAACATTTACAAACAATGTAGTCACAGTATAACTCATGCTCTATAAATCTGAATAAGTTTTGAACAACCTTTGGCACAGGGCCAAGTTATCAAAGTGCAATAATGTAAAAAATTCACTTTAGAAAAAGAGGTTAACAGGGTAGGTTGAGATGCTCACTACGGGATAAAAGGCAGCGTAAAGTGCACAACACTTCAACTGACAAAGATGGAATTTATGATTAAAATCATATTAAGTTTGAAGTTTTCAGGGAACATAGATTACTTAACAGGTTACAAATAAAATCTTGAAATTTCTATAGTTATTTAAGGTGATATTTGGACCAAGTGACTTCTTTAGTTTCAATATTACAGTAAATGTGGCCAACAAAGTAATTATTGAAATAAATAGTATTGTGTAATTGTAAAATTTATCACAAAATATATTTCAATTAAAACACATACCTATTTAAGTTAATAAAAGATGTAAAAATTAAAATACAAAATTTACATTAAGAAGAGCAAGAATTTTAAAGAACACACATACCTGCGGTGCTGCCAAATTAGTCTGTGTTGAAGTTTCTCTCCTTTTTAGTGGATCAGTATTCTGTTTTAATGTTTGTAACTTTGCTAATGGTATTATGTCGCAGTCTATGGGTCTATGCCACACTGTTGTCTGGGGATAGAAAAATAATTAAAACATTTCTTTTTAAGTCACTCTATATTTAATTCATATTTTTCATTAACTCACCTGAGTTGATGCATTATAATAATAAAATCGATGAGTATTGATGTCAAATAATTCCCACCATTGCGATGAGTCTGTGCGTTTCACTTTAACACCCTAAAAATATATGTTTTAATAGAATTGACATTGTATATTAATTATGCGATTGTAATAAATATATCATGCAAGGTCATTGACACGCCAGTACAAATATTAGTAGTACATAGTTAATAAAAGAATAAATTTCAGTTGATATAACCACAAACTGCCTTTAATTGTAACCACTAATATAAAATTAACAAAGTACTGAAAGTCATATAAAAGTTAAACTACAGATAAATAAAAAGACAAATATTACCTCAGGTGGGTCCCATACACACTCTCCTGTGGTAAGGTTAGCATACATATGCTCCTTTGTCTTCGGTTCTATTATCTCCACCCATTCCACCCTAGAATAAAACATGACTGTAATTCATAATCAGGTACTGCATCCCTACCGCACAGCAACAGACGAACGCTGGGCGTGACATTAACGATTTCCGCGTATACTTTATTGATTTTGCAAGTTTATACCGATTTGTTTTTTAAGATATTGATCATTTAAACAGAAATGTGTCAGTTATATTTTAAAATACCTTTCAGAAGACATTTTCAAGCCTTTTACTTTTCCTATAAAACTTTACTTAATCATAGTATCAACATTTTAAAACTAAAAAAATACGTATAAAATTTTATGGAAACCGTCCATGTTGAGTGTTTACTTCACAGCACAGACTAAAAATGTAAAAACACGATCAAAAATCTTCACACTGTGCATCTGACATTCATTTAGCAATTAGCTTTACACAGATTATAATTTATTTTGGATCCTTGCTTTTACATAATATAGACTCGTTTGTCTGAATTTGAAATGATTCTTTTTAAATACTGGAATTTGCAAACAAAATCTAAATAAAGACTGGACAATGAAGTATAAGTATAGTATGATACAACGTATTTGTTAAGTGTTATTACTATAACATATATGAAGAGATATGTGGGTCCTTTATTTCCTAACACCATTCTATTGCGTAAAAAAGAGAAAAAAACATAATATTGTTTATCATATTTTTATTTACGTAGGAAATATCACGCAAAAATTAGATTTTATTTTTGATTAGATAATTATAGCGTTAAAATATGTGGTCGCTAAAGAATAGGTCATCATTATAAAATTAAAAATACATCAAACTCCTTGTAAGCGACAGGGCCTTGTGCAGAGTGCAGTGTCAACTGTCAACTGTCAACTATCATGTTTGCGGTTTTCCGTTTTGCTATTTTGCAGCATAAATTTGCTAATCACTTTGCCACCGTCCCGTAGCATAGTTGTAGTAAATTAATTAGTAATTACATGATATTAACCAGATTTTTGGGAAGTTAAACCAAAATATAAGTCGGCACACAACATTGTTCATTGAATACTGTATAGCCTTAGTAAGTACTATTATAAATATTATAGTAAAAAGGAACAATGTTCCGTTCTATTGTTAACTTGTGTAGGTGCCGGCGTGATTGTGCTAATTCATATCTTAATAAATACAAACGATACTGCACAAAAGCTCCAAAGTTGAACACAAATGAACCTGTAAAGCTGATTAATGGTCAGTAGATGATCTATATTTATTTTGTTCTTATTTTTTTAAACCTAGGCGTGTTGTAGTAATTTCTTATACAGCTATCACTCTGATCGCACCATTTGATAATATATCAAAAATAAATTAACTTTTATATATTTTACGTTTCAGCCATGGATAGATCGCATTTTCTGTTACCTAACAATCAAAGGTTTGTCGAATTGGACAGCTCTCAAGCTTTTGAAAATTTAACTAAACAAGAAAAACTATATGCTCATTACTTAAGTCAGGTAAAAGACCTATAATTCTTTTTATACTTCTTAAAACATTTGTGATGATAAAATACTTTAGAAGTGAACATTTCCAGGCTGCGTGGAATGGAGGTCTGATTGTCCTTATGCAAACCAGCCCGGAATCTCCAAAAATATTTTCATTACTACATAGAGTTTTCTTGGAAGAGCCTTTGGAGAACCTTAAGCAATCAGCTTTGAAAGCAGGTGTTTCAGAGGATGATTTTCAAGTAAGGCAAATATATATCTATAATATCTTAATAATATTACAATGGTAAAAGTTTGTCTGTTCTTACAAATAGTTCCCATGGGTCTATTCTTATCTACATCCTGTGTGATAATATAGGTTGTGGTTTTACAATACACTTATGTTTTTAATTTTTATCAGTTATACAAAAATATGTTATTGATTTAGCTAGCTACCTACTTATAAACATTTTAATATAAATGCTATTTAAATAAGTCTTAACATATTTAATTAAAACACTTAAATAATTATATTGTAAAAAAATATGTATGATTAATATTAAATTGTGTGATTTTTCAGGCATTCCTAGTATATGCTGGAGGAGTATTTGCTAATAGTGGAAATTATAAAGGTTTTGGAGATACAAAATTCATTCCAAATCTATCTAAAGAATCCTTTGAGGCAGTTGTTAAGGCATCCAAGGCATTTGAAAATGACAGCACTCATATTACAAAGTTATTGCAAAAGACACAAAATGCTATCTACAGTATAGCCCCAAGATTAACTAGTCTTGGCCTCGCTGAAAAGGTTGTTATTACTTTTAATATTATAACTTTTTCTGTTTTATTTACATAATATTAGGTCCTTACATATGAAATTGGCGTTTTGTATGGGAGGAACAAAAAGTCGAATATTTTTAAATATAATATATTTAATTAATCAAAGTATGAACCATTGTTTTCTATGCACTTTTGCCATCTCATAGGTAGTTAATTGATCCCTTTACTAAAAAAACAGTCGGACGGGAATCAATAAAATCTGTGAAGGCGATTTGGACTGCCCCATCAGAGTTAAATTGTTTCCCTTGCAAGAAGTTGTCCAAATTTCGAAAAAAATGCTAATCTGTTGGAGCAAGGTCCGTGGAGTACGGAGGATGTCTTAGACATTCCAATTGAAGCTCTTCTAATTTGGTAGCCATTTGTTGTGCAGTGTGTGGTCTAGCGTTGTCGTAAAGTAGCAGTGGCGTGGAGCGATTGACCAGCCTAGGTTGTTTAGCCGCTAGCTTTTCCATCATGGTTTGCAATTGCTGACAATAGACATCAGCCGTAATAGTCTGGCCAGATTTGAGAAAACTGCAATGAACATTACCGGCACTAGTCCACCAAACGCTTACAAGTAACTTTTTTGGGGTTAATTTTCGCTTGGGGCAGGATTTGGCTAGCTGGCTAGGATCCAACCATTGCGCTGAGCGCTTTCAATTATCGTAAAGAATCCGTTTTTTTCATCACAGGTAATGATTCGGTTTAAAATACCTTCATTATTGTGCCGGTTCAGTAATGTAACGCAGCAGTCGACGCGCGTTTGCCGGTTTGCTTCAGTCTTGAGCCATCTTTCAAGCTTTTTAATCTTCCCAATTTGCTTCAAGTGAATTAAAACAGTTTTATCACTAACACCGCAGCCTGCAGCTAACTCGGACGTGGTTTGCGATGGATCCCCTTCCACAATAGCCTTCAATACTTCATTATCAACTTGGGTCTCAGGCCGTCCACGGGGCTTGTTCTGCAGGTCGAAATTTCCAGAACGAAAACGTTGGAACCAAAAACGAACTGTGTTTTCTTTTGCAACATGACCGCCATACACATCATTCACCCTTCGAGTCGCTTCCGCAGCACTAGTCCCACGGCGAAACTCGTACTCGTAAATAATGCGATACTTTAAGTTTTCCATTTTGTAAAATGAGTGACGCAAACAGAAAAAAACAGAAGAAAAAAAACAAATGAATGACGGTCATCGAAGCACAAATACAATAAATAGCTGTACAAATTTGAATTTGGAATTCCTTACCAAAGAGAAGAACATCGTGATTAAAGTGGTCAGTACGAAATACGCCAATTTCATATGTCAGGACCTAATATAATGCAATACACTACATAATTATGTAATTATATTATTAAGTGATAAACATTTTAGTATTATAATAATGTAACTGTATTTATTCAAACTCAAAACTCAAACTCAAAATATCTTTATTCATGTAGGTAAACAAGTACACTTATGAATTGTCAAGTTAAATTACCAGAATCATGTTTAATTACTTTTAATTTACAGTTATAAGGTGATTTTCTAACCACTCCAAAGTCTCATTATAGTTGTACCTATATATAGTTATGTATGTTAATAGGCTTAAATTTAATGTTGAAGTAAATATATTTATACAATTAATTTAATTAAAGGGAGTTACCACATACTTTTCAAGTAACTGCACAGAGGAAGATTCTAATTTGGTCAATGACTGGATGAAAACAAAACTAATTGAAGCATACGTCTGCAGAACATTCAAAACAGTTGCAGAGGATGGATGTAAGTTGGATTGGACCTACTATATTGTTTAGTTGTATCTCATTATCTTAAATTTATTTTCCATAAAGTATAATTGGTATTTAAATTTTGTAATGCAATCAGAATTATTATATTATATAGTAGGTACAGACTTTTTATACAAATTGATAATTTCTTTCTTTTTCAGTACCAATCTACACCATCCATCTGGCCAGTGTAGAATCATCACCTAAAGCAGGACTTACAATGGAAAAGGAGAAATATAAGAATGCCTACTTCCAAGTCACCCGTGGTGATTATTCTCCTCTTCTTAAATTGGCTTCCGAAAACCTCACAAAAGCAGTTGAATTTGCTGCCAATGATAATGAAAAGAATATGTTGAGGCATTATGTAAATAGTTTTAATGAAGGCGATTTGAATGAACATAAAGAAGGGAGCAGATTTTGGATTAGAGATAAGGGACCTATTATTGAAACGTAAGTTTTATAAAAACTACCTTTCTAGCTAACTTCTTTGCACTTCTTCTATGCACCTGGGTGCTAAATTCTGTTCCTGGCAAATTAGTAATTATTTAGAGGAAGGCAAACAAGATTGATTACCTTCTTTTAAATAAAGTATGATTTTTAATAAACTTATTATCACCAATAATTCATTCATCAACAATTCTTAATTGTGAAATTTTATAAATGAAAATCGTGATATTTGTTAAAATATGTAAAAAAAAAAGGATTTTTGTAGCTTTTTTGCATTAAGATTCTGTATAAAAATTCATCAATTTTATAAATATTTTTATGTGAATTAGAAAAATTAAATCTGTCATACTCACAAACCGTTCATGTATCACAGATACCAGGGATTTATCGAAACCTACAGGGACCCAAGTGGTCAGCGGGGAGAATTCGAAGGATTTGTGGCAATGGTGAATAAGGAGATGTCTAAGAAATTTGGTGATTTAGTTGATGGTGCTGAAAGGTATACTCTTTGTTACGTTTTAAAGATGAAAATTCCTACATCCCTTTATTACAATGTTATAATAATAAGTTGTTAATTATTTGATTAATTATTATAATTTTGAATAGTACATTCAGTATATATATACAATAGTACAGTAATTATATAAAATACATTTAAAACTGCTTTAAAATAGTTATTTGATTAAAAAATATCTTTAAATTATCAGTAAATTTACCAATTAAATGTAAAGGTTTATCAAGTTGTTGCCCTGGGGTCAAGATTTGGAAAAAGATACCTTCCTGAGGCCTGACTTTACTAGCCTTGATGTTCTTACATTCTCTGGAAGTGGCATTCCAGCTGGCATTAACATTCCAAACTGTAAGTTTAATTTAGATAATTATATCCAAAAATATACATTATGATACAAATGTATGAATCTAATATATTTGCTTAGTTTATTAATATGATATAGTTTACGTAACAAAATGGGATAATATGTAGGTTACAACAACCTATATTAAATATAATTGAGAAATATTAATAAAATTAAACTTATAAACATAAACTAATAATAATAAAATAATATACATTGAAATAAATAACGAAACTTAACATAAACTAAAATATATCATTAAAAGGAGTCCCTTTAGGCAAGGTTCCGAAGATACTGGCAGCATTCCCCCTTTGAATTGCTAGACTAATTCTTTGTCCGAGGTAGCTGCCAGATCTTCGGTCTCCTGTGATGTCGACTAACCTTTTTGAAATTTCTTTAAAAAGCCTTAAAGCGCTAGGACCCCACGGACCAAGGGTCTCGACACCGAATGGGACAAAATCATATTCAGAGCCCAGACCCCTGTATTTGCCTGCTTTATTTTTTTCAGCCGCTTCACAAGCCGCACCAGCTCTGTAGTTGGTTCCATGTAGATGGGAAGGGGCCAGCGTGTCTGAACAGGTTGCATCCCATACCAGTACCCGACCCATCTTCCATGGAATCAAACTCATACCGTCCGGTCTCTTGCCATCGTCTCTTGCAATACCACTTGGCTCAAGAAGACTTGGCACGTTGACGGTGGCAAGGGAACGGCGTATGATATCGTTAAGTGCGGCATGTCTCGAGAAGCGGCCTGCACTTTTTTGGCATGACAGGCCGTGATGTCCTAACTTGTCGACATCACTGCCACAGGGACATATATGAGGAGCGCAGACCGGAACCCCAAGCCGTAGACAGGTTGCGATTCGAAGCGTGTCAGGCTCAAGAAAAGTTCCTGTATTTGACGATGGGTAAGCGTGAAGCCAGTAGCCGGCCTCATGCGTGCCCACGGCCAAAAGCCTAGCACGCGCCGAACCTGTACTACGACTCAAAAGATCGTCAAAAGTCAACTTGCAGTGTATGTCATCCCAGCTCCTCTGTGAATTTAGAGATAATGGAAAATTTTGACCTGGGCATGCAATCAAGAAAGCGTTCTTCCAAGCCAGCAATCTCAAAGTTTGAAGGGGATGCCCTTAAAATCATTTAATACAAAGATCTTTAATTCAGTATTCACTCTTTTTGTATGAATCCAATTTGATTGACTGAAATATTCCAGATGACGAGATCCGTCAGAACGAAGGCTTCAAGAACGTGTCGTTAGGCAACGTGATTCCGGCTGCTTACAAGGAGTCGGTGATTCCTTTCCTCAGCGACGAAGACAAGCAACTGCTGGAGAAGTATCGGGTTGCCGCCTTTGAGGTATTTGCAGAATGCGAAATTCCACTTGTATCACCTCGTCCCCCACCCCGACCTGTTTCTGGCGACCACAATTACTTTGCGGAACCAGCAGCCCGCTGAAGTATTTCGAACCAATTCTTAAAAGGCCGGCAACGGACTCGCGAGCCTTCTCGCAATGAGTGTCCATGGGCGGCGGATATCACTTTACATATGAGCCTCCTGCCCGATTGACTCCTGTTATAAAAAAAAACTATTTTACTCATTTTAGATAACTGGCTTAATAGATCTCCTATTCACCTTAATGACTATATAATAAACCTGTGATTCCTTATTATCCTGAGATTGATGATCATTTTGTATAAGCCGGCAAATTCGCTGTTTTAAAAATGGTGTGTAACTTTACGTTAACCATGCCTGGCCTTAATCAAAGCTACAGGTTCCGTAATATTATTAATTTACAGAAAATACCCTCGAAATAAATACATCGTATATAATATTTATTGGACAGGTTCAAGTTGGCCTTCACGAGTTATTGGGTCACGGCAGCGGTAAGCTGCTTAGACAGAACGCTGATGGGACTTTCAACTTTGACAAGGAGAAAGTCAAGAATCCCCTGACAGGTATACTTACTACCCCAATTTAGTGATCCAATTCGTCTTCGATTGTGATTATTTAAACTTGGTAGTTAAATAAGAAAACATAATAATTTTGTATATCTCCTAAAGGCAAGAACATAGAGTCGTGGTACACGGAAGGCGAGACCTACGACAGCAAGTTCACAACCCTGGGCTCCGCCTTCGAGGAGTGCAGGGCGGAGGCCGTCGGGCTGTATCTGTCTCTCGACCAGGAAATATTGAAGTGAGTTCTTTCTCAAATCTCGTTTTGTCTTCAGATCTGTCTACGCTGCAGATGGCATTTTGACACATCTTGGAATACTAGACAAGGATTTGACCGAGAGTTAACCAGAATTTTCTGATTAATTTATAAATACACAGTTCCATCATTTTCAAAGTTAATGAATAAATTTTAAGTATATAAATAAATAAATCAGAAATCTTCTGAAGAAAAAAATATTACTTTTATAGTCTCTTTTTGCCCGTTTGCTTGCTTTTCGTAACCTAGTTTTGTTATTTAACTTACAGAATCTTCGGTTACGAGGGCCAAGAGGCGGAAGACGTGACGTACGTGAATTGGCTGAGTCTCTTGTGGAACGGGGCCGCCAAAGCGACCGAGATGTTCCAACCCACGACCGATACGTGGCTGCAGGTAATACTCTCTTACCAAATCCCTTCGAATATGTTATATCAAGTAAAATTTATTAAATGCTGTCTCACGATGCCGATGACGTCACTATAGCTTTTCGTGCGCGTCTCTTCGATTTATCAACTTAGAAAAAAATATAAACTCAATTACCTCGATATATTATAAAGAAATAATTTATATTTTATATAAAATTATTTCAGGCACATGCTCGCGCTCGGTTCGTGATAATGCGTCTATTGGAGGTGGAGGGCGAAGGCCTATTAACGGTGACCGAGACGGAGCCCGGCAGGAACCTGCTGCTCACGCTGCAGAAAGACCGTCTGCGCACCGACGGCAAGAAGATTATTGGTAAGAATGATGTACCAATGGAATACCGAACCTTTTCCGCTTTTTTACTCGAAAGAAGTAATCTTTCGACAGTATTTAATGGCCGTCAAGGTTTTAGTCTAGCGTCACATCACGGATTCGAACAAATTTATTTCTCACGGTATTAGAATCGCACACACAAGTATTTTACATGCTTTTAATTATTGAAATGGAAAATGTTTATCGATTATTTTCGACCGTTTCGAGAGAGGCGCTACCATAGATTAAAAAATTGTCTAGATTAGCCTTCCTATCCGATCCTCCAGCTCGTTACAATATTATCAAAATTACATAGGTTAAGCGATTGTAAACACGATTCATCAATTCGTCTTTGGTTTTTTTTTTTGTTTTAATTTATATCTTTCAGGCGACTTCCTGGTGAAGCTGCAAACGATAAAGGCGACGGGAGACTTTTCGGCGGGAGAGCAGCTGTTCCAGAAGTACAGTCGCCTGGAAGCGCCCTGGAACCGCTGGAGAGACATTGTTCTGTTGCACAAACAGCCACGAAACATATTTGTACAGCCCAATACTGTCGCTAAAGGTAATTAACAACTTCAGACTTCAGTTTTTGTCTATTGAGCATAAATGCCGAAACCCACTGATACACAGGTTATAGATGAGCGACGTATATTATAATGTATGGATATATTTAACTTCCAATTAGAAGAAGAGAAGAAGAAAGAGCAAAAGAAGAAAAGAGCAGTGTTGGCCTAGTGGCTTCAACGTGCGTCTCTCATCCCTAAGGTCGTAGGTTCGATCCCTGGCTGTACATCAATGGACTTTCTTTCTATGTGCGCATTTAACATTTGCTCGAACGCTGAAGGAAAACATAGTGAGGAAACCGACATGTTAAAAAGTCGACGGCGTGTGTCAGGCACTGGCGGCTGATCACCTACTTACCTATTAGATTTTAAAAAATGATCATGAAATCGATTTAGAAATCTGAGGCCCAGACCTAAAGAGGTTGTAGCGCCACTGATTTATTTATTTTATATCTTCCAATTGCGATTGTGATTACTGTTTGTGTTCTGTGAAACAAATTGTTCATAATTTTTAGGTGAGGATGTGAAGCTGACACGTTATCCAGCGACAGCCGAAGGCATGGTGACGTCGTGGGTCCAACGTTTCCCCACTACCAAGGTCGATGACATTTTGGAGAGATTGGCCGAGGAAGACAGCCAATATTTCTCGGAAATAGAGAAAATCGCCGCATAACAAGCCCTTGTTCAATGAGATAGTTCATTTTGGATTCTGTATTTTTTCTATTTTATAAATAAAACCATCTCGGCAACCGATATCTAGGTACTATTAAAGTTTTAATAAAAATTAAGAAAAAAAATTAAGTTTATTTCAGAAAACAAGGTTCCATAACTATAAGTTAATGCTTAATAAGAAGCATTAATTATTTGTCTTATTTATTTTTACATAAAAAACTGCGGTTTCCTCAGAATGTTTTTTTTCCATCACCGTAAAAGTTAAATACCCATATAGAAAGAACTCCATTGGTGCTCTAACGGGGTGGGATGAGTGTCACTTGCCAAGCCACGACACAATTCATGAATGGATTTTTGAAGTTATACTTCTTTAGGCGCGTTATGAAAAATTTATGAGAGTGAAATTTTACAATGCGCGCGCACCCGTGACACAAAATTAGGAGTGTGATTATAGCATGCGCGAGCGAGATAGGAATAAGACAATCTACAAGTAAAAAGAAATAGAATATGCGTGAAGTTCGTATGCCAACAATTTTGAATGACCATAATGACATTTGTCATTTACCTTTTAAACAAATAAAGGAGTTTTAATTATTTTTTCAAAGAAATTTAGCGATGCTTTTTGAATTATAATCAGAAGTGATTTAAATTGAATATTTAAACCAATACTAATTAATATTTGTGAAAAAACTGTGCTCATCAACCTTCCTAAGTGCTTCAATACAATTGAGGTTAACTATCCGTATGTATTATTATCGAGTAATGTTTTGATTAAAAAATTAACCACATTGTTTAATCAAAACATGTAATTTTTCTCTAGCATTTTATAAGAGAAAAAGAGACAAATAAAAGAGACAAAAAACAATTGATGAATCAGTGTAACTGCACTAAATTGAATACAAAAAAAGAGTTTTCATCTTATCGCTGTGAAACATCAAAAACTGGAGGTGGAACAAAGCCAAACTATTTTTAATATTGCCAAAGAAGTATAACTTCTTACGCGCGTACATAAGTACACGGACCCTTTTTTTAAATTAAGTTTCGACTTATCTACATTATAAAGAGGTTTGTTTGGGGATAAAATCGAAGATAAGGGAAGATAGTATTAAAAATAAACAAACTTCAACTATATAATTTATTGACATTCAATACAAAACGTATGATGGGAATTACAATATTATTCAACACTTCATAGTTTCAAAGTATCAAAACCGTGACCACGAAAACAGCATTATACCTCACACAAATAAATAGCGCAATACGTTACGATTACAAATAAATATGAATATAAATGATAAATTATTTCTTAAAAATTATTAAATCGTATACCTAACAATGAAATGGCAACAAATTAAGTTAAAACTACTGAAAATACTTCTGAACGGTCAACAAAATAGATATTTCCTTAGAACACTGTTTCTACCTTATATAAGACTTAATACGTTAAATTTCTACGAAAATCTTCAACTAAGCACCATTCTATTCGATATCAGTTACTTGACTTAGCAAACAATACTTTCTGATAATAGTTAAACTAAATCCAATCGCTGCACCCGAGTAATGAATACATCATTTGTGCAGACACGCGTTAAATATTTCGACAAATCCAGTCGCGTAAAGGCACGTGAGTCAATTCTTAAGGTTTTAGCAAATCAATTCGATAACTATCAATTAATTTCATTAGTGTATAATATAATGGTAATAAGAATAAATATTTGGCGTAAGATATACATATACAAAATCCATTGAATATAATATAGTGTAATTGGCGATTAGAATACTACAATTCTAATTCGTTCGTCAAACAACGTCCGCTTCGACAATCAAACGCATTGAAGTAAGCGAATGACTCGAGAAATGATTATGAGATGAACACTTACCGATATTAATTCCTAATTTGTCACTAAAGAGATTTCAATGTGCATTAGTCTAAGTACTAACTATGAAAATGCAAGCGACTTCTACCGTTGGCAAGATGTCCCTACGCTCGGAGTTCAGATCGACAATAGGAAACAATGAATTACCTAGAAGAGATTCAAGAAGAACTAATAAATAAAACAGAAGAGAAGCGCTCAACTCGTCGTCAACGCCTCTCAGTCGCCTTTCTCAGAGCGTTCTGCACCGTCGCCTTCGCCTTGAGGTGAGCCAGCGGGTCTGAAACATATCCACGTCACTCTAGCTGACGACAGGCTCCACATCCAGAGAAATACGATAGACGCTACTGCGAGATACGCGAGCGAAAGAAAGTAGTCTGTGTCACGAATATTAAGTCTAACTACTTTTAAAATAAGTCTCTAGGGGATATCAAAATATAATGTCTAAACCTAAAGCATTAGTGCTGTCAATTTAATACAAAGCAAGAAGCGTGCATCAAGTAAAAACTTTTCGAGAGTTATTCATTATTTACGAAACAAATATTAATTACAAAATACACACCTCGACGTGGAATCCTTGTCCGGGTCCGACTTTCTCGTCACTCTGATCGAGTACTTTCTATTGCGAATTTTTTCAAGAATGTTTTCCGGGCTCGGTTCCTTTTCGCTCTCTTTCAATATTATGGCAGAGTTGAGTTGGGTTCTCTTAGGGCGATACGTGGCGTAGCTCCCGGGGGCGTAGAGAGAGTTCGTCCTGTTATACTTGTGCGGTTCCTTCAAAAGGCTGAGGCCGAGATTGTCGGAGCCGTCCGAAGTTTCCAACAGTGATTTCGTTCTGGAATATCTATTCTGGCCGTAAGACGACGGTTGGTCGTAGTCGAGATAGCTTCGTGTTCCTGAATATTTTCTTAGGTCACTCCTGTCCAGAGATCTATACGTGTCTACTTTGTCGTTGAGGCTATCGTATCGTAAATTATTTCGAGCTAGGTCGGCGAGCGAGGACCTATACCGGTCGGTCGAAGGAGACGCGTCCGAAGAAACGGAAAAGCCGGGCGAAATGTCATACGTATTGGGGGAAGTGGGCGAAGCGTCGTATTTATCGGTCGAGTGCGAGTATATTCGAGCCACGGGATCGTATTCGACGGCGCCGGGACCGACTAAGTTACTTTTTCTTCGTTGTTTCTTTTCATTAAATCTAGAGTAAAAGCTTTTTCTGCGTATTCTATCCCCGACGTCTTCTTTCTCTGGGGTGGTCGAATCGTGACTTCGGATAGGGTAAAGACTGCTGGGAGAGATAAGGGTTTTCTCTTTTATTTCAGCGCTATGATCGGATTTAACATCAGAATTAGAATATATCGATCTACTTCTAGATCTACTTCTACTTAAGGTATCCCCAAGTCTAACTTGGCCATTCCATCCGCTAGACAATCACCATTTGTTTCACTTTTTCCAACTTTACCTTTGTCCATTGACGTATCCATTATTTGAGGTTCTATCACAGGATTAGTAGGAACTATTTTCTTCACTCTAGGAAGTTTTGAAAAGTCCAACTTTAGTGTGCTACGAATGCTCTTCGTCTCCTCTTTCTTCGTTAATTTTTCATCATCATCAGTAGGAAGGGCGGTGCAACTATCGCTACTAGTCTTATTATATTTATTACTTTTACGACTCACGCCATTCAATAACAGGGACGATGGTCTTTGAGGTTTTTCGATATCACTTTCAATTTGTGCAGAAATGCTTTGTTCATCAACATTGTTTCGTGAATTTTCTGAATTAAGTTTCACCTGTTTTTCTTTAGGTTCAAATTTCTTAAATAATCCCAACACTTTAGACACTGTCGTTTTATTCTGTGTACTGCTTTGGTTTTCCAGTGCAACCACATCTGTGACAGTCACAGCTCTCTTGATGAGATTCGATTCTGTGGGCGGTTCTACCGGAACGGAGTGTTCCCTTTGTGTCCTTCGTAGTTTACTAGTTTCTTTTTTACTAGCCTTTACCGAGCTATTTTGGCATATTTTCTCCGGTGAGTTAGATTTTGAAGAAGTCAATTTTTCTAATTTGTGACCTATCGATTGTAAAACTGACTTTTTCTTAGTAACATTATTTTGTTTACTATCCTCAGGTGATTTTTCTTTATGTTTCTTAGCGACAATTTTCTTATCATTTGAAGATTTAATATCATTCGGTTTCTTGTCGTTTCCTAATTCAGTCGTCTTTGACTTCGAAGCTACTTTTTTAATTACTTTCTTTTTTACAATCTTCTTTTCTTCTTTTGACTCATCTTTAGGAATACTATTATCTCGAGTAAAACCATTACTTGAGATGTTATTTTTTATGGAATTGGGATAATTTCGTTTTCGTAGAGCATCTGTAGTGTCCACGATACTCTCATTTAATGTATTTTGATCCACAGCTGAAGACATTTCTCTCTGTGTGGAATTAACTACTTTATACTTTTTCAAAACAAGATTTGATGAACCATTATCTATTTTCGTTTTATCTTCTCTAGCGTTAAGATTTTCACTTTGAGTGACAACCTCTGATGAATTGCTCGTCGGGGTAGGTTTTGTTTTTCTAGGCAGTGTTATGTTAAAACTAACTTCTACATCAGTTTTTGCTTCCGGTGTAGGAGAAGGGTTTTCATTTAGGGTGGAACTTTTGCATTCGTCTTTACTAGTCGTGCGGTTGGAATTAGTTTTATTTAAAATATTCGAATTATTCGGGTAACTCTTAGGTCTTAATAATTTTGATTCCCTAGACGTAATATGCTTATTCTCAGATTCGATTTCTTTACTTGATTTTCTTTCACTGTCGGTTTTGTTAGCCTCGTATGTTTTGATGCTTTTGGCTGGATAACTTTTAGGTCGGACTATCCTCGTTTCTTGGTTCGTCGCGTTTTCATTATTATTCCTGATTTGTGAGTCTCGTGTTTCATTGCAGATGTTTTTCGTTTTCAGTAAAGTTGATGAATCAATTGCGTTTTCCTTAATATTATCTAAACTGGGAAAGAAAGGCGTGGTTGATCTACTTCGATCTTTACCAACTAAAATACTCGTAGGTGACAAGCACTTGCGCGTCACATCCTCGCTTATATAATTCTGACCTTCGCTCACATCAGTGGGGGTCGTCGCTGCACCGTCCGAAGCTCTACTTCTCTTCTCCCTTATTTCTTTTAATATTTTTTGAGTTTCCAATTCTTTTTCTTTTTTGTGTTTGGTGTAAACACTTTCGTCCGGGGGCGACTCGAAGAAATCTGATCTGAGGAATCTGGAAATACGTTTTTTCGGACGATCGCCGGATAATCTCAGGGAATGTCGTCTGAAATTTGGACCCGTCGAGTTACCGCAAGCGGGCGACCCGTACGCAGCGATATAACTGGGGTCGGTGACTAGACTGCCTCCGTCCGACGCGTACGTGTCGTCTAAAGAAGTCGTTCTTTCAGATAAATATTTACTCAGTAGAGGTCTATCGGTAGCGCCGCGGGACTCCGGGCGCGATCCGCTCGAGTCCCGCGGAGCCGCCATTTTGTATGTACAATCGTCGGCGAGAGGGGAAGATGGAGTCGCGGGTTCGCGCGACGCGCTAGAACGTCGTCTCAAACGCGGCAGAGTGTAGAATTGGGACGCGGAAGCTCGCGGGACGTCGTCGACTTCGGTGTCGGGAGGTTCTCGAGAATGTGCGTCGTCGTCGGCGGTGGCCTCTCGCGGGTCGTCCGCCGGCTCGGATCGGTCGGCGCCGAGAGAGAGCGTGCGTCGCAAGGAGCGAGCGGCATGGGGCGGCAGATGCCGCAAGAGCTGCCGCTGCAGGCGCCGAGACAGCGCCGGCGTCAGGCCCGACAGGGCGCGCATCTCGCGCTCGGAGAACCGAATCGAGCTCAAGTCGAGGTCCGAGAGATCTAGTCCCGCGTCGCCCTCACGCTCGTCGTCGCCGTCGCCGGTCCGCGCTTTGCCCTTCTTACTACTACCTGCAAAGCAACAGGAAACACACCATTTCGATCATGCGGAACGCTCGCGGGGACGCTATGCGTATTTACAGTGCTCTATTCCGATGCGACCCGTCGCGTCGACCAGGGAAATAGATAAAGTTTAGGGCCGGTTATGTCGTTCGTTTTTTCGTTAAGTTTGTGTTAGGAGTTAATAAAAATCGAGTGAATTAAAAACCAGAAGTTAGGTCAAACTAAGCCATCGCAAACCAAGAATGAAAGTGATGCATTAAAATGTTGCTTTTGAATTTTGATTTTGCAAAAAAATGCATTCTCACAACAGCGATCTTAAAAGTCAAGTGCGGCCGTATCGCGAGAAGCGCAACACAAAACAAGAGTAAATAAAGGGGCGAGTACCTATTCCTGCGTGTCGTCGGCGGCGGGTCGGCGGGCGCCGGGTCCGCCGTGGAGTGAAGTGGTCGGAGCATGCAGAGTAACGCGCAACCCCACTGCAACCACAAACCTCACTTCACTACGTCGAGCCGCTGCCCCCACTTCCCCCCGCTTTCCTCACTACGTGCCACCACATCCACTATCTACACATTTATCACGTACGCCGCACGGCTCGCGTGCGACGTACGCGGGGTCGAGCGACCCCTCGAGTGCCTTGTGCGCTTCATGCAATTTACTACAAAAATCTAGAGCAACGCAACATTTTCCTGCTATTGTTAGCGGGTAGGAGAAAAGTCAATACCTGCACAGAGAATGCTATTTGAATACATTAAAACACTACGGTGCACAAATTGGTTAAATTAAACTGTTAAGGGTTTAAGTGAAACGCTGATGCCCGACGGAACATGGCAACTCCGAGAATTGTTATGTTCCGCTGCGACAAAATCGACGTTAATAAAAAACACTCAAAGGAAAACGCCACTAATATCGTAAATAGCCGTCGGTCTCGAACTGTAGTCATGAATGAATGATCGTTAATAGATTAAGAAGCCAGCCGTTGTCAATAATAGCCTCTAGTTGTGCCGATATATTTCGTTCAGTAAATCAGATCAGAATTTATTTTAAACCTGACGTAGAAATTTCGAAAAAATACAGCCAAAGCGCGTGCTGACGTGCCATGAGTTGTGCACGGGTGAGACCTACGTGAAGCTTTAGGTATCGGCAGCGTTTTCCGGTACTCAAGCGATGCACAGCTACCGAGAAGAATACTCACCGCGCGGCGTCTGACGCGATTTGTTGAACATGGACTCGAACGGCGACTGCATGTCTCGCGAGCCCCAGCCTTCGCGCCTGCACAGACAATGTTGACTTAAGTTAAACCAGATATCCAGATAACCAGATCGGCATCGGCCAAATAGTTCATATGATAAATTGATAATAATTGAGCTCCGAAAATTTAACTTACGTCTCCGATACACTCCGTTTACTTTCCGTATACCTGTGTGTGCTGCATGGAAATGTACCAGGTTTTTAATAAGGTTATTATGTTTATTGTGAGCCTACAGTCTGGACATGCCGTTTTCATCGAATAATTAAGAGATTTTTTTTTCAAATATTTACTTAAAGTTTCACGAAAGCCATAAAAGAATTTCATTTCGTCATATTGTGATATTCAATTAAATAATTGTAGGTAAATAGGGTTGTCGTCTATAATCGTCTACAAATTTAGTATTTCCTATACTCTGATTTTTAATTCCGTAGAATTCTGACAGCTATCACTTTTTGATATGTCAGAGATTATAAACCTTTTTGGCCGAGCACATTTTTCAATTTCAATGCGAGTCTGAACATCTGACTCTATACATACATTTCATTTCTTAGTGAATGTATCCATTTTATTAAGTACGGTGCTCAACATTAAAAGCGTGTTACGTCCCTTTTCATCACAAACAGTAAATACGCACAAGTAAAGATAACATTTTATTTTGTTTGAAAAGGTTTACTAAGGTTTACTAATTCCAGGTCTAGTAGACCTGGAATTAGTAGGCAGTGATGCCAGCTAAAGAATAAAATTAAGTAATTAAAGTTAATTCTATATATTTTTCGTGATATTGAAATATTTTTTATTTTTGTATTTAGAACCTTTTTGTAGGTAAAATATAAAAATATGTAGCATTTTGTTTTATTGCCCTCAAATGGGTCAAATTTGTCTCTATTTCGATGGAGAACTTTTTTAGTAGCAAAACTTATGAAATGTCAGAATTCTACGGAATTAAAAACCAGAGTCTGGTACGAAATAAAAATCTTAGTTTATGCAAAGAGTATAATTTCAGCTTGTGTGCCTGTATTGTATCATCGCATGTAGGCCATTTCATAGATCACATTTGCATTCCACAGTTTTAGTGTGAGGTGGCTTGCTTAAACCGTCGACTAAAGTGAATCGAACTCAGTTATTATGAAAAAGAAATTATTAATTAATATTTGTTTCTTTACTTTAGCGAATCAATTTTACACGAAGTTATATAGTTTATATCTTAATATTTGCAGAGCCAGCAAAATTCAGCTATTGCTATTTTATTGCATTTATATACCATGTATTTGATAACACGATGTACATAACTAATCTAGTTAAAATGTAAATTATATCACTAAGTTAATATAATTCTTTTAGAAATAAAGTAACTTTGAACCGCAAAAGACGATTATAATTTAACATAAAATATCATTTATGTCGTTGCATTCGATTCAATTTAACAACTGTTTAAAGATAATAAGAACACTGACGTAACATTGTAACGACGTTCAGTTTAGAAACGAAATCGTTAGTATAAATGTTGTATTAGTAAAATTACCTTATTATCATTGTTACGTTAATATGAAATCTGCCGTTACGAGGTTAGCTTATTGAATTTTATTGTCAAAAGTGATCTATCGAATCGGCCTTCTTATGTTACCACAAGTATACTCACATGAAATGCCTCCTCGGCAAGTGCGGGCTGCATGCGAAAAATCACGATTAGTAGCTAAATATCACAAAACTTATAAGTAAGCAAAACGTCACCTGCAATTATTATGAAATTAGTGCGTTCAATTGCAATTAGTTCAGGAAAACCTGTCTTATCGGTCAATCCAAAGCTTAATTCGTAAGTTACCTATTGAAGAACGGCGAATGCAGGTTGTTGAAGAGCGAGTGCGGGTGTTGGGAGAAGCCGGGGCCCTCTTCGCCGTTCAACCGCTGAGTTAACGCGCGAACCTGGTGAGGAGCATTGATTGTGCATTATGAGTTTTAACAACACGTCACGAGGTTCTGCAGTGCGCCAGATATGTTTGCCGAAACCTGAGAAGGTCATACCATCATTCGAAGGGTGGCATCACTGATGCATTGTGTTACCCCAATGGTATCCTGAATGTGTTGATTATAAAGAACACGTTTATCTTAAAACATTGGTTTTATGGATTATTATATTGAAATTTGCGGGTTCTTCTTGCCGTATTTAATAAAAGTGCTTTTAGAATAATATAAATACATTTCGGGAGGTCTAACAATTTGTTAGATTCGTATGACTGATTTGGGTTATATAACACACCTTTTAATTTCATTTTTAATATATATTTATTATTATTATTAAATCGATCTTTTAATTCTATTCAACTACTTAAGATATGTAAATATACCTAATTATTAAATGTATCGTGTTACACAATATTTAAACTGTTTTAAATTTGAAAAAAGAGCGCTCACTCGGTGTAACAGCGTGGAGAAGAGGTTTTCAGCTGTCAAGAGATGGAAACCCTCGTCTTCCTCGTCCTCTTCGCCAGAGGACACGGATTCCGCTCGAGCCAAGCGGCTTGATCTGGAATTATAAGCAAAATATTATCAAACTGGTTGTAAGCTAATACCACACCCTTATGGTTCATTGTTCGACATCAGGCCGTTCAGTTGGCTTTTAGCCTTATATAACGTACTAATACCAAATTAATAAAAAATAAATCAGTGGCGCTACAACCTTATTAAGACTGGGCCTCTGATGTCTAAATCTGTGAATCAAATAAGCAAGTTAGTGATCAGCCTTCTGTGCCTGACACACGCCGTCGACTCTTTGTGGGTCGAAGGCAAGCACGGTTTCCTCACGATGTTTTCCTTCACCGTTCGAGCGAATGTTAAATGCGCACATAGAAAGAAAGTCCATTGGTGCTCAGCCGGGGATCGTACCTACGACGTCAGGGATGAGAGTCGCACGCTAAAGCTTCAAAGCCAAATTTGCTCTTTTTACCAAATTAATTCTATTATAACTTAAAAATATCTTATTTTATAACTAAAAAATTATCCCGTCCTTCATTATATTTTTTTAGTTTAACCTCACCTCAATCGATGCATATGTGTGTCATCTTCTTCTTCAGATTCTCCGCCACTTACTAAGCTACTGTAAATTAAAAAATAAGATATATAACTATTCAGCGATACTACTAAAATACACTTTAAATTGAGAAATGAAAAAGAAAATCTACCTGATGCGCCGAGGTGTAAGTCGGGGGGGATGCACCCTAGGCGAAGGCGACGCGTCGGGCTCGAGGCTGCGTTGTCTGGGTGTGACGTACCCCTTGCCCTCCACCGCAATGGGTATAATGAACTCTCGAGCCGACTTCTTTATCGGCTCGCCCGTGCTGGGACTGGGCTCGCCCGTGCCCGTCGATTCCGTTGACGCCAGACGTCTTAAAATAAGGCCAAAATTATTTAACGACTTCGAAGGTACTACTCATATTTGGTCGTAAAAACCGATAGTCGTAACAGCCGATGACGTTGTTGTTAAGAACCTAATACAACAGAATTCAGCCGGGATTTGTGAATTTTGTCAATATAACCGGTTATTGACTTCTATATTTACGTTTTTTTAAATAGTGTACTTTGACCGTTTCATACCTAAGTGGCGTATGCGTCGACCTGGGCGCGGGCTTGTGCGTGGGAACGTGCGCGTTCGTGGACGGAGACGTCGGAGACGTGGGACTGTCCTCCGTCGCCACGCTTATCGGTATTATGCGCTCCACTGACGGGCCCCTGATGAGGAATATCGTTAAATTGACAGTAGTTTATTTAGGATACGATTAACGGTGTTAAATTTGCGTGAAATGATACCTATTGCGGTGATCCTCCACCCGATGGTGTGCCTCCGTTTTGAAGACTTTGGAAGAGGCGGAGGGCGGGGCCGCGGGGGGAGTGGACGGCGGAGACGCCAGCGACGTCACTCCGGCTGACGAAGACCTACCGTAGGGCACGGGAGGCTTGCCTGAAAGAGGTCATTCGTTTATTTTTTTATAAAGGTGAACATTAATTAAGTAAACGGTTGAGGCAAAAATCAAAAGGCCCATGACCCAAACGATTAAACACTCACCCGTCCTGATGGCAGAGGAAATAATGTCTCTTGCGGCGCGGCGTCTGTTCTCTTCTCCCGCCCGTTCTTCTGCCAACTTCGCCATCGAACTTTGGAGACTCCTGATAACGAAATAACATTATAAATATGATGATGAATGTGTAAATAACTCTTGTATTTAGAAAAGGAGTATGTTTGGGTTTTAATAATTAACTAAATTAAGTAGACAAATTTTGTAATTTTTTTAAACAAGTCCAACATTTAGCGAAGTCTCTCGATGCGCGAAGCGCAGTACAATGATATATTTAGCCATTCTCTAAATAATTGATATAATATATTATAAACAATTCATCACCTCCTGGCGTCCTGAAGCAAGACCGCAGGGTCAACTTGTGTGTGGTGAGTGGGTTCGCTCTCAGTCTTCTTCACTCCACCCCGGTTCATTTGCGTTTGAGGCTCTTCGAACGGCACCGACTATTTAACAGTATGCAAAATAAAGTGTCTTTACGAAAAACTGTATAAAACATAACTTTAAAAAGCGATATAGAGTGAAATATCTTATAAATAATCGTGAATTTATCAAAAAAGCTATATTTATATTTTAAAAATTTTGGTGTTGCAGTCTCGTGACACAAAACACACACATATATATATACATACATACTTAGCATTTTTGTAAATAATATGTCTTCGCCTGTTCTAATCCTAATACTGTCGTGGAGTTTAATTTCGTCAAAGAGATGTTGATCAAAATATAATAATTAGCACTTGTTTACAAGCATGAGACGTCAGAGGGACGCCATGAAAAAAAGAAATTAAAAATAACGAGTTTTATAGGTTCCATAGTCACTAATATATAATCTGAAACGGTTCATAAACCTTGTCAAACCATCATCAAGTTATTATAAAAAAAATTATTCGTACACTAATTTTAAGAAATGAAAAGAAAGAAAATTTAAAGTATTTTATCACTTGAGCCCGTAACGTATAAGACAACAACTCACCGGCGACGGCTCAATGCCGATCTGCTGAAGCCTCACCGTCCCGTTGTCCAGAGGCTTGTTCAACTCCCGGTCCTCGCTCTGGGCTTTCGGCTTCGCGATCTTCGACACCACTGAGTACAAATTTATATATCAATAATATGCAACATATATGTAAGGAATCGACTTTTGTTCCAATAAACACGTACCGGGTTTGGTGACGGTCCGTTTGACTTCCGGCGGAGTGGTGAGGGACGCTCGTCTCTCGAACTGCTCCTTGAAGCTGCCCACGTGACCTCCTGAAATAATGTATTCCAATATATTACGGAGCGTTCAAGTGTTACGTAACGAATTTTGGGGGGGGGTCCCTTTTGTACAACGTTACGATGCGGGGCGGGTATTGAATTACGCGTTATTGTTAATATTCTTTTCGACTATCCAGTACTTTACACCACATAATGGTAACTTTTAGTTATAGAGTCACTGGTTGGTCACGAAACGTTTTTACAGAAAAACGTCACGGCGCGTTACATGGGGGGGATCAAAACTCTCCAAAAATTGCGTGACGTACTTGAACGCTAACTTAGATTATAAATTATTTAGTATAATTATCTTGTAGTACGTTATTGTTAACTGAAATAGAACTTATATTAAGAAATAAATGAACCTATAGATAGCTTCTTCGGTTTGACGGGAGCGGAGGCGGGAGCCGGCTGAGAAATGCTCAAGGACGTCAGCTTGTCTGCGGTGGCCGCCACGGATGGCTTGCCGTCTTCCTGCAATTCGTTTTCCTCGTATTAGGCAACGTATACATGAATATCTTGGGAAATAAATTACTTTGCAGAGACAACATACCTTAGATTCGTTCTGCTTCTCCGGTATGTCAACTTTGGAGAGGACTTTCTTAGCTTTAGGCTTTTCTTCTTTTATCTCTTCGTTTAGCGCACGTTTGACCTCTTCGGTGGGCGCTTTGCTCACCTCCACTGCGGCCAGAGTGGGAGATATCGTGATGGTGGCCGATGACTTCAGAGAGTGTTGAGGCATCTGGAAAATGATACAAGTGGTTTTATATACCAGTAAATAATTACAAAACGCATCGATTGACACTTGTGACCGACAAGCAAATTATATACGTTTGTGTCTGGTTCGTGACAACGTTCTCTTTTGAAGTTTGTATATTTTTTTTTAACTTTTTATAGTATTTTTTTTTTTTGGTTAATTCGCATTTACTGTTGATTTGGAAATGCTGATTGTTGTTACTTTGTTAATTTGCATTGCAGCTTTCTTCTTTAAATAAATAGAATATAGCCTTCCTCAATACAAATTTTTCAATTCCAAGCGCAGTTCCATCTCGAGATAGCTCTCAAAATAAAATAACTTTTCCCGTTTTTGCAATATATTCACCATAACTATTACTTTTAAAAGCACTTTTTGACTTACTTCACCACTAGAACCATCTTGCAGCCCCGCAGTGTCTTCATCGGGAACGCAGGCCTCTTCCGGCAGCGCGGGCGCACCGGCTAAGCTTGCAGAACTAAAGAAATTCATCAATAGGTTACACTACATTACAGCAATTTCAAGATTTTATTTTGATAAATAATTAATTTAAGGAATTAACATATATAACTCAAAATAATGGAATTGAAAATAGCAGAATAATGTTAAAATACCTGGCAACCCGTTCCCTCTTCCTCTGCAGGCCAGTGCCGGACATGGCGAGCTCCAGCTTGCGTTTGTTGTCTGCGGCCGCCACTATCGTGCGCGTCGGGGAAGGCTTTATGGCATCCTCGCCGCCCTCTGTAAAAAAAATAATCTTGACAACCAATTCTCATGATTTAACAAATAATTTGACAGCTTGCACCACTATAGCTTTTCACTTTTGCACTATTTGGCCGAGAGCTTTCACAATTCATGATCGTGAATTGAATGAGAAAATGACTTACCGCTTAAAAAGAATAAGAGCAAAACAGATAAAAAGCTAGAGGCAGGATTATTAATGAAAGGCACTTTGGCAGGCTGTGCAGTCTATTTAAAGAAAGTAAATAATACCTGCAACAAGTTCCAATATCCGTTTCTCAGCAGAATTGCTGGGCTCCACTGCCATCGAAGTAGAACTGGTGAGGTCAGTGCAACTCTCAGTTGGACCACCCAGCTCGGCTTGCTGCAAATATTTCAATGTAATCTACCATAAAATGCCTTCAAATAAATCAATACGAATGTCTAATTATTATAACAAATAAATAACATTATCACTGTCAAAAGCAAAAAAGATGAAATCACTAATAACTACTACTACTACCAATTCTTTTATAACTAGTGTTACATAGATTCATTCGTCCATGCGTACACGTGCACGTACGTACCTCTGGAACAACCACGCTATTAGTGTTTGACGCAGCCGCAGGTGCTAAGGACAGCAACAGGTCGAGTCGCACCGGAGTCTCGGCTGCCAAGGCCTCCGCTATCTCCAGACAAGACGCTTCGCAGCCCAGGTTCACCCACCTAAAAATATTACAGAAATTCCTTATTCACCCTATTTGTAAAACGTGGCCTAAAGAGACGTGTTGGTTACCAAATAATACTCTCGGCACCTATTTATAGTCGACGGTTTATAATAAAGTTGAAAACTTATAAAATTTCGAATGTTAGAAAACTAAGAAAAAATTGAGAGACTTGGAATGTTTCTTAGGAGATAAAAAACCTTACGGATGGTCACAGATGTAAACGATGTCCGCTCTCTTCAAAGGGTCCACAGTGAGCATGTCACGGATCAGAGGAGATGCAGCTGGAATATTTAAACGGATTTATTAATTAAAAGTCGGAGGAATAATTTTACCAACAAAACTTTTATAGTTGACATGAAATAAGATTCCGGCCAAACATAGGCAACAATGCAACCTTATTTAAACACAATTATAGAAAATTCATTAAATTAAAAACAAAACTTAAACATTAAGAAATTTTAAGGATTTTAAATAAAAATGTCTTACAAGACGGGTTCTTGGGCTCGTAGTAATCCCCGTTGCTGATCTGACGAACCAGTCTCTTGAAATTGGAGCCATCGAAGGGCATCGCCCCATACACCAGAGTGTACAAGAGTACTCCCAGGGACCAGCAGTCAACCTGAAGGTAAAGAACTTTGTCAGGATATGTTAATGGTTACTAAAATCAACTTTTTTTTCTGTCAGATATTCTGACAGTGAATTGTGTAATTCATTAAAGATTTCGTTGAATGTTAAGAAAGAGTGGCGGAGAGTTTATTGCCAGTTCTTCTCTTCCGTTCTACGCCCTTGATTTGAGAACTGGCAGTAAATGTAAAATTAGGAGCATTTAATGTATATGGAACTTATTCCCCATTTTTGACGTGGAATAAGTGATACATGTATCTTATGTTCCATAATAAACATATACTTCTTTTTTGACGTTCATAAGTGTACATTATCTATATAGGTATGTATATATATATATATATATATATATATATATATATAGTACTGTTACCTACATGAATAAATGATTTTTGACTTTGAATCGAACCTAATCCAATGACACGGCCAGGTTGGATGACAGAATAAAGACTTACTTCGGGTCCGATGTACGGAGTGCCTTTAACGATTTCCGGCGACGCGTACAAAGGAGACCCGCAAAATGTCGCCAGCAGAGACGTCTCTTTGAACACATTGGAAAGACCGAAGTCTGCGATCTGAAAATGGAATAAAAATCTAATGTTCTCTGATATATTGTAGTGTCCCGTGTATTGTAGTAACATTTGATTAGCGGTTTGATAAATCGCAGACTTAATATAAACTATAATCTCCTGTTAACTAATTAGCTGTTAAGTTATTTATAAATACATTTAGTTGTGTACAGGAATTACACCTATAATAAATGTAGAAATCATCGAGTGCAAGCGAAATCGCTTCTTAGCTCTACCCGTTATTTTTTAATAACAGGAGGCAAACGGGCAGAAGGCTCGCAAGTATGGTGCTGCCTTTTAAGCTCAGTTGTGGAACAACAGAGGGTAGAATTTCGTATTTTGCCTCGACATGATATTTATGTAGAATATGAGAAAATCAAATGTGATATTGACAATTAAATACACATTTATTTTGCATACATTTGCAACTTAAACAAGTTAATATAAATTTATTTATGAAATAATATGGGGACTGTACCTTGGCACTACCAGTCTCGTCGAGTAAAACATTCTCTAATTTTAAGTCCCTATGGCAGATTTTATGTATATGGCAATAGTATACAGCGGTCGCGATCTGTCGGAATAACCTGCAAATAACACACTTCCAATGAATTAAAACACAAAATGGCAACTTCAACTACATTGCTTGCAGTAATAAAAATATAAGAGTTTGCGATTAAAGTATGGCGGTTAATTTCTGAAGAATAAAGAGAGACGTATTATGACATTGGAATCTCTCTAAGCAGAAAGAACTTAAGAGCGGGCACTAACCAAAATCACTCAATCATTTACTATAATTTAAATGGTTAACTCTAATTAAAAACAAAATACAATATAAATTCCTTGATACAAAACACAAAGTAACCTCTCTCCTCAATCATGGCGACCATTATGGTGGCAAAATGGGATTACAGCACATTAGTTTGGCCGAGAGCTGTTACTAACGATTTTAATAAATATTGTATATCTTACGAGTTATTTAAATAAACAACATTTGGCGTTTACTTTATTTCTGTTCCGCAAAACACTGTATTGAGTATTCGTCTGATCTTACGCGAATTTTAGGCACACGTTTGTTTCACTAGTCACTAGAGCGGCCGAAGGGAGAAGCGCGTGTGAAATCATGAATTTTGCTAGCCTAATGCGCGCTGATAAAAAGAGAGAAAGAGACTTCTGAAAAAAAGTTACCTCCTGGCTTCGTCCTCTTCTAAAACTTTCTTTTGACTTAGATAATCATACAGTTCACCACCCGAACAGTATTCCATTACTAAAATCATCTTTTCACTATTTTCAAATACTGCAACAAAAAAGAACATAGGTATACGTAAAATCATCACATTACTTACCTATTACGCGCTCGCATTTAATACATTATGTATTTCTATATATAGCCATAAATGTACACATTCATTTTCAAATAATGAAATAATCGGTTATATATGAATAAATAAATAAGTTAATGTGTATATGCTAGCGTGAAATAATGTCAATTCTTAGTTTAAGTGACAACCAAAATTATCTTAATTTTCCTGTTTGTCTCGAGATTTCTAGGGAGACGGAATTTAGTGACGTGTCACACATACAACTTATAACTGTGACAAAAACTGAATGGTTAGAATCACTTCAATCGAATCACACGCATATTAACAAAAAATCATAATCGTGCTTTGTTTCACGTTCCTTACATCAACACCAACTATGCAAAACATTCAGTTTTGTATCCCGCAGCCCGGACATACAGAAAATCCATAGCGCTAAATCACCTGCATCATCAGCACACATACACATCCTCGCGTACATACGCTCACACACCATCCCACAAAAAAACCGAATTATGTATTACATAGTTAAATGTATTTAATATTTTTTATTTATTTTTCCTTTCGTAAATGTTTGAACCTTTTTGTATACATTATATATTCCATCTTTGGCTATATCTTTAGTATAATTGTTTTTTGTTAAATATATCATTTATGTTAGCTGTAGGAAAACTTGAGTACTTACAAGCTACACAAAAGTATTACTATTAAATTTCTTCCAAGCTTATGTTACCATAAATCACCGAAACCTTGACCTGTTTGCTTAGAAATATTGTGAAAATTTATATTCTATTCAAGTCTTAGCAAAAACTAATCTCATCTAAATAAGAGTAAATCCCTTTCGTGTAAATAATTTAGCTTACTTGGAAAATTTATTACGTAAGCAACTCCGTAGTTCTGTAATTTTTATAATTTAGTATAGATGAAGAGTCGCTTTTGACTCTCTCACTCTCTTGATGAAGAAAACTCCGTACCTTCATAAATGTGTACAATATTGGGATGTCTGACCGATGACATAATCTGCACCTCCCGTCGGATTCGCACCAAGTCCGCTTCGGTCTCGATTTTGCATTTCTTTATCGTCTTGATCGCCACTTCCTGTCCAGTCTTCTTGTTTATACCTAATTGGACTTTCCCGTATGTACCTTGGCCTAGCTTTCTTACTATGTCGAATCTGAAACGTGAACGACGTAGAATCACTATGTATCTGAGTAGGAACCGTGAAATCAATAGTAACGATATGTAGACAGAAGAAAGATAGTGTCGTGTTCCCAGAGACCTTCTAAAATATTGAAGTTGGAGAAAACACTAAGTGTGAGATCTATAGTGCGCACTTAGACTTTGCTCTGACTTAACTATCGAGCTAAGACACAGTCGGTATTTATAGAGCAAACTGCGAATCTCTCCCTAGTGTTGGCTTAGCTTAATCTCAAGTCCACGAAATCGACGACTTACCAAAAACTTTGACTATAAGCCTAACAAAAATAATGGCCTAAAATTTTCTTTACCATCATATCTTTAACTGGACTTTTTTATTTTTGTCGGTTTTTAATGAACGGTGTTGCCATTTTGTATCGGAGTTCCATAGACTTTGGGAAAAATAGAATTTGAATTCAAAGAAATTATAAATGATCTTGATAAATACCTATGAAATGCATGAAATAAAATAATTACACATTATTATGGTATTTATTGTTGTTTATTTATATTATTTATGTAATTGTTCAAACCCCATTTTTGAGAAATCTTAAAAATAACTGGTGTGATTTTGTATGTCACCTGGCAGCCCTGGCAATTGGCATATTATAGTGACAACGAAATTCAAACTATAACCTAACCAAAACATTGCGATCCGTTCTACGTAATAAAATTATTGTCATCTTTAAATAATTAATACATTTTCTAAAGGTTACTCGTAAATTTCTAGTTATTGCAATAATAAAATAAATGAATACATAAATAACAATAAATTGAAGATATATGTGTACCGTTTTAGATGTTTAAATATTTGTTATTGTTTACTTTTTTAAAGGATAATAAACAAAGTATGGCATGAAATGAAACATCAATTTGTATTTTGACATTTTCTGTCTTAGCTTGGGCTTAGCTTAATCTCACCGTTAAAATGTCTATAAATACGAAATCATAGTTTAACCTTAGTGTACACTAAGCAAAGTTTTTCGTAAGGTAAGTCTAAGCAAAGTCCAAGTGCGCACTATAGATCTCACACTAAGTGTGTACAGTCGACTCTCGATTATTTGAAACTCTAGGGATCCAAGTTACCGAGAGTTCAAAATATCAAGTGTTTAAATAACTCAAGTAAATAGGAGTTTGATTAAAATTCGTGATTTAATATTTCTATATTATAATTATGTATTAAAAATTAAAGGGCAGTGTTGGCCTAAGGGCTTCAGCGTGCGACTCTCTTGTTAAACCGTAAATTCTACTGTTAATTATTTTACGTAAATATTTAGGAGTGTAATATATCTTCGTTATTGTTATAATTCTCTTTAACAATAGCTGTTGGTGAATATTTTTTGATGTTCACAAACAAGCCACAACAATAAACATTATGAGCACAATGACCTTTTGTAACGCGACATGTCGTCATTTATTTTAAAATTCATAAATATCGTATTTTTACATTTATTGAATATTGTTATCTCTTTAACTAACGACGAAATGGCACGGACCTGTCGTTAGGGCTGGTAAAGCCTTCCAATTGTTGAACAAATTGGACGTTCGATAATACCCTCTTTCGACTGACATACAAAATTTGAACACAAGTAATGAAAATCTGGATCTAAGTCTAAATTATAAAACAATCCCATTCTTAAAAGTTCCCTTAGATATTTTTACTTTCTTGTTACTTCGAAAGTCAATCAATTGAGTTCACATTTTAATCATTATATTATCTCATACATACTTTCATTAATTAGTATAATGTCATTTAAACACATGGGTGAAAAGTAGGATTTTTTTGACAAATATACGATTAAAATTTTTATAACAATTGGTCCATACATGTCACGTTTCAATAATGCTTCTACACAATAGATTTATCATATACACTCTCTTTTACAATTGAACAATACGAACTAATAAAGACAAACATCTTTTATTTTTTCTACCTTGAAATACCGATTGCTTTGACTGGACACCGTCCAACCGTCAAGGCCACGAATGAAAATCTAAACTAGATACAGGTAACATCAATAGTTTTAAAATCTATGTATATCAATTTATCCCATATCAAGTAAACTTTGAATTATTTGCACCGTAATCAAATTGAATAAATGTCTAAACTATATTTTGATAAAGTAAAACCCTTTACCAAACAGATTACGATAATAACAGAAATTGCTATTAAAATCAAACATCAATAAAACGTGACGTCACCAACAACCTTTACACCCACATAGTTCCGAAGAGCTGAGCGTAGGAGCATAAATCTATACCCAAAATGCGGTCACCGGCTGCGCCTTACAACAGCATATTCAATATTAATTTCAACCCAATCCTTATTACTGTTAAGCGCATCGAAAATAACCCCGTAGGGTAACTGTACTTCTATGAGCTTGACTAAGGGCCAGTTTTTTGATCCGTAGTAAAAAATGGTTTTACCATTTGTTACATTAACTATAGTTAAATGAATAACCATTGGTAAAATCGTAAATGCGTTTTTCAATGCCTTTTTAACTATAGTTAAAGTTAACAATTTGTCAATTTGTTGCCAGTGCAATGAGCAATGACATCCCAAAAAATGTGGTTCTTTTTTGTGGGGATCATTTATTTTGTATGACAACACTAGACTATTGAGTGAATGAAATCCATTTTTGCCATCTTCATTCGTTATTTGCGCTTTGAAGAGTTTGAAGTGTCAAATTAATCTAAATAACACGATATAAATAAAGTTGTTTTTCTGTGATTTAATACGGTTTACATTTTTACGATACTTAAATATATAAATAACGATGTCCGCAAACAGCCAACGGTCAAATAAGTAAGTTCAAACATATTTTCGTGTTATTTATTCCGGTTTATCTTGTGTTTCGTAATAGAAAGTAATACATTTATGTTTTGTTAAAGGGACCATACTGCTAACTTCGCCAAAAAAAAAACTGCCAAACTGGTGATGCTTCTCAAGGATTACACAGTCGTAACCTGCAAACAACTGATCACTGCAGCAATCTACAAAAAGTGCAGCTTGGAAATCTCTGTGACGTTTTCAACTCAATGGGTCTAGACACCGAAGTGTTAAATTTAATATACATTTAATGAAGGTGTAGGCACATTTTATATTTATTCTTGTATAGCTGTGTCCTACAACAAAAGGAAAAAATCTTTTAACCCTTTGGAAACAAGGAAGCGGATTATGATCCACACGGATAAAAAAAAATTGAGTTTAGAAACAAAGACAAATAAAGAGGATGATTTGTTCAATTATGCTTAGGAAGAGCATCAAAAACATTTGCTGCACCAATAGAGGCCCACGGCCCACCAAAAATTCATACTGCATAAAGAGGAGGTGCACCAAAAAGTGATGCAGCAGATGGAAGAAAGGCACAATAAATATATGTAGCAGCAAAAAGAGTTGCATCAAATTGAGGTGAAATGCAAGAAGAAACAATTAGAAAATATTTAATTGCTACTTTAGGGTTTCATGTAAGTTTTGTAATGTTTTTTTAATAAAAATGGTTTGTATTTAAGTTATAATTAAACAGTTTATTAATCAAGTCAAATGTTTTATTTATAAATTCTTGTAATAAAGTAGATAGATGCTAACTCACAAATGTAATAAAAGCCCTAAAAGAATATCATAGGTCCTAACTAATGTGTAGCTGTAGTTTTTAGTATAAGTACATACTTGTATGTACTTATAATAATTATAAGTTAATATTATTAGTAATATATAAATAATATTAACTCTAATTCATTATGTATTCTATGCCTATAATATTAACTTATAATAATTATAAGTTAATATTATAGGCAATAAAACACATAATGAATTAGTAATATACTTAATTATATACTGCTGCGGTTCTGTAGCTAGTAATGAAACAAAATAGGTTTGTATGAGCTGCTGTCTATATATACTCTTGTTCTTGTATTTTATTTAATTATAATAATTATAAGTTAATATTATAAGCAATAAAACACATAATGAATTAGTAATATACTTAATTATATACTGCTGCGGTTCTGTAGTTAGTAATGAAGCAAAAATAGGTTGGTATGAGCTGCTGTCTATATATACTCTTGTTCATTGGCAGTTTAAGATCATTCCCAATTTCAGTAACAATCAGAGCACTGTTCCCTTCGATAGGGGTAACAGTGACAAAAATCTACATCATCCCAGGTTTCTAATGGCGGATGACATTGCCTAAATATTTTTGGTCACTCATTAACACATTCTCATATAATATTATCGTCTTCTTCATCGTCTCATTAATTAAAGTATCTCAATATGTTTAAATTCATCATTAGATAGTAATAAACGTATTTATCATAGTTTTGATTTCTGTGACAAACAGCTGTTAGTATATAAATTACCAGCGGCCATCTTTTTAACCCTCCGATACTGAGTAGTTAACTTTTTTTGACTAATGGTTAGATATTTTACCATTGGATGCTCTTACCACGGATCAAAAAACGCATTTTGCTGATATTTAACTAATAGTAACGATTTTTTACCAATAGTTGAGTTAACTACGGATCAAAAAACCGGCCCTAAGTATTAACCGACAAAATCTTGTTCAACATTTTTGACGTTTACTAATTTCTGAATCTCGCACCTGTTACGATTAATACAAGTACTTCAATTATTTAAATACTATCCTAATTATTAATTGACTGTCATTCGCCAGACACAAAAAAGCCATTTTTAATTTCAGTAATTTTAAATATCTATTCGTAATTGCTAATTAGTCCTAAACCATAATGCAACTCATTGCAAAATTTTAAGTTTATCTTCTTATACGAGACAAGGCTGTACATTTTGTTCACTTACGCTTTCTTAGTTTTATAAGCGTGACGATTGCCTAAATCGTCGGAGTTACGCCCCGAGAGTATAGCCAGACGTAGGCACTTCGACTCCTTCGACTGTTACATTGCATTCATTCGTTACACAACAATTAACATTTCATTATTTCGCTTATATGAACGATAGACGTTGTACGCGAGTGGTTAATGTAGAGTAAAAATGAAATCCTCCATTATTTAAAGCACCCCGATGACCCAGGAACCGTACACTACTCCTCTCATGAAATAAGATACTTTATATTAGACGTATATAGAAGACAGACTACAACAATATTACGCATTAATTATATTAATTTAATGTAAGTACACGTAATCCACTTGCCATGTATGAGCGTATAATAAAATAGCTAATAAGTCTTTGATAAGGCCTTTGAGGTTGAAGCCTTCCAATCACTGCGTAAGGCATTGAGATAAGATTATTTATTACATCTATAAGTTAAAAGGTTAGTTAATTTTATACTTTTATCGAAGAAAGTAACGTCACTTGGGTTTATTTTGAAATATAATCTAAGTCATAATATTTAAAAAAGGTCAAAAGAATCCGTTGAAAAATGAAAGAAAACAGAAGCTATAAGTTCAGAAGGTTTTGTCTATCTGGTAGATTTGAGCAAAAAAGTAGTGAGACATATCGAGAGCGGCCTTATTCGAATCAAGGATTTCTCAGTCATTGCCGGCGTCGAAAGTTGATTGTACGTATAAAATAACTGCGACTACGTCTACAGCAGATGGCTGTTATCAGATTACAAACATTGTTTTTTCAAAACATAAAAAAGTAAAGGATGTATCTAATTAATTTAAAAGCGAATGAAAACTAAAACCTTACAAAGTAAATAAGATCTTCGTACTTTTTAGTCTTATTAATATATATCAGAACAATTGCCTAGTCATTACAGCTTGGGTAAGATTTATAGTCGAGTCTTAGCACTAATTCTATTCAAACTCTATCAAATAAAAAATAAACCAGTGGCTCTGTTTATCTCGGTAAATCTGTTTCATGATCATTTGTCAATCTAATAGGCAAGTAAGTGTGATCAGCCTCCTGTGCCTGACACACGCCGAGGACTTTTTGGGTCTAAGGCAAGCCGGTTTCCTCACGATGTTTTCCTTCACCGTTCGAGCGAATGTTAAATGTGCAGACAATTCATTGGTGCACAGCCGGGGATCGGACCTACGACATCAGGGATGAGAGTCGCACACTGAAGCCACTAGGCCAAAACTGCTCTATTAAACTCTTTTTTCCCTTTGTGCGTATTTACCTCTGTTTCAATCGTAGCCGATGGTCGTGCAGCCTGACGTCGCCAGTGTTCTCAATGCCGTCCATTATGTTGGCCGTACGTTTATTCTCGCCCACCACCATTTTGTCTGGAATCAATAAATCACATTAATAAATTATACACTATATTAAGTATTTATACACAACACTTATTCTACACATCTGTTTACTCCTTGAAGTAGTGGAATGTATAATATGCGAGCTAGACCCGGTAACCAAAATGTACATTGATTGCGTGTAAACAGGAAAACCCATTTATTATTACAATAAAATATGTTACTATGGCCTAAGTCATTTAATAGTGTAGTTGTGTTTTGCAATGTTATTTATGCTACCAAAAATGAGACGGACTACGAACAAACAAACAAACTCATTATATTATTAGGATAGTTATATTGATATCAAATTTAAAAGTTTAACACTATAGCGAACAGCAGCTTGATAATGTGTGATACTAAGATATATATTTAGTAGTAGTACGTAAAACATGCAAGCAAACAAATTTTATTTTCTACGGGTTTCAAAATTATAAGTCATAAAAAGTGAACAAAATATCCTGACAACGCCCACGAGCTAACGTTGACAAAAATACTCGCCGCGTAAGCTCACTTTCTCAATGATGCAAACTTTTCGGTAATTCTGTACAATACCGAGAGATCGTTACTGCACTTCTAAGAAACACTTTGACCAATTAAAATCAAGGTTTCTTATTTGTGTTATTTGATTTTCCTCAAAAACTATATTGTGAACATGGAAGCAAGCTATTTCAAAACACCAAATCTAAATCGATTATAATTAAAAAAAAAACCCTAATTGCTTTAGCTGGATTCTAAAAATTGTATGCTAAATATACTATTCTATCAAACCATATTTGAGTAACGTATTGGACGGTAATATTAGTGTAACAACTCCCAAGTAATTTATTTTATATAGAGAATTGAGAAATTAGACAAGAACGGAATTTAATTCACAAAATATATGAATAAAAACTATGTGTGGGAAAACTATGCATAGTTTCTTATAGAATTGAGGCAAAAGGACACACACAAAACGTACTATAAGAGTTAGGAAATAATTAGTTTAAAACACTTTAAGAATAGACCCCTGTTGTTCTGCGCTAGCTTTTGTCGCTTCAAACTTGTCAACACAAGACTTTAAAATGAAGATTTAAAAGCCTTGCTCACTTTTCATGAAAATAAGGGATTTCACAGCCTTGGTTCTTTTCATATCCATTTTAATAAACATAAAAACCATTACTATATTTATATTTAAAGTTGCAAACAAGCTATCGCTTATGTCAATTAGATTACTGCCCACAGGGACACCAACTAATTTAGTTTATTACGACCACTCTTTGAAATTGTTAATATTCCTATTTTTGTTATATTTTTGAAGTACTAAACTGAACTACTTACTGCTAACACATGATAATAGATATATATATCATTACAGTAGTTAAGTATTATTAATAAACGTCACGTACTGCAATCAAATTCGAATTTAATACTACTTCGGGAAGATTGAAAAGCTAGTTTGAAACAAAAAATTGCAAAAACTATTTTATTTTTTATCTATAGCTAAGAAACTTTGCAAAATTAGGAATTTCATAAATAGTTAAACGTCGAACAGAATGTCGCGTAATGCATATTTTACTATATTATCAAGTTTTAAAAATGAAAAATAATTGGTAATAATATGTAAGAGCTTAGAGCTGTGGAAATACGTGTCGCTGAAATAGAACAGATGAGTTCGAGACAGTCGTACACCACCGCCCACTCGCCTTAAAACGAGGCATTACAATTAACATAGAAACATCGCATGGAACAAAAGATAAATCAAACACGAAGCTTGATATTTCAAAAAACAATCGATGCCAAAAAAACTTTTGAAGTTCTACTTCACGTTTAAGAAAATCAAAAAATATAACAAGTTTATTGTTTTAATAATAATTACAACTAATAATTGAATGTAATTAAATATCTAGTAAATTATTAAAATAAATAAATCAGTGGCGCTACAACCTCTTAAGGTCTTGGCCTCAGATTTCTGAATCTGTTTCATGATCAATTTTTTAAATCTAATAGGCAAGTAGGTGATCAGCCTCCAGTGCCACGCCGTCGACTTTTTGGGTCTAAGACATGTCGGTTTCCTCACGTTGTTTTCCTTCACCGTTCGAGCAAATGTTAAATGCGCACGTAGAAATAAAGTCCATTGGTGCACAGCCGGGGTTCGAACCTACAAGCTTAGGTATGAGAGTCGCACGCTGAAGCCACTAGGCCAACACTGCTGCTATTTTAAAACCAGCCAGCGTTATCTGTTTCTAATTATTGTTGGAGATATTGAATCCTGCCAATTATTAAGTTCATTCCTGGAGTGATTATTGTTGTCTTACTTAGACTAACTACTTAGTACCTGTATTCATCTTCAATCAAACTAAACCTGGTTCAGCCTTACGGATTTAAAATTAGCTATCGGTGTTGTTTACATTATGTTGGGCACAATTCAGTCCGCGCGTGGTAAGTGTCCATTAAAACAGTGCGGAACCGGAACGGACTACTTTACACGTGATACATAATAATAGAGACATCGTCGTCATTATCAAGTGGAAAACAACAATTATAAAGAAATTTCACTCTTAAAATGTATGTGTTTAGCTGAAACATAGTTTCATAACATTTTTATTTGTCTAACTACACACCTCAGTGCAAATTTTGTGTTATCGGCTCTTCTTTATTAAAAAAAAACGTATATATAATGAAAATTATAATTAAAGAGAGCAAAGTCATACTACAAACTACATATATACCGTTTGTATATCTAATTAAAAGTACATACATACGTACATAGAATCTGTAAAAAATATTCCTTTTAGAATTACCGACAGCATAATAGAAATATTTTTAGGTATAAAATAAAAATTGTTATGTAAGCAATAATCCTTCCATCCACTCTGGTAGTTTACAATTAGTATGCTTTTATAAATACAACAACCATTTTTAAACCGTGTCACAGTGGACGCGTCATGAATTATACAATTATTTTTTTCTTCAACACTGCTATTTCCGTCTTCGGTCTCTTTAAAGTTTTAGAACACTTTAAAATAATTTTACAAAAGGTGAAGCCACTTTATAAAGTACTTTACTAGTAACAAGCACTCAGTGCGAACAATTATCCAAGAAGAAATAGAACAAACCCAACGTAATGAATAAAACATATCTTAACATAATTTGAAGCTTCAGGCTTCACAAACTTTACGAAAGTTGTCGTCAATTATTCTACACAAATATTTCAGTTTTGGCTACAACGTATTGACTCTCCATACAGTTTGTATAGTTTACACACGTATTTCATTCGAACGATGCATGTTTGTGCTAACGTTTAGTTCAAAATACGCCCACAGGCCACAGCACGCTTTTTAATTTTCTTGATTTTATATATTGTTCACGCTAAGTCCACGGGACACAGGACTGAGTTTCTATTAAAGAAATAAAACGATCATAGAAATACATATACAATGTCGGTTGTCTTCCAAGTATAGCATCAGTAATAAAACGAAATGTTTTAAAGCGTAACTAGGACGCTTGGTAAACCACGCATTAGATTTTACATAAAATGTTTTCGCTGCGATGTAGAATATCATTATTATATTCTGTGTTTTCCCTGTTATAATATCGGAATGACTGATATTATCCTGTTACATGAATAATTCAGGCAAGGTCACGAAGTACCAAAAGTACTCGACAAAATAAAATTTTTGCCTACTTCGGCTAAAGCTTATAGATCAGTTAGAATAAAATGGTCTTTACAGCGCACCTACGTAACGTGGTAAGGGCGTCAATGTTTATTGGGCTAGCTGATGGCATTGGCGTTGCATGAACGGTCACGTCCAGAAAAATGCGGAGCAAGTAGCCAATTAACATGCGGCATCGTGAGGCCGGCGTCTCGGCGCCGCTATAAATATCCACCAAACACTGCCACAGCCGCAACGCCGCCGTAACGTCGAAAATGCAAAACATAAATCAGGGTATCCATCAGGGTGACATCACGAACTGATACAATGGCTCGTTAAATTTTAATATCGATATGCGAAATTGGATTCTACCAGACATTAGCATGGATTTCGTGTTCGCCGTTTAACATCATTATTATAGAGAATATTTCAGCAACGTGTAACTGTTTGGAATGTAGGTGAATACGTAAATCATCAGGTCAGTGAGTTAGGTCGCATCCCGGAAGCACAAGTGGTCTGTGAAGCGTCATCAGAGGTGCGCGAGATGCCGCTAGTGATCGCGCTATTTTTGTCTAGTCACCAGTTGAATAACCTCGATCAACTATTCGCACTTACTTCGCCTACTATACCTTCTACATAAATCTTCCTATATAATTAATTTATTGTGGATGGCTTACAGATACTACTGGGTAGTGGGTACCTATTAACGACTTGTTTACCCGCAAAGATTATTAAATATATTTTATAAAAACTCGTATTATAAATATATATTATATACTATTACATGCCTACGGCAGCGTTATATTTAATAAAAGTGAATGTTTTCTGTTATTAACACATGATTAACAGACACAGCCGAGTGGTCACGCATAATTTAACTTACATTACGTTTAGGCATGCATGTTTTGTCATAAAAGTTTATAATTTGGCAAGAGTCTACAACATGGGCCGATGGATGTAACAAAAATAGAGTACATAATTCCATGCCACTGACTCAAAAGCTTTAGCGTAAATCATTACACTATTACGCTATTTATTAGGAATACAAATGGTAATAAAGATACAGAATTTGGCTACAAAAATTCAAATTACAGCAATATTGGGTGTATTGAATTCCATTTTATTAATCCCGTGACGATTCTGCATACATTGAAAACAGGCCAGATCAACAAGTTCATATTTAATGAAAATGTTTGTACATTGTATAATACAAACATTTTGTATAATTTCTCTTAAAGGATCCAAAAAATGCTTCTTCATCTTGCGTTGCATAACTTTAACTAAAAGCAGGCCAACTCAATGTTTGTAAATTAGGTTTATACCAAAACTTTGTTCTGTGTCCATTTATGTTTAG